TTCACCTTCGCCATCGCCCTCACCTGAACCTAAGCCGTCGTCGGAACCGGCAGCGACACTCTCGGCGTCAGCTACCAAGGAGCCCGTTGCAGAACCGGCTTCCTCAGTTGAGGCCCAACCCGCTCCCACTACCACCAGTGCCGACAAGAAGACGCCGGACTATGGCACCGACACCGATGACTGCAGCCACTGGGCCTCCAAGTGCCCCTGGGGACAGACCGTGACCGTGACGGAGAAGCAGGTTTCAACTGTCACGGAGAAGCAGGTTTCGACTGTCACGGAGAAGCAGGTTTCGACTGTCACGGAAAAGCAGATCTCGACCTTGACCGTTGAGAAGCCGGTTGTTTCCACGTGAGCTGCCTTCTCCCAAGGAATCCTAGGAAGGATATCTCTAGATTCTGACTGACCTCAATTAGCCTCACGATCGTCTCCAAAGAGACTGTGTACACCACGCAGGCCTTCACTACGACAGATTACGAGACCAAGACAATTGTGAAGGTCTCCTCCTACCCTGTGACTACCACGGTGGCTCTGTAAGTATAGGAAGCTCCCGAGCATTTTCAACCCACCAATCCATACCCGGCTCCTTATTCTCTGCTATCTCCTCTACAACGATTTCAACGTCCTGCCTTCTCTACCCGACAAAGGCGCCTAGTTGAAAAGAGACGAGGAGAGGGCGCCGAGACAGAACGTAGACGACATACGAATCGTTGGTCCGTGGCTTGCGATTCTGTATTTCTGAGCCCGCTATTGATTTCATCCCCCGTCTATTACACAATGCGGTAGAGCCTGGGATTACATGAGCTAACTCGCCTCAGTTGCGATCCTGTAGATGCCCCCGGCCCAACCACCTCCCCCGTGCCAACTTATGGAGGTGGCTACGGCAGGAAGCGAACTCCTCAGCAAGTCTGCCGGACGACCACGACCACGATTTGGAAGACGAGCACGACAAAGGTCACGGAACTCGTCCCGGTTCCCACCACCATCGTACAGACGCAGAAACAGACAATCCAACTCCCTCCATCCATCGAGACGCAACAGGTCACGCAGACGCGAGAGGTCACTGCTACTCGGATTCATACTTCCGTCTCGACTTTGGTCTCTACCGTTGTATCGACCGAGATCATTCCAACGACGGTGATCTCAAGCAAGACTCAATACGTGACCACGACTTACACGACATTGAAGACCTACTATATCACGGACACTATTACAGAGACTCAGAAACAGCCACCAACAACGATCTTCGAGACCAAAGAGCGAACGGCAACAATCACTCAGCCTGTGACTCGGACGGCTACTCAGATTTCAACAACCACAATCATCTCGACCCTTGTGTATACGACAAGCATCCCATACACTATTACCTCTGATCACACAATCACCAAGACTTCCTACTCTGTGTCCACCTTCACTAGTCTCGTTACCTACACTTCACCAGTGACCATAACTGCGTCTTACACGGAATTCCAAACAGCAACGGCAACGGCCACAAGAACGGCAACTGTTACGAACAAACAGACAGAATATTTGACTTCTCTGACAACGATCTTCGTCTCAACGACTCTCTTCGAAACTCGCACTCTTTCGACGAGTTATCCAGTGACTATTCCCATAACCGTCACCAACGATAGGACGATTCGAGAAACGTTTTACTCGACTGTCGTGGAGACTTCTGTGAGAACGATAGTTTCTTCCTATCCAGTCACTCGAACAGTCACGCAAACCTCACCTCCGCAGACCGTCACTCAGCCTGCTTCAACAGTGACTCTTCCACCAGTTACGACTACGACGACTATTTCCGGGGAGGCCGTCACGATCACCTTGCCCGCTTCAACTATCACCATTCCTGTGACCGCCACTATTACAGGACCCGGAGAGACGATTACGCGTCCTGGTGAGACGATCACTCGGCCTGCTTCAACCGTCACCCTTCCGCCAGTCACAACTACGACAACGATCTCTGGGGAGGCCGTTACGATCACCTTGCCTGCTTCAACTATCACCATTCCCGTGACCGCCACTATCACGGGACCCGGAGAGACGGTAACGCGTCCAGCTGAGACGATTACCCTGCCGCCCGAAACGGTGGTCACTACGATTGCAGGTGAAATCACGACTCTCACCCTGCCGGCATCTACCATTACTCTGCCAGGAGTTACAGATGTCATCACCGTCACACCTCCTCCTGCAACCATCACTCTTCCCGGCTCGACTGTGGTTTCGACAATTGCAGGCGAGCTAACGACAATCACCTTACCCGGAACCACATTGACTCTGGTCACCACTCAAGTAAACACGGTCACTCTGCCTCCCTCTGTGACGACTTTGCCTGGTTCAACAGTTGTGACTACGGTCGTCGAGACTGCGCCTGCATCGACATTGACCATCACTCGCGACGGTGCGACAATAACCAGCATCGTGCCAGGGCCAACATCTTTCGTCGTTTCGACCTTAACGTTGCCCCCAGTCACTGTTACCTTGCCACCTTCAACGGTCACAGAGATCACGGCTTGCCCGGCCCCAACGAACACTCCCGGATTGAACTCTGCGGCCGAATACAACCCGAAGTCCAACCTGACATGGGGCTGTCAACCCGGATATGTCTGCAACCCTCCCAAGCCGGCCGGATGCAACCTGTGGGCAGACCCGCCAGCAGATAATTATATCTGTGCCCCGCAAAACTGTATTCCAGCACCGCCTGTCACTCTAGCAAATTGGAAGGAGAACGAAACGAGCTACTACCCAGTGAATGAGGGATACTTCAACTTGAACCCCAATGCCTTTGGTCTTCCCTTTGACATCTTTGAGTACGAAGTCATTGTGACCAAGGTGAAGGGTAAGAAGGGACACAAGAAGACGACCATCACGACTGGCAACTGGGCTTCAGCCACAGAGTTGACTCATTTCCCTCCGACCGCCCAACCCACGATCACGTCTTCTCCTGCCCCTACATCCTCTGCTGAGATTGGCAAACACGCCTACAAGCATAAGCAGGAGGGCAAGATCTACGAGCGCCGTGCTTTCTTTGGCAAGCGAGATGTCACGATCGCGCCTGCCATCTGCTTCGACAATTGCAACAATGTTTATATCGAGGTCCAGACCGTGGGCAAAAACCCTCAGATTTGCTTAGCGGGCTCCGCCTTCCAGATGAACCTCGAGACTTGCAGGCAATGCGTGATAGACAACGCCGATGACGGGAAAGAGACCCTGCGTCTTTACATCGAACCACAATTCCAGCAGTGGCTAGTATACTGCACCGGCGAGGCACCGCAGACTTCGTCTTCCGCAACTATCCTACCACCCCAGAGTCAAGCAAGCGACACGGCTACACTTACGACGGCAAGCCAGGGGGCCGGTTCCAGTGATACTTCGGCTGTCCCTATTCCGGGGTCAACCACAACCACCACTGCTGAGGTGTCTTCCACGATTACACCTACTCCCACTCCCACGCCGTCTCCTAGCACGAGCGTGGCAGCGTCTTCTACACTCTCGACCGCCAGCACAGCAGAAAGCTCTCAGTCGCAGTCCAGCTCTAGCCCTTCGGCCTCTCCCGCGCCATCAGACACGACCTCCGCGACGACGGTTAGCTCCGGAACCACTGCCGTGACTCCCAGCCTTTCAACAGCGACATCTGCTGCCATTTCCACAGTCTCTACTTCTGCTGGAACTTCCAGTCCGACTGGAAGAGTCTCTTCGGGTTCTCCAAGCACTTCCAGTGTCTCAGGTACTTCAATTGCTTCGAGTTCCGCAAGCGGGTCAAGCGCTGCAAGTGAATCGAGTGCTCCAGCAAGCGCGTCATCACCCTCCACGGCATCAGCGCCATCCGGAACAGCGACAAGCGGTGCCGGCTCGAGTCCGTCGGCTTCGAGCCCTCCGGAATCCGCGTCTGCCGCTCCAACCACCTCAGCCGGATCAGCATCCACAGCAACTGGCGGGGCTGGAGGCTCTACATCCGAAACCTCGGCGCCATCCTCGACTGCGTCTTCTCCGAGCACCACAACGACAGGCCCCGTCACAGCCGCAGCAGTCAGGCCCGCCACCTCGACCATCCTCGCCATACTGGCGCCGCTCATGGTTCTTCTACTCCTCTAATTCATATTCAATCCTTCTGAACATTATATAAGATTCTTCTTCGTGGGTTTATACAATTGGCGGTAAAAGTTCATCACCCTATTCTGCACATTCCTTCCCAAGGTCCTGGACCAATATCATATTTGGCGTTTTATGAGAAAGAGACTCATGATATGGCTTCTTTACAACGAATTCACGACACTCCTTAAGACTAATGAGTAATTGGCATCATTTGGCGGGCATTACTTTTTTGGGCAAATTTGCATATTTAATGGGGGATTTGTTTTGTTTTTTTGTGGTTATGATACCCTTACGCTCCTTAACGACGCGGTTTTGAAGGCTATGAGCCATCACCTAGGTACGATGAGAAGCTTAGCGCGGCTCGATGCGACTTGGGAAATGATGGATGTGGTATTTGCCAATGTTAGAATTCTGATTTGGGAGGGAACGTAATGAGCCGGGGCACTGAATAAGGCAAGGCGGCCTCCTCAATACCCGGACTGTGTTTAAGATATCCAATGCAATAATTTTTACTTTTCTATTCCACGCGTTTCGGAACTGCTTCTTTCACGTCCTCTTATTTGTGAATCGCGAGTGGAATGGCCATGTGTTTCGATTAGGGAACTGTTGGTTGTGTCCATGTCTTGCTTGGCATGGCTAATGTGGTGCCTTAGATGCGACCAACAGTACTCGTTGCCTAACTTCCATGCATCTGCTGTCGCCTTCGACCGCATCCAGTTCTTTTCAAACACCGTGCTCCCGTACTCCAAAAGTAGACTTCGTGTTTAGGCAGAACATATTTCATCTACATATACACGTATCGAGACGTATAAGTGACCGCTGCCCCAGACTTGAGCAACCGGGCCCTCAACGATCGAATCACCCCCACAACCTCCAGACGACTCCGAAGCGGTCAACAAAACATCATGAAAGTACTGTCCACAACTTCCCTCCTCTTCGTCCTCGTGTTCCTTTCCCAAAGCCTCGCGTCGGTCTGGGAGCTCACGTCTTTCCAGGTCCCACTCATCATCTCCTCGTGGCTAGGCAGCAGCAATGCGACCCCGCGCGTCCCTCAATTCCTTCTCGACGCGGGTCATCCGTGGCTCACAACCCACGCCCGCGAGCTCTGCAGTCTCCCAGACGCGACATCGTTTATCTGCATGCTCTCTTCCGACGATGCCCACTCTCAATATGGCGGCAAAATTTCTGTTGACGATGAGAGCGCGAAGTTGCGCGAGCGCCTCGAGGTACCGGCGGATCTGTTCCACCGGCTCGAAATCAGGAATGTCCGCGCCGGCATGAGCCGCTACGGCTGGAAGAATGCTCGCGACAGACTCAATGAGATGAAAGCGTGCCCGAGAGCACTCGCCGAAGTTCGCGAGTTGACGGTTGATGTATATGTCCATACTGGAATGGGGTGGCAGACCTTGGGTGATACCTGGGACACCCTCACCGCGGAATCGAGGCTTCCCCCAAAGTCCCTGCCCGCGCTATTCTCTGAAGTTACTGGGAAGATGAAGAACTTGAGCAAGATCGAATGGATGGTTCGCGGCGTCGAGGAGAATGCGGCCATTGGAAAGGCCTTTATCGAGGACGGGACGCGCTTGCCTGGTGTCAAGCACCTGGTGACGACCATGAATGCGCCGTGGCTTGTCGACGCTTGTCCTTCACTGAACTCTCTCGAAGCGAAACACGATGATTTTGTCTGGGGAGAAGCTGCGCACACGAGGGACGTGGCCTGGTTCGCTGCCGCGGGGAAACTCAAAGGCCTGAGGAAGCTTGATATGGGAGAAGTCGAGTGGACTGGCACAATGACTGATTGTAAGTATTTGGAGCAGTGAAATTGTGTATCAATCCTGTTTTTATCTAACCCACAAACTCATAGGCGTACTTCGAGATACCCCTCACATTGAAGAGCTCCATATAGGTGCGCCAGCCCAGGACTTCAAACATAGAGACATCAACCGGGGGAACTTTCTGCGGGTAAACCTCCCTTCATCTTTAACCCATTCTTTATCCCTCAAAGGTCGATTCTCCCACGTGCTGCTGACCAAATGACATGTTGCGTAACCAGGATCTTATAAAATCCCTCTCTCTTCTTCCCAGCCTCACGCAGCTTCACCTTCCGCCGTCCTATGAACTGCAACTCGGCTATGATGGGGGATCGATGTGTGGAAACGCATACATGGGCGCAAACGGTGCTGTATATTGGCGCAGTAACATGGCTCAAGGCCTTGAGGCAACGGAGTTGGCTGGGAAGATTGTTCGGCAGGAGTTTCCGGGGTTGCATGGAGTCTACGTCGGTGCATCATACGGGAACTTCGCGACTGATGATGAGGGAGAGCAAGTCATTATCTGGGATTGGACTGGGAGGGTTGACGAGTGGTTGGATGAGAAGCAGATGGCTATCGATTTTACCGATGAGCCATAAGGGAGTCTACGCAGTTGTGGCCGCGTCCCCTTCGGCAAACCTTGCAAAGGTCGGCGATACATGCGATCCTCCCTCTTCTCTAGAAATTGCATCTGACGAGTCGGAATCTACCGCACCGTCGCTCTTTGTCCACGATGAGCTTCCATCTCTCTCTTCATTTTCCAGTCTAAACGAGTCGCCTAATTTAGAATGTATCGAGACATCCCATGGGAAAGAATTCTTGATGGCCATCAAGAATCTCCCCGCACCATCCGCCGAAGAAAGAAGCATTTCTTCGCTAATACCACCAGAGATAGCTCCACACCACAGTGTGGTGAAGAGGTGATCTGAGCGAGCGAGAACCCCCAACTTCCAGTAGTATATCTTGCGTATTTTTGTTGTCCTTTGATTCAAAGTGCCGATGAGGGAAGCTACATCATCCCTCCATTGGTTTTCTTGCCAAACTTGGAAGAAAGATGGTTCGTATTGATGACAGAATGGTCGTAGACCGGCCTTTATCGGCGGGATCCCCGGAATCTTGAAGTGCTGCCTTTGTAGATGTGACGCTGCGTCTTCAAAACCACGATAAGTTGCGGCATTACAGCACTCCGGACACAATGAGCAATGCCGTCGCTCAACAACAAATCCGAGCGGCCCCTCTAGGCGTGCTGTGGTATCTTGAATAAACCACCGTTGCGAGGGCTGTGGCCTGGAACCTAAACTCATAATCATCCAGTTCATGCCCTGCTCAATCATGGCTTCTGGAATCGGAGCCCAAGGTCTGGGAAAGGGCCGGTTGAAATTGACATTCAGGCTCTCTTCTAGCCCTGATGCCTCATACAACACCCGAGTAAGATGCTCTGGCGGCTCTCGCTCCCAAAACACACGCCGAGAAACACTTTCCATGGCTTGGTTCTTGTCTCTCAGTACATCTGCGCTCCATTCCGGACGTCGTTCGCTGTGTTCGGTCCCTGAAAGTAGTTGCGACAGCCGCGCCTCGGCATCAGTCGGCGTAGAGGTTAATTCTAAGTCTGGTATTGCGCCCCTCAAGTCTCGAAAGCGTCTATTCGGTGACTTTTGGATATCTACCTCAAAGCATTTAATGTCCTTGTCATTATGATCCAGAGTCGGATGTTGGGCAGCATGAGCTTCACATAGGTGTGACTTGAAATCCGGCAAAGAGTCGTAGAAATGTCCCTGGTCGCAGACAGTCGATACGTGAATATGTATGATATACCTTGCGCGCTCTCAAAATTCACCGATATCGAAGAGTTGCAAACAAAACAAGCAGTGAATCATGGTCTCGGTCTTGCCCGAAATGAAGTAGTCGTCCCCGGACCATGCAAGCCGATGGCGGCGCCACAAGACCACACTGTCGATGTAGATAGAATCCATTTGGAAGGCAACCAAACTGTGTCCTCAGAGCTCACTTTCCTCATCTAAAGCGAGTGCAACTAAGGACTCACTAAGACACAGAGACATATACCATCCGTTATCAGTATCGCGCGTGACCCCATGAGGCGCATCTTGATCATCATCCGCACTTTCTTCCTTTTTTGTAAAGGCCCCAAGCAAATCTTGAGCCCACATACTGCCCCAGAATTGAGAAGGTACGCTATTGCCCTCGTCTGCCTGTCCATCGTCATCAGCCTTGGTTGAGAACATCAAGGATGAGTCCATGAAGGCACTACATCTCAACATGACCAGGAGATGCTCTGACTTATGTAACACCTCCCACATCCAATAATCAATTTTCTGCTTTTGAGGTCTTCCAACTTTCTGGGTTTCTAACAAATTCGATGTCTTCAAGCCGTGTCCAAACGTAACAAACTTAGGAAAGGTGTCAACGTATCTCTTCTCAAGCTTATCCAAGGTTTGCCTGAGGTAATGGCGTCTGTCGCGATGTCTCGCGGCAGTAGACCTCTGGTCACTGTGACATTCTCTGTGGCACTTGGATGGTTTGGCCGAGGCCTCCCGGGTAGGATTAGTAGGTAGAAACCCACTGTCACGAGATGACTCGTCCTTTCCGCTATTCCCGTAAGTCAACTGACTATTATCATCTTCTCGGGACGATGGAATACGTTGAAGTAGGATATTGGAGTCTGGTATCCATCGACTTTTGAAAGTCTTGTTGAAGTTAACGGATAATTCTTCCGCCAAATTGGCTATTAGATAAAGGGTTTTGGCGTTTTCGGCTGAACATTCTGTCGAGAAAACGATGCTTGATAGCGATTGTAATTTGACCCGCAGGTCATCAAGGGTATCAGGTTCACTTGACGCCGTGGCCCCCACTTGCATGAAGCTATGCATCAAAGATTGCATCTGAATTTCCAGGAACAGAGGTGCCGTGGGCCTCTCCAGTTGACCTGGTTCGCCATAGAGGGACTCCATTCTCTCGTCTCGAGCATTTGCTTCATCTAGATGGAACTTTCGCGCCAGGAATTGAATATTCGTATAGAAAACCTTCCGATCGGCCCCATGGCATTCTTCCAGGTGAGGCGCGAAGCTGCTATCGAATGTGTCGTACACGTCTTGATTGCATCCACCGAAGTTGTGGGATTCAATAAGGTGGTCAGACTGTTCGAACAAAGCAGTGTTTGCAAAGACTTTATTGCAAAGAGCGCAGCGGATTTGACACAAACGTTGATCTTCGTAACTTTCGATGAAGTAGTCATCGATGCCAATTGCTTTGGCACATGTCCAACCCATTGTGCTGTCATGGAGGGCGGACACCGAGGTTTGATTGCGGCCAGCTTGCTCGAGATCCGAGTACCGTCTCTTATTGTTCACCACTACTCTCGAAACTTCGTTTCCCGTTGAGGGATTCAAAGAAACCTTCAAACGAGTTTCCGATCCGCGCCTCAAGACTCGCGATACAGGAGGTGTGACGAGTTGCTGAAGTGATTCGGCGATGGTGGACACGCTATCGCTCAGTTTGGAAAGTTGGCTTCGAGTTTCCTGATGTTCCGACAAGGCTTGTTGCTTATGAGCTAGTGCGGTGGATAAAATGATGTCGTGGAGATTTTGACGTTCCTTGTTGGATTCTTCGAAAGCGATAGTTGATCGATCTATGCTTTCCTGGTTCATCTACAGATTAGTCTCCGTAAGCCTCTTGACGGCTTCTTGGACTACAAAGATCTGATCTAATCCTCCAAGGGATATCCAGCTGGCAGCCGTTAATCAGATGAAACTAGTCGGTGACGGACGAGATCAAACTCACGTATTAATGGTGTTCATATCGAGAACAATTTGCGACCGGTGACGCGCCAGTTTAGACTCCATCTCAGAAATATCCCTGCCTTTCTTATTCGTCATCCCATCCATGATCTTGCGGCGCTTTGAGGATGATCCATCTCCAGTTCGATGCGATTCAGTCCAGGTATCTAGGTCGTGATTGCAATCCTTGAGACGGGAACAGAAAATGGCAAAGTGCTGAACCCAAAATGGCCGGTTCGCATCGAGCGCCTTTTCGTCTAACGTATTGAGCAGAGACTTGAAGTCAAGGAGTGTCTGAGAGAGAAGATGGGCTTCCGCCGTCAGCCGTTGCGCACGCTCATCTGCTTCCTTCAGGTCTTGGATGAAGCCATTGAGCTTAACAAGTCCATTGAGGACATGGCCTGCGACGGACAACAGGCCCGCGACACTGGCGGCTGCGGAAACCGCCTCCATGTTGCAAAATTCGATGCTTTTTCAAGACTCAGGCAGAGGCCCCGAGACTGAGGAATGGCGGGGTTATGTACTGTAGGCCATGGCTGCGGTCAGCAAGATGGTAACCACTGCCACACACCATTCATGTGGCGACTGCAGCGCATCCCCTGCGCTGCAGTGCTGATCGTCCCAATTGGATAGCACTCTTTCTTTTCCGTGTAATATGGATGGCTTAATATGACCGCAGCTTGCATTGATCCTAGGCATTCGACTCAGCCCCCAATCGTCGCCTTGCGGGCTGCCTTACGAGTTGCGAACGACTTCGGGACCGTATTTTCTTCCTTCACATGCATGTTGGTGTTTCTCCTGGGCACTGGTTGCTTGATCTCGAATACTCGAATGCCAGCAGTGACGGACACCACCGATCTATGCAATATCCATGACAGCAGCACGGAAATCAGAGAAGATGTGGAGGAAATCGGCTTGGGGGCGGTCGTTTCTCAGCGCATAATCAAGGAAGTCTCTCAGTCCGAATGCATCATTTTTTTCGACTCATGTGAACAATTGCGAAGGGAGACTATTGTGAGTTTAGGAACAAAGATGGATTCGAGCCTAGATTAGCACAAAGCGCTTCTCAATGATTCTCAAGCTGCCTCGGCAACAACAAGGGACTGCAAGAAAATTGCTAGCAAGGGAGACTTGTGAATGGATCTCTTCTTTGTAGTTGACGAGAGGGGGAATATGAGATGATGCTTAATCGCGGAAGACAGAAGACAAGAAATAAATGCAAAGACACATCCACATGAATGAAACAGAAATTGTACAATCTTGGGTAGAAGCTGTCGTAATTCTTTTGGAAACAGGTTTCTGGACGAGGCACCTCATTTCAAGTTCAGACAGCGCCTCTTCGAAACATCACGAGCTGACTTACACCAAGTGAAGTCGCCTTAGACCAAAGTTGCTCAAGACTTCTTGAGAAACTTTCTTAACCAAAGACAATGCCACCAAGGCCAAACAATGGCTCCTCAAGCCGACAGCCGCCGGAGCAGCAACAGCAGCAGCCACACGGCCACGATTTCGGGCCCGGATGGGACTATCCCATCCCACGGATTCCGGCTTTGCCAAACAACGGCTTCAACGGTCCTGCCCAGGCGGGACCGTCGAACGCGATGCGTCCTCAGATGGGTCAACAGCAAGCTCAGCTACCGGCGTCGAACGTGATGCCGAACCAGAATTTCAACCCGCCACCAGCGCAGTACATCGATCCCAACAACCAGCAGAACGACAATCAACAGAACAACAACCAACAACTCCGCTGGGCCAAACCATACCAACCCCAGGGCCAGCCTCAGCCCCGTCCCGCGGTCCCATCCCAACCAGCAAAGCGCGGACGGCCCCGCAAACATCTCGACGAGGAAGACCAAGACGAAGGACAAAGAGCATCAAAAAGACCAAAACTCCAGCAACTCCCCTGGCAGCCGCCCCTCATGCGCATCACGCAATCCCCCCACGTCGGCCAGCACAACCCCATCGACAACACGTGCGACCACTGCCGCGCCCGCCCCCACGAGAACCAGGGCTGCGACGTCGACCTCGCCAACCAGATCGAGTGCCACCGCTGCACCCGCCACCGCGCCCTCGTCGACCCGAACCACGTCTGCAAAGTCCTCGGCCGGGAACACTGGCAAAAGCGCTTCGCCAACGCCCGGCCATCGTACCCGATCACCGACACGAGCTCGAGCGTCTGCGTGCGGTGCAAGACGCACCAGGGCAGCGGGCGGATCGCGCTGTGCGATATTGACGACCGGGTCAAGATTGGGTGTACGCCGTGTAAGAATGATCAGGCGCTGTGCCGGGTGTACGACGAGCAGAAGGTGAGCGGCGAGAAGCCGGACGTGGATCAGCCGGCGGAGGTGATGTGGAACCGGCCTATGCCCGGAGACGGCACTGTGCCCGCGGGTCGGCGGCCGTGGTGGCGGCAGATGTGTCAGGGGTGTCAGCCCGGCAAGACGAAGGCGTGTTCCTGGATCCGGGACTTCCGGCTGAGGGAGTACAAGTGCACATCGTGCGTCGAGAAGAATATACCATGTGTGGACCCCTGGACGGCGGTCACGTACGATACGCCGTATACGTGGGCCCCTGGGGATGGGGACAAGATTGTCTACGACAAGAACACGAAGCTCCGAGATGGTAGGCACCGGTGCACCAACTGCGCGACGAACCAGGCCATGTGCCGGTCCCTCGCCGGCGAGGAAGACTTTGCGTGCGTGCGGTGTACCTCGTGGGGGTTGGTGTGCGAGACGCCCGGGAACGGGAGCCGGCACCCGTCGCGGCAGCTGCCCTGGATCGACAAGAAGAGAATCGGGTGGTCCGGGTGGACGAAGTGCACTGCCAACGGCAAGGGTATGAAGTTCAGCGGGTGCCGGCGGTGTCGTGAGAAGGGGTATAGCTGCGATCGGAAGCGGCCATGCGATAGGTGCGTCAACGACAGAGCGGCGGCGGACTGCGATTCGTGGGTGATGAACAAGGAATTGGTTAGACGCGACGGAACGGATGGTGTGGAGCAGCCAGAGTATTACATGGCTCTCGGGTACGGCCCCAAGGGTATTGACGATGATCGGACGCTGTGTTTAGAGCAGAATCTCCTCGGGCCAAATAGACCGAGGTACGCGGTCATGACGGATCCTGCTGCTGCTGCGGCTGCCGTTGCAGCTGCCGCCGCCGCTGCCGGTGCCAATCCGGCTGATGCTCCGGGTCCTGCTCCCCTCGCAGTTGGAAATCCTCCCATGGCGGCGCAACAGGACCCCCATCGGTTCGGAGGTGTCGTCGGCAACGGGCCCGGCGGCGGCGGCGTGGCCCCACTGCCGCGGCCCATGGCGGCAGCCGGACAGCAAGGTTTCGCCGCACCGCCCGATCCAATGGCGTACCACGACCCGGCCTGCCTTTACGGCAACCAAGGCCACATCGGTAACCAACACAACAACATGATGTACGGCGACAACAACGCGGCCGCCGCGGCAAATCAGACGGGCGGAGGGTTCTCCGACTGGGTGAGCGGCTACAACGCAAGCAACAACCAGGCCGGCCCAAGCCAAAACGCCCAACCGCCTCTGTTCGAAGGCCGGGCCCAAAACCAGGGTGATGTCCAGTACATGATGGGCAATGGATATGATATCAACCCCGAAAACCTGGTCCAGATGGCAGAGGCACAACCGGTCCTCACTCACCCACAGCTCGAAGTCGACCCCCAACGCGAACAATTCGATCTCGCCCGCGGAATCTGTGACTTCATGGCCCAACTAGCCCGAGACGGCCGCTTCGTGCCCATCGAGCTCCGCAACTTCCAACCCCCCGAAGTAGCCGAAACCCCCGCCGCCGCCCGCATCGGCCCTCCGGCCCTAGTCATCCTCGAGCTCACAGACCAAGACGTCGCCGAAACGCCCCGCGAACCACCAGGACCGCCAACATGGAACCCGGGCCCCTACGACCCCCAACTCCGCGCCGCCCTCGCACGATGGAAACGCCCGGCCAACGACGTCTTCCACGACATCCCCGACGCCTCCCTGCTCAACGGCGCCCAACCAGACAACCAGCCCTGCGACGAAGTCAAGCCCGGCGCACCGGGTAACATCTGCAACGCCCACGTCCCCGACGGCGCCCACTGCGAAAACCTAGAACACGCCGCCGCGCAGCCAAAACCGCACGTCGTCTGCGAGGGCTGCGACCTGACCTCCAAAAAACACCTCTTCGAAGGCCCGCAACCCCTGACGCGCATGGAGTTCCTCAACATGCGCAACTACGCCTGCGGCGGCTGCGTCCACACGCGCCAGGCCGACGCGCGGTTCGGCGGCAGGATGCCCGCCGGCCAGCTCGCGAACCCGCTGCACCCCGTGACGGGCTGCCTCTGCGCCAGGAAGCTGCTCGGCCGGCGGCTGTGCTCGCATCACCGGTACCAGCTCGCGCAGCGGCTCATGATTCAGGTGTCCATGGTGATCGAGTGGGCGATTACCAACTTTGGACCGGACATGTGTCTGTTTTGTAAGCAGGGCGGCCATCTCGCCAGGAGCATGGCGGAGTCGGAGAACGGGATCATGGATGATGTGTTGTACGTGTGCCTCAATTGTGAGGGTATCATCAGCGTGAACGGCCCGAAGGAGCTCGTTCCGGGCGTCGAGGAGTGGATGGGCGGGTGTCATCCGTTTTCCCTCTACTCGGAGCCGTGGCTGCAGGCGCCTATGCAGGACATAGAATGGGACGCCTGATTAGGCGAATATGGCCCCCGGATGTCTCATGGAAGTAAGCTGGGTAACGTCAAAGAGGAGGAGTTCTGGTTGGCGGTATCTTTTTCCGATTCGGCTTTGGATTCGGATAGAGACGCGGTTGGGTCGATACCACGGTAGCGTTGGAGCATACATGGCGCATTACAGGTGTTTCGTTTGATGTAGAGAAGAAGAAAAAGTTCGGATTCTGACGTTTCCGCTCCGGGCCGTGAAATGGTAGCCGAGTGAACGTTGAGGCACACCGTTGAGACTTGAGGGATGGTTGCGATGTTTCTGAGCGACTCGCATCTGCATGTCTAAGGTGAGGTAAGGTGAGGGGAGCCATGGCCCATGGGGCAACAGGGCGGCTCAGGGCCTCGGGCTATGTACTCCGTGGTGGGCTGCAGTCTTAATGGGAAACTTGTTGAGAGATGTCATAAGCAAGTTGCATATGCTCCGGGTTGTGATTTGATGCCCTAATGTAGTGACATATTAGCAGTGAACTAAGATATTGGGAGTTTCTTATTCCATTGGCATCGGAAATTCGGAAGGTGGAACGCCTCCCGACAGACCTGTCTTCTCTTTGTGATCCATTAATCCAGATAATAACCACATTCAAGCTCACCTATTTACTGTCACTCGGTTTCTGGAGCAAGCAGACTAGCCTGTTCCTAGATAACCTCGTTTCATCGTCAGCCACAACATCTTGAGATATCACATGTCGTAAAACGTTGCAGTAGCATCTTGAACAACAACCCTGAGTGCAAAAAACGCTAGGCCTGAGTGGACAAATCCTCACACAACTACAGCTCAACCGTTGAAAATCACATTGAGGGCAGGATATCACATCTCAGATGAACTGACGTAAAGGGAATCTGTATGACTTGGCGACTGACTCTGACCTCAGAAAGACCTTGCGGTGTCTCAGAAGAAAGAAGAAATTACAGTATGAAAAGAAAAAAAAGGAGTACCGATATAAAGAAGAGACAGAGACAAGCCGATGTTTGGTCTCAAATAGCCCTCCCAGTGTGTGTAGTAAAGAATCTCGAGTCCACCCTCCACAAGGTCTTGCGGCCAACAGTCTCTGGCTGACAGACCAGCCAGTCTGCAACCCATTCTTCTCTGCCGCCGCACCACACGATGAAGATACTGCCAGACAGCCTTGTGAAAAGGACTTTCTTCTCTTGTCCCCCGCCACGTACAATCGTGTGCGATGACCATGTCCATGAAGTTGCCCTGAAAAGAACAAGTTCCAAAAAGTGCAGCAAGTCAGAACCCGACTCCCCGTCCGATGCAGCACAAACAAGATTTTGATCATTGGTCCCCCACGTCAGCATGTCTTTCTCCAAACGACATTTGCTGGGCCTGCTTGGACCTGTTCAAAAGTCCAGATGGGGAAAAAAAACCGTGCGTTCAGCATCAACCAGCGGCATCCACCAGCCCAGTCAAGGCTCAAGGTATCTCACGACTCTCTAGCCGCTTGGTCTGCACCATCCCTCCCTCTTGCTCTCTCGCTCTCTCCCCCCATTGTGCACGCGCTCTCTTTCTCCAGGTCGAAGTCGAAAAAAGACCGCTCACATTATTACGCACTTGGAGCAGCAGCCTGCCTCTTGCTCGCCACCCTCGACGTCCATGGGCTTCGGGGGTCCGTTGATGCCAGAGGCGCCACCGCTGCCGGTAGAGTAGCCCTGCATCTCTCGGTTGTATCGACGGATTTCGCGGACGATATCATAGAAAGCCTTGTCGACGTTGATGCGAGACTTGGCTGATGTCTCGATGAACTTGCATCCGAATGACTTGGCAAGAGCCTCTCCCTCTGTAAGAAACGTGTCAGTCATCAATTCAATCGATTAAATCAACCATCAGAAAGGGGCCTATATATTGGAGGCACGATCATGCAGCGATGCGGCGCAGCAATTAAAAAAAACGTACCTTGTCGTGTGACTTCTCTCTCGCCCTCCAAATCGCACTTGTTGCCGACGACGACCATGGGGAAGTAGTCCTTGTCCTTGACTCTCAGAATCTGCTGCTGAAATGTGGTGATTTCCTCGAAGCTCTGGCGCGAGGTGATGGAGTAGACGAGCAGGAATCCCTCTCCCGTTCTCATGTACTGCTCGCGCATGGCGGAGTACTCTTCCTGACCGGCGGTATCGAGAACATCGAGCAGGGCAACTTCCTCGTCAATAACGCACTGCTTGCGGTAGGAATCTGTAGTTTTGAGAAGAACCAGGTTAATTTGAGCGATTGATTTGCGGTCGCATCGACCGGCAATGGGAAGTTTAATTATTATCGAGGCAACATACCTTCAATCGTTGGGTCATACTCGTCGACGAAATGGCTCTGGATCAATTGAATGGTCAAGCAAGATTTACCGACACCACCGCCACCGACGACGACCAGCTTGTACTCTCTCAAGAACTGCAAAAGAATGACGGGTTAGCAATGCGTTGATGGAAGCGACGGAGACGAGGCAATGATCGAAGAGTGGGACGTCGCGCGACGACGCGAGGACGAGGACGAGGACGAGGACGAGAGCGAAGGCGAGAGAGAGACGACGAACCTTGGACGCCATTGTGCTGTGATGATGTGTTGATTGATGGTTGAAATCTCGACGGGGCTTGTTCGCGCGCGTTGTTGATGACTTGAAGCAACTGCTGTTGAGGTGAAGATACGGGCGAGATCCGGGAAACAGTCAGGAGCAGCCGGGCGATTGGCGTCTCGACGGATTCGGAAAGGGCTCAGCGAGGTTGGTTTTGACGAGGTGCGTGAGCGTGAAGTTGGAATTGAAAGGAGTGGTTTGGCAGCGAGCGAAACGACGGGTGGGAATCTGGATCTGGTACGGCACAGGCCGGATTGCGAAGTTTAAAGGTGAAACGACGAGGTCGATGGCAGAAATCCGGGACTGACAGCAGACAGTCTTTCGAGAAGGAGAATGAGAGAATGGGCACAAATGGGGAGGTGTTTCGTTGTTGCTAAGGGGGGGCTTTTTGGCAAAATGTGGAGATGGGGGAACGGGTCGGTCCAGTAGTAGGGAAGGAAGGACCTGCCTGCACTTTGCCTCTGCTCCTGCCTACTGGTGCTGCTGCTGAGTGCTGTGTGTGCTGGGGCAGGTGCGGGTGCGTGTGTGCTCCTGCTTTGCTCTCTGCTCTGTTCTCCTGCTAAGGTACCTAGGTAGGTGCTGAGGTAGACAGGAGGAAGGGAAGGTGCGGAAGGTAAGGTACGAAGCTGAGGTACCGATTAAGCATACCGGGGTACCTGCTCTTGCAGCTGCTGCACAGCGGAAATCGCAGTACACCCACTCACTCCACACGTTGTATCTTTCCTTACATCGGCCTTCCCTGCCGTCCCTGCCTTCTCGTGTCCACTCCCTCCCAGCTCCCCTTCGCTCTTTCCCGCGCCTTGCCTTTTTTTTTCTCTTCCCTCCTGGGCTCCTTCCACGCTCACCTCCATTCTCCCACTGCCAGACGAGCAGGGCAGGGAGGTGCTGTATCCGTTCATCCACCTTCGTCCAGAAACGGTACGTAACTTTAGGGCAGACAGTAAAGTGCCTCTTTCATCACACTGGGGGAGGGGGGCATGCCACACACTCTCTCTTCATCTCTCAGTCTCTTTCACACATTGGGACGGAATTAGAGGTGACGGGAGAGGTGAGAGGTGAGTGAGAGAACGAGGTGAAGCCTGGCTTGGGTTGGACAGGGTGTGGTTGTAAAGATTCCATTCCATCCATCTCAGTCCTAAGCAGCAAGCACGTCTGGTTCCGTCTGCTTTGATCACCTCGAGGCTCACAGCAAGGTACGGGACACCAGGACTGCTTGCTCATCTTGCCCTCCGCCGGCCTTGTCTCGTCTGCCGTGCCCGGCCAAGTCGACACGGGCGTGCCACCAGGTCTAGCCAGGTCCTTTTTTGCCGTCCGTCACGCACTCGTTCCTCGTCTCTTAGACTCTTTCCCAGTGTACCCCCCTTCTCATGAGACGAGGGACCCAATGCGCGCGGCTTCTGTCACACCAGGCGCTCTTTCGATGAGATCGCGCGGTCGACAATGCCATGTATCTAAGGTAAGCCAAGACATCTCGATATCTTGTGTCTGGTTCGTCACCTCTCTATTTCGCAGTGGACAAGAACGGTTGGCTGGCACCAGTTTGGCGTTTAGCGCTGGGTCTATGATTTGACGACGACCTGGTAGACTTGGATCGAAGGAGGCACAAGCATACACCCTCACCAACGTCGCTCACACTGCCTCCGTCCGCCCATGCCTTGGGCGAACTTTGAGGTACGCGACGTGCGCTACGGATACACGAAGCTCATGTCGGGCCAGGTGGAAGCAGATCGATAACGACGTCCCTGGTGGAAGCGCTATTTGCGAGCGAGGCGCCTCCCATTACCAATCACTTGAATGATTCTATGGGCCCGGTCTGGAAGGAAAGGAGAAGATCAATACAAATCATTTACAAGACCCTGGTGTCGCAATGAGAGTTGATAGTGATACTAGTCAATACATGCCTCCATTGGTCGCACTGCGCTGGTTATGGACACAGCGGCAAAGGTGAACAATCCCATCAGACAAAGGGAATTGACAGAAAAATTAGACGATACCGAGGGCTCGAGTGAAGGAGAGATTTGACCGGGGATGGGAAAGAGGGACTTGCAAGTGGGAGTTTATCGCGGCGACCTCTGGTGCAGTAGCGTCGGATGCAGCAGGGGGGTCCCTTGGAACCATAAAAAAGAGGCCTGGTGCAGACGCCTGCAGATGCCCACCAAGCAGCAAAGCGGCCGAGGGTGGGAGGACCATTGATGAAGCGCAAGGGGGGAGAAGACGCGCAGAAACGATGGAATAAATTGGTGAGTGGACAAAAGGGAAAGAAAAAAGAGGGGTGGCGTCGTGTATGGTTCGTGCGAGCGAGAGTGGAACTGTGGGAAGCGAGTGGGAGCGAGATGGGGGGTCCCACCTCAGGCACCAGGAGGAAACGGTACGTATCTATCAGACAGGGGAAAGGAAGGAACAGCTGCAAATGCGACTGAGTGACCCCCCCAAGCGGCAATTCCCAAGTGCTGACAGGGGCAAGAACCAGAGGGAAAGGTGGGGTAGAGATGCACTTAAGCGTCAAGCTCGAAGTTTTCTTTCCCTTATGTAATCTATCAAGATTGCATTCAGGAAATACTTCAATCACCGTCTCCACGAAAAAAGCTAGGTAGATAGGAACTCAGCAGACAAGTAACTTTTTGTTGTAAGAAATGAGTGCAGTCCAATCCATTCCGCGTCAATAAGAGCATGGATTCCTCTGAACAAACGAGGTACGCAATCATCGGTCTCTTCACCGCTTCCGTTGTGGTGCCATGTCGTATTGCCTAATACAATGTCCGGATATAAGCCCCGGTTGTTCGGTCACCTCATCAGAGCAGAAAGCCCGATGTGAGAAGACGTATCGCATCTTGCGGTCCGACAGCTCCACACTTCTGATTACAGTAATCATACGGCGCAGAACACGGCAGGATAGGCTATAGTAGAGTCTACCTCCTTACATACCCGTGTACCATTGTATGGGTTGGGTGCTTAGCGATTAGACTCCTTGTCACCGTTACGTGCTCTGCCTTGCCATATGGCGGGGAGCCTGCTACAGTCTTATCCTCAATAAGACAGATGAACAGGAAAGAGACCTCATCTACAAGTAAGCTTGTCAAGATGCTCAAGTCAAGTCAACTGTGTCCGCGGCCTGCTGCGGCCGATGGTGACACGTAGGACCAAGACATACACCTAGGTCTTACCAATGCACTCACACATTTCGAGACAATCTACCACTTTGGAACGACCCTTGGCCATACGTCTGGTAAAAAGATGTTGATGCGTCTCCTTCAGTCAATGGTCAACATGGGATGCGTTCAAGTTGTGATGTCTCCGTTCCGTCCCGTCTCGTCGTCATATCTGAGATGAGCTTCAAGGTGAGCTTCCTTGGAGACGAGGCCGTATGTAGTTAAAGAGGGCGAGGCGTGAGTGGTTCCTTCCAGCGAGCAGAGAGCTTTGACCATGTGGGGCTCCTGATGTTTTATCGTTCGACTTCGCACTGTACGAATTCGTACGACACCAGGCAGGTACGAAGGATGGGAGGATTCGTATGCTGGACGGCAGGTGCAATGCCATGTCTCCAGCCTTGCACCTCTTACGCCCTCAGTATTCCGTATCCGCTTGATAGACTCTGCACTTTACACAACCTTATAGAGAGGCCTTCCCTCACTTTACCTGTGTACGATACTGGCTTTGCGGTCTAGAACCCGACTCGGACGACCTTCTTTGCTGATCCGAGGTTGAATGAGATCCATCGAGCCAGCTGATAATTAGTGGTCAACATCCAGATACGTACATTTGTTCCGTTCTGTTACGGTTCTCGTTGTCCAATATCACCCGAACATCTGCGAATAACCTCTTTCACTTGCTAGCAGCCAAACCTTATTTATCGCCTTTCAAAAGACTGCCCATCAAACGCAACAACAATCGGTGAGCTGCCTGCAGGCTGCAGTCTCCGACGCCTCACCATGACCCAGGTGCTGAGCATACGCGACAAAAGCGAAGTCGCCACCTTCTAAACTCCACTAATTACGAGTCTGTCTGTTTGCGGCAGCGCCTCGCGCCGACTTGAGCCTCTTCGGGGTCTCCACGTCCACGTGAATCTTCGTCGTATAGCCGAGAAGAACGATCATGTCGCTCCGCACATCTATAGCCTAGCAGCCTGGTAGCGCTCGACTAATCTCTATGCCAGTTCGTGGCGCAGAGGCTGGCTCAGCTCAACTTACACACATCCCATTCCAACCAAACTTCGGCCCGGAGGTCACGGAGAATCCGTGAGAGTTCCCAGCACATGCTCCCTTCCACCGCACCCGTCACCCCAAGAAATCCATCAAAGACGCCCTCATCTACGCATGACAGCAGTAAGGGACGACGCGCTGGAATGTAGAATGGCATCTTGGCTGTTCTCACCTGAGCTTACACGACATCGTCTGAAGTTACCAGCCGGCGCGGATCACTTCGTACGCATACGGATATGTTGTCGAGATACAGGACCCTGGGACAACGTGTTGGACACCATGTCACAATCCGGCAATTCTGAACCGACGTTGTGAACCCCTTGCCACCACGATGTACGTACGCCTGCCAGGGGTTGAACGCAGCTATAATCAACGGATACAAAGGCCCACCTCATGCGGCTTTGCTTCAGCAAGCCAGTGCAGATCCACGTACAACGGTACACGCGCATTTACCAGGTGCCAGACTACTACTGCAGTTAAACCCTTGCCAACGTAGCCCAAGAAAGACGACCACCTCGCGGTAATGGTGACACCCGACAACTCAAACAGGAGCGCGAGGGGAATCACGTTCATCAGAGATCTTTCGTCAAAACAGACCAATGGATCATGATCGTATCTTACGTACTACGTTCTGTGATGATTTGCGCCAGACTTGCAGACACCAGAGCTCAATGAGTCAACTGTCCTGATCAGTATCGTTCAGCTAGGTCGAACAACATGCTCAACTTTACGTCTAATACTTCAGCACGGCACCTCGTAGCAGGGATTTGTTGGATACGGAACGCCGTCCTCAGTGAAGAAGAGATGAGGGGCCAATGGTTACGATCCACCCACTGTCCAAATTTGTACGGAGCACTTTGCGCAGTGAAGCCGTACTGGGGCCAGACTGCAGTCAGCGCTCGATTTGAACCCCTCAAGCTTCCCGTTTCAACGGCGCAACTGGGACTACTGCACCCCGGCCTTTAAAGTCGCTAGAGAGCTTCTGTCATTATGACAGAATGGGTCGAGCGTGCATTTGTCCAAAGCATCCCGAAGCTTCTCAATGCCATGGAATCCGACATCGATATAACTAAACTTTAGCCGCAACCACACCCAAAACTACGGACCGAAACGATGTTGCTTCTTTCTACATCCCTTGCATCCCGGGTTTGAGCCAAGACGCCTAGCCCTGACATCTGAACTTTGGCTTACTTGCGTCTGCCATAACTCCACGCCTTGACTTGACTCCTCCTCTAGTCAGACAACCGCCAGGCACGTTGCGTGGCCCACGTCAGATCTCACGAGTCTTGACCATGCAACGCACAGAGAGCGATCAGTCAGTCCACGACGTACTCCTTGACGATCGAGAGACAGAGAATCCCTCCCCTGGCAGTGTTTGGTAGGCTATAGCGACTGGTGGCGCTGGCGCGAAGCAGCTTTGATTCGTTCACCGGTAACGCTTCAAGGCCATAGCGCATGAGTAGTCGCGGTATTCGCACCGGCCCAAACTCATACTGGCTCTTGCGCCGCCCGAGCTTGCATGGCCCGACCAGCAACTTGGCAAGACAGCGCCGATCATCTTCCCACAAACACCACCGTCAACTTGGTTGATCTCTGGCGACATTGCGCTCAGATCGCTTCTTCTTCGTCCCTCCGCACGTTTCCATGCCTTCAAGTGGAGGCAGCTGGGGTGTTCTCGGGCCATGTTTCTCTGCATCTTTGGATTCTGGCACTCTGAAGTCTGGGCTGTTGGTAGTACAGCCACTTGCCGAAGCAAAGATGCAAGTCATGTCACTTTGATCTGCTGGTGGAATCCGCCATTATCGCACGCTGAAGGGCTTCGAACAATATTCTTTCCACGGCGCATACCTGCTCAAACAACTAGAGAGATGCTCGGTAGCCATCAACATCAGTATCTAATCCACAATTGGGATACCCCAGGATAGCAGGCTACCAATACCCCAGGTTTAGGCGCAGCCACAAATTTCCATATCGCCATACCAGTCCTGCCAATGTCCAAAAGGAGTTCAAGCGCGCGAGGATTCACGTTGGTTTCTAGAAGCTTGGCCTCTGCGAGCATGGCCGCCAGGGTAGAACGGCGGATAAGCACGGCACTGGTCAGGAGTACCTTGCACTATCGCCTCCATGAGGCCATTAGACAGGAGGCGGCGGCGATAGTCCTGTGTCGTCCTTTCATCCGCGCGAGGCTATCTTGTCCAGCAATGGTCTCTTCTTGGACCGTGCTTCAACTTGGACACATACCAAATCGATTTGATTTCCACGAGATTTTTAGAGAACCTATCCCAAGCTCGGTCAGTTGCACAGTGCGACACGACATGGATGGATGAAGTTCCGGACAGGCCACTTAAATGGATGGCCAATCCATGTCCGGAGGGCGACAATGCGACGACTGGGTTGTAGTCGCAGACATGCTTTTGTGGAGCATGAACTGACCTTCCATCGATTCTCGAGTCTTGACATTCGGCTGACTCGATGCAACAGGCATAGCGTGGCCGAAGTGGTTGCTGGGAGTCTCAAGAGGTTCCCTCAGCCATGGGGAAGAGTCGTCGTCGTCGATAAGGATCCGCAAGCGACGGCCCCATTGTGCCGTCACGAGACGGAGGTGTAGCCAAACGTTGTCGAGCACCGTCAGAGATAGCACCGGGGCCCCAATCCACAGCTCATCTCCTGGCGAAACGGAGCCAGTCTCCAATCGGTAGGTATCCGTGCTGGCATATCTCGCTCGCGGGCCGCCATCATACGCAGTAATTAGCAATTCGAGAACTGCAGGCCTGTGGTGTGTTGAGCAGCTGCAGCAGAAGCTTGTCATTCTAGAAGCCCTGGATGATCATTTCGATCCACCCCCTGGCCTGCAGCAGCGCCATCCGCCATCGTCTCCGTCCGACATGGGTCCAACAACGATCTCTGATTATTCGAGTAAGGATGCCTGCAATTCACGAATACTCTCTAGCTGTATTCGCCTCGCAATGCGATTTGGTTGTTGGTCGCGGGCTCGGGGCCGAAGTGATGGGATTGATTATGTACACGCAACGATTTGCGTGTGTCTGCGAATCAGGTCACGTATTCGTGCGATATCTCTCTCTACTGAGAGCTCTGCCATTACCACAAATTGGGCCCATTGAAAGGGATCCACCGCGTGCCCAAGTGCGGTCTCCGCGCCTCCACAAGTCAGATCGTGAAGTCTCATGAAGAGTTTCTTCGACAGCTCAAAACACATCATTCATAGCTCGCGGATGATGTTGACAGGTCGGCAGCTCATCCCATTGGAAAGATTTTAGGATGATTGAATACTTGTCACAGAAAACCGATCTCACGGTGGTCAAATCACAGGTGGCTGCTCCAGTATCAGAAAACACACCATCCTAGAATCGATCCGCAAACCCTTTATACTCCAGATGACAGAGTTACAACCGGATATCCCGAACAAAATTGTTATTGCCGCAGCGGAGCCACTTCCTTCGGGATCGTGGGGGTTGATCGCTATCTGATTTGAGATTTAGGTTTTGCTAACATTATTCGAGATCTTTTCCCGCCTCGCCCTGGGTATCATCCTCACCCTCCGCGTTTACACGCTTACCTTCGACACCCTGGACAACCTCGGCCACGATGCTCTCGATGTAAGCCTGGTCCCTGTAGCGGAAAGAAAGAAAAAAGTCAGCCATCCAAAGTTGAACTTTGATGTTTGGAAATATCCACAGCTATGATCTGTGAGCACATCTCTGCGCAGTTTGATGACTTACCTTCCAACCAACGTCACGGTGCCGTTCTGGCCCCACCGGGGATAGCTGCCGACCTTGACGCCCTTGGGCTCGACCTTGGCCGCGAGCTGCGTCAGGTAGCCGGCGACGGCGCTCTCCGGGAGCGGAGTAGAAATGAGCACGCGGCAGAGGCCTTTGCCCTCCGGATCGGTGAGCCGGGGCACGATGCCTGGCTTCAGCCCGTCGAGGAGCTTCTCAACTGTTTCCCACCAAGCGTTAGATCAGTACCATATCCGGGCAGAAAGATTGGAACCTACAAAGTCGCGGGACGCCCGGCAAGATGTGAACGTTGCCGTTGACGACGTTGACCGGCACCCAGAGGTCCTCGTGGGGGAAGACGAATTGCTTCTTGGGGTCGCGCTTCTCGTCTGTGGGGAGGATGACCATGCGCAGCTTCGCCTGCAGGGCGGGCGAGTCGACGTCCCAGTCAAAGTTTGGCTGGCCCGGGTGCGGCTTGGACAGCTTCTTCATCTTTTCGAAGGCTTCCTGGTTCAGGACGAGGGGTAGGTCAAAGGCCTTTGCTATTGACTGGTATGTGATGTCGTCGTGTCTGTGGAAATTACCTAGTCAACTATCAAGTTTCACGGCAAGGGTCGGATTTCCACGTTTCTTACGTTGGACCGATTCCGCCGCTGAGAATAGCGTGTTAGCTGAGGTGCTGGTTGCCATTGAGATTTGGAGGGAACGTACCTGGTTACCACAAAGTCGTAACGATCGCTCATGCGCCTGACGGCTTCGACGATTTCGCTCTCATCGTCTTCAATGACTTCGACTCGCTTCAAGTTCTGCCTTTGGGATCAGCCACATTCCTATGAAGCACTCATTACATATTGAATAACTCACAATGCCCAGAGAAAAGCACCACTTGGCCATGTAAGCCGAGTTGGTCTATGGTAATCGGTTAACACGGATTGGTCACCACAGGCCTACTCGCCGAAATAGCTGGCCGTTTCTGAAATGCCATTTACTCACATCAACTGTCTACGGATTACGATGGAAATATTAGCATTCCCTACAGTTTATGATCTCGTCGATAAGACTTCTCCTCACCTTTCCGCCGAGAACCTCATCTCCGATGATGAGACACGCCGCCGTGTGAATCGTGCGGGTGTTGCGCTCGTCTGCCGAAACCATGATTCTGCTGCTGCGGGCGAAGCCGGCGGAGACTGGGAAAGCGGCGGGCTTAACAGCTTGTGTTATTGATTGGGCCGAGGGGAGATGCCGAGACAGCTGGGTGAGTCGCGCGAACATGAGAAAACGACAACACCCGATGTGAAGCGGTGTGTGTATACGGGATGAGGTGCAAGTGTGTATGTGTGTGTGTGTGTGTGTGTGTGTGTGTGTGCACCTCAACTGTGTCTTACGCGACTTATCTCGAACCGATGGATTTTCGTCTCACAAAAATCGATGATGTCATATGTTGGGAAGAAAACGAAGGTTTTCGGCAAAAGGAGAGAGGAAAGGTCACGACAAACGGGAAGGTTTACGGCAACGGGGCCATGAGCTGATTAGAGTGGGCGGAAGAGAGAGATGCAGGGTCTCTCTTTGGGTACGGGCCGGGGCAGGAGGAGGAGAGCGGAATCGAGAGTAAGGCGTCAGAAAGCACGAATCAAATGTTGAGATGCGGGAGCTCCTCTGGAGGCTCCGAGCTCCGGTTCGGGGCGAGCGGAGGACGGTCCTGCGGTGTATGAGATCACGTGACTGTTTGCTCTCATTGTCGTTATAATGGGGTTCCAAAGGATGCCTCTGCTGCCTTGATTGACAATCATCCCTTGCTTGGGCTGTTTCTATTGATCTTTAAGATGATCAATCCGAGACAAAGGTAAAGCCCAGACATTCATCCTATGTACTCCCTCCCAGCTCTTACTGCAAGATGCTTGATATTTTCTCTTGACATATTTCCGCGTTCTGTCAATCATTTGGACAGCAAAAGACTTGAATACTTCCAGAGAACCCTAAAATAGCAAAATCATCAGAGACAGTGTCACCAGTTGAGAAATAGACATGCTGTATTTGAACAACCCAAGCTAAGGTATCTCAGGTATATAGAAGAAGTGCATGACTTACATCGGCAAATAATCGGAAGGACTGGATGACTTGAAAGCTCCCGTCCAGCGGGACGGTGGGTGAGGTCACTTTGGTGGGGCCCCGCCCAAATGGCGCGCGCGGGGCTTTCGTTGCGCTGGTCTCAACTCCGTCGGAGGCGGGGGAGGGGTGGCTTGACTTTCGGCCTGACGGTTTCTAGTGTATAGTGCTTGCGACGACGAAAGCTACCCTCCCTTACCAAATAAACCTCAAGGAGCCTTGGGGATATCGTTACATTCTCATAGGACGACAGCTTTCGATCCTCCGGGCTTTTCGAGAATTTCGTTGCTCGCTTACCTCCGTTGCATATCTCGAACAAGACTTGATAGTGCCCCTCCCTGGCCAACCCCTCCTTGAAGACCAGCTATGGTGTGTGAGCAAGCTTTCCTGTCGCAAACGCAACTGTCACTAGAATGCCCAAGACTGACTTGCCGTATTTGACACCATTAGGCCTCCGAATCGCGGCTCTACACCTTCTCCCAGGAGACAAAGGACCACCTGCGCAAGTTCCGCCTCGGAACCTCGCGGTCTAGCAGTGCTCAAGCTGTCATTTGTATGTATGTCTCGTTTATGTCAAACACTAGTCTCGGCTAGATAGATACCTTAGGCGCCGGACCAACAAAGTGTATATCTTAGATGCTGACTTCATGTTGCTTTAATAGACTACATTGACAAGAACACGCACGAGATCAAGCAAGACGACGACAAGGTCGTGTACAAGTCCCTCGAGGAGATTAGCGACGACCTCCCGGACCACAGCCCGCGCTTCATCCTGCTGAGCTACCCGCTTACACTGGTATGTTTTCTCATGAAACGAGGAGAAGGAGGAAGGATCTAATATTCTAACACCTTTTGTTTTCTCCTGTAGGCCTCCGGCCGCTTGTCGGTTCCGTACGTCCTGATCTACTACCTCCCCACCACTTGCAACAGCGAGATACGGATGCTCTACGCCGGCGCCAAGGAGCTGATGCGGAATACGAGCGAGGTCATCCGCGTGATTGACATTCGGGAGGCTGAGGATCTGGAGGAGATACCGGAGAAGCTGGGCGCCGAGTAAAGAGGCGGTACAAATTTGGGAAAAAAAGGAAAAAGAAAAGAGATGATATGAGGCATGAACATCTGCAAGGCTGGGAGGAAGCATCCACATAGACAGTCGAGGGAGAGGGGACCACAGGCTTGGCCCCGTCCATGATGAAGAACAGGACGGTAGTATGCAGCGTTCCGCGTACATAATACAAGTGCTTTGCCGACACAGCTTCTTCCCAAAATGCTGATGGATATCTTTTGTTATTTCTTTCGTTAAGTAACGTCTAAATCATGACCAGAAGAGCAATGTCTTCTCCATTTAATTCTCGGGCAACACATCCTTCTCATTCAGCCCCATCTCCTTGCTCACATTCCTCACCACCTCCTTAAACGCCAGACACGCAGGGCTGTCCGGGAAACTATCAAAGAAGCTCTCGCCATAGTCGCACGCCATCCCGATCCGCGGGTCCAGCGGCACGCTCCCCAAAAACGGCACCCCCATCTCCTCGGCCAGCGCCCGCCCGCCGCCCGTCGTCGCGCGGAAGATCTCGCTCTGGTTCGTGCACTTGGGGCACACGAAGCCCGCCATGTTCTCCGCGAGGCCGAGGACGCGGATGCCCGCTTTCCGGCAAAAGTCAATCTCCTTGCGGACGTCGAGGAGGGAGACCTCCTGCGGCGTGGTGACGACGACGGCGCCGTCGATGCCGCTGTCGCGGAGGAACGTGTTCACGCTGAGGTGCTCGTCCGAGGTGCCGGGCGGCGTGTCGACGAGGAGGAAGTCGAGGGGTCCCCACTCCACGTCCTTGAGGAACTGCTTGATGAGGCCGTTCTTCTTGGCGCCGCGCCAGATGATGGCGGCGTCGCGGTCGGGGAGCATGAACTGGATGGACATGACTCCCAAATTGTCGAGGACCCAGACGGGCGACCAGCCCGCGCCGGAGACGTGGATCGTCTCGGCCTCGACGCCCAGCATCTTTGGGATCGAGGGCCCGCAGATGTCCGTGTCCATGACGCCGACGGCGCTGTCCGGGTTCGTGGCGAAGGCGTGGGCGAGGAGGGTGGTGAAGGTGGACTTGCCGACGCCGCCTTTGCCTGACAGGACGAGGATCTTGTGGGCGATGCCGGAGAGGCGGGAGGCGATGATAGGTATGTCCGGGTCCGGGCCCTTTACGGCGGTGGCGGCGCAGATTTCCTTGTTGGGGCAGCCGGCGCAGGAGTCTGCTGTGCCGGCGGCGGCGGATTCCGGGCCCGGGCAGTGTTCTGGTTCTGGGGCGACGAGGGAGGGTTTCTGTTTGAGGGGGTTGGCGAGGACGTCTTGGACCGCTGAGTCGGGGTCCGCCTCCAGGGAGGGGGCCATCTTTGTGTACGCGCTGTGGTTTGCTCGTGAGATGAGTGGTGTTTGGAGGTGCGGGGAGGGTTGCGAGTGATGTGCAGTCAGATCCTATCGGTTATAGTGAAAGTTGAAGGCGTGTAGATGAGATGGGTGAGTTGTCTTGAGGTTGAGGTCTGGTCCGGCACCGGCGATGGGGTGAGGCCAAGTGAGGTGAAGTTGATTGATAAGCCGGATTGCAAAGCGGTCCTGTGGCGGCAGTCAAGATCGAACTCGTCACAAGTTGAAGACTTATACGGGAAATACTGACGAGGGAGTTTCAGTTCGTTTGCTGCTTGGAGAAGCCAGAGTCCACTGTGAATTGTACGAAGGTAGAAGTATAAGGTATCTAAGATGAAGAGCGGTTGACAAAATGAGTTGCTGTGAGTGGTGGCAATACCGCCTTGGAAGTTCGCCGTAGTTGCAACCCCACTTAATAGAGTCACTCTTCAACACGAACTTTGCTGATGTAACCAAAAGTTAAGCTTTGCCAGACTGACAGCTGCTCTGGATGGAAGCCAAAAGCATACAAATTGTCAACAAAAAGTCATTATATGCACCCAGCGAGATGGAAACACATCATGGGTGACAACGGCAAAAGATGAGGTCCATCCAGGATTCGAACCTGGGCCTACGGAAGGTTCTGAGAATCAGAATCCGACGTCCTAACCAACTAGACTAATAGACCAATCAGAGCTATTGGCTTCTATTAAGGGAGGTGAAGATGACGGCCTATTATTGAAGGTCTAGTGGATAGCAAGACCCGTGGTATTACGTACGGTGAAATGCCCTCCCAGCTGAAGTGCCTGCGTTTTGCAGGAAATGCAGCTGTGGACTGGGCTGCAGGGTTCCCTTTTCCAGTGAGGGGCAGATCTTATCGGGTGCCAATCACCCCGCTATGCCCCTCGCAAAATTTCTACAGCCAGCCCGACTTTATCAGATCCGACGGGCAAGAGACCACCCCTCGGAGGTAAGTCTTAGTCCATTCCGCCCTCCTAGAATACAATCGGCCCACGCCTTTCTTCTATTTTTCTTTCCATTCAAGCCTCACTTTGAGTCACCGCAAACTTTCATTGACGGCATTGTTGTCACTTTCTTTCAGTCTCTAGAAACAAAAGATACCCCCTCTCCATTTACGCACACCCCAAAAAAGAAAACGCAACAATGTCATCCTCCGCCGACCTCCCCGAGACGCGCGAGACCCTCGAGGCCATCGCCGCCGCCGACCAGTCCCAGACCATCGCCGAGCTACGCAAGACGCTCACCTCCGAGACGACCCCTCTCCCCATCCGCTTCCGCGCCCTCTTCTCCCTCAAGCACGTCGCCTGCAACAGCAAGGGCCCTGACAGCGAGGCCGCCATCGAGGCCATCGCCGCCGGCTTCGCCTCCCCCTCGGCCCTGCTCAAGCACGAGCTCGCCTACTGCCTCGGCCAGACGGCCAACCTCGTTGCCGTCCCCTACCTGCGCAATGTCCTGACCGACCTCCAGGAGGACCCCATGTGCCGCCACGAGGCCGCCGAGGCCCTTGGTGCCCTGGGTGACGCTAGCCAGCTGGACATCCTGAGGGAGTACAGGGATCGCGAGGGCGAGGACATCTGCATTGTTGAGACGTGCGAGATTGCCATCGACCGTCTCGAGTGGGAGAACTCTGAGCAGAGAAAGCTGGAGAAGTTGCGCAAGAGGTAAGACTTGCATTGCTACCGTGGAGTCCAGAAACGGGGGTATCTTAATTTCACTATGCTAACGCCTATGCCCTCGTGCTTCTACAGCGACTTCACGTCCGTCGACCCCGCGCCTCCCATGGAAGAGTCGCAGCGCACCGTGCCAGAGCTCGAAAAGACTCTCATGGATTCGAGCCTGCCCCTTTTCCTGCGCTACCGCGCCATGTTCGCCCTGCGCGACCTCGCGTCGCCGCCCGACCTGCCGACCGCCGTCCCCGCGGTGCTGGCCCTCGCCAAGGGCCTCGCCGACTCCTCCGCCCTGTTCCGCCACGAGATCGCCTTCGTCTTCGGCCAGCTGTCGCACCCGGCCTCCATCCCCGCGCTGACCGAGGCGCTCAGCAACACCGAGGAGGCCAGCATGGTGCGGCACGAGGCCGCCGAGGCGCTGGGCAGCCTGGGCGACGAGGAGGGCGTCGAGGCGACGCTCCTCAAGTTCCTGCACGACAAGGAGAAGGTTGTGCGCGAGAGCGTCATCGTGGCGCTGGACATGGCCGAGTTCGAGTCAAGCGGCCAGACGGAGTACGCGTTGATTCCCGAGGCGGCCAAGGCGGCTGCTTGAACACGAAGTGGTCTTTTTGGTTTTGGGAAAGTTGGGTCGGGCAGGTAAATATTCGGGTGGTATTAGGTACTTAAAAGCGACGGGCAAAAAGTTTAGTGCATTTCAGTTGTTATGAGACCATCTGGAAGACAAGTCGGTTAGTATAAAGTTGGGAAATAATGCTAGCTCGGTCGGAATAAAAAGAGGCATTAGCGTACTTGAAACCGCATTCGCAGGTGAAAAAGATGGTGCTGCCTTCGTCTGCACTGCGAAGCTGCACGGCGGTGAAGCGGACCTCCTCTGCGCCGCACTTGGGGCATGTCTCCCTGATCGTGGCCTCGGTGTTGACGTTGGTTCTGTCGACAGCCTGAACGTTGGACTGGAGCTTCTGTCTGAGTTGGGAAGGGAAATCGGAAGGCTTGGTCTGTGTAGTAATCGTCTTGGCGCCAGTGTCTGTATCGACCTTGTTAGTTTGGAGTCTTGCAGACTATTGTAACCAAGTACGCCAGCGGCGATGAGCCTACCCTTGTTATCGGCACCGCAGCAGTCGCAGGTGAGGGTGTTCTTCTCCGTGCCCATTGACGCGGGCAGAAGGTTACCGCAATCGGTGCAGAAGACGAGAGTTCCAATGGCGGACATGGCTGCGGTGGTATCGAAGTGTGACGGTATTGAGTGTCTCCAGGCGTTCGGGTTGTATGGTGATCGACGGGGTATCGCGGCAGACAGACCAACAAAATATTTCTTCCAAGAAATTCGGACAATCGTTACCCTCTTATCGTTATCTTTGATCTTATCGATTGTCTTTCATTGTCGGGCGTCCCCACCCAGTGGCATATTATGTAATCACAACTCAGGCTTGCTGCAGACTGCGAGGTGTGCAAGACAAAGAACCTTGAAAGTGCCAGGGGAAACAGGAAAGAACGGAACAACTGGCCACTGGTTGGCCGCTCCTGCCGCCTAAAGCTTCTGCACGGACCACGCGACTGGACAAGGGTCCTTCCACGCGAGGCTGTCGCAACCTTCCGACCTTCTCATCACATCCACGACGACAACGACGACGCCCGATCGCAACAGATCGTCCTTTCCTAGTTGCGACCTCTTGGCTTGGGACTATGCGACAGGTCCCTCTCTCCTTTGACTGACCTCTAGTCTCCCTCCTTCGCAATCTCCTCGACCGACAAACGATTCTTCCTCCGCTGCGCGTTTCCACGTCCGACACCCTTGCCGATCAGCTTCGCCAGTCGCTTCGAATCTCCGTCCTCCTCACGAAATAACATGTCTTGAGGCCCGGATCAGGTCCGAGGAGACAGAAAAAATGGTCAACAGCCAGGGGACCGTCCAGAACGGTCCACCCAATGGTGGCTATATGCAGCCGCAAGCTGTAGAACAACGTCCGATGGCGCGACCGTTTACGCTGTCTGAGGCCCTGCCTTACTCTCCTCAAACCTCCGTCATTCCCTTTACCTCAGGTAGGTGGCTGTCATTGTTTGAATATATGGTCGCTCTCTAATTGCCTTGGTGCAGATCTCATCCCTGATCCAACACTTGGTTCTGGCTCGCTTGCTTCGAGCATCTCGCAAATGTTCAGCAGTCAGGAATTCGACAGTCTAAATAAGGAAGCAACGGGACAAAATCACAACCATGGAATGAAGCACCTGAAATATGCGGTGGACCATGTACTTCACGATTTGAAACCCAATCAACGGACCTACTTGTGAGTTCAACCTTTCTCCGAGCCGATCATTGTCTAACATCTGTGTTTTGCAGCAAGTTCAAGACTGTCCCCAAAGCGAACCCGAACATGGCGAATAGTCCAACTGGATCTTCCCAGAGTCTGAGTGCTGGTCTCTCCCCGGTGGCGAAGATGGTGTTCGATAGGGCTCCCACATTCGTCAAGCCTCCAGGAACAACGAGCACTGCCTCAGCCTCTGCCAACGGCCAGCTTGCCCAACAGCCGCAGCCGCAACCTCCATCAACACCCAAATCAGCCCCACCGCCGCCGAAGCGTCCGTCAACGAGTACAGAAACTCATCATGGAAACAACTTCCGCTTCGAAGTAGCGATCCCGTCCAAGAAATTCGATCCTAGCGCATATGTAGCGGTCCCCGATCAACCCGTACCACAGCCGGCCACCGTCAACCCATCCGACGTCACGAGAGTTGTCACTCCGAGCCAGATTACCCCGAAGCAGCTGACGCCTACTCAACCTCAGCTCTCGGCAGAACCGGTCCCGATACAGCCTGTCCCCGTGCAATCGACCCCTACGCAGCCTTTGACGCCCTCCACTGCACAAGGACCACCGGACGCGGTTGAAGCTCAGAAGACGAAGTTTGCAATAGAATTGCCTCGCGCTCCTGGATTCAATAAGGATGAATATCTTGAGATGGCGGCTCCAGACTCTCCTGATGAGCCAACGGGGTTGTCCATGCGAAGACAGGACGGTGCTTATCAAAGCCGGCAGGATGATATTAGCACCAACCTCAACCAGAAGCAACGGGCGGAAGCAGCCCTCCAGGACCTTGAGCGACTAATCAAGAGCGTACTCGATGCCACTAGAAGTGTGCTCGGAAATGAACCTGGTTACGAACAGGTCGCCACGCTGAACCCCGACAACGAGGCTGTCTTGACGGGGGCCACGCAGCAGAAGTTGCAGACTGCCATCCAAAAGTCCATTGAGCTAGGCAGTTACGGCGACGCGCCCATCGAAGAACTTCAGTACATTCAGAAGCTGAGCGAGCCGGGTCTGGCGCATACGCTCAATCTCGATTATCGAATTGAGGAATCTTGGGGCGAGTCTGAAGTCTCCGGCTGGCTGAATCAGCTTCCAGAGATTGAGATGGGCCTGAAGACTGCGCGCACTTGTCTACGCATAATGTGTGGTGGCAGGGAAGAGAAGCAGATCTACTCCGAGGAGATTATTCAAAAGTCGACGGATGTCTTCAAGGGGGTTGTCGAGGGTATCGTCATCCCCGTAGTCGAGATGAGAGGCAGCGGCCCGACATCTGCGCTATTCAAGCTCTTACAACCTCACAAAAAGGCGATTGGCCCGATTCTCACGAACTGCCAGAAGCTGTTCGCGCTGCTCGCTAAACTCGTCACAAGCATAGAGCTTTCGGATACTGCCCTTGGCATGCTAGAATTTGCCGCATCGAGCCTGCTTTTCGTCGACAATGCCTACCTAGAGAAAGATTCTGTCGTGGGTGTACAGCGATTCGATGGCATTCGCTTGGTTGCAATGGAGATGCTTTGCCAGATTTTCCTCGCCAAGCCCGATCAGCGTCGTGGCATCTTTGACGATATCCTCACATCGTTGGAAAAGCTCCCGGTTGGAAAGCAAAGTGCTCGCCAATTTCGCCTCTCCAATGGCGGTAGCATCCAGCCCGTATCGGCGCTCATCATGCGCCTTGTCCAGGCCAGCTCTGGCAAGGTTGACGAGAAGGGCACGCGCAGTCGCCTAGCCATGACGCAGGAAGAAGATCCGGATGAGGATGAGTTGGCCCAGCCTACGAAGCAGACAGTGGCTGCCACTGTCAAGTCCGAGGATGCAGGTGCCTCACAACATGCGCTCGCCCTGGAGGAGCTCAAGGTTGTGGCATTACCTTTGACTGAAGGCTCGACACACAACGCAAATTACGTGGTTAACTTTATGGTCAACCGTGCGCTGAAGTCCACAAAGTCTGGCGACACTCCATATCGCAATCTCCTCGATCTTTTCGTTGAAGACTTTACGGAATGTCTCGACTCACCTGACTGGCCCTCTGCTGAGCTTATTCTACGCCAAATGACCTTCTACATGATGAAGCTCTGGGAGGGAGACAGGACAGCCGCGCCTGCCAAGAACATGGCCCTTGAACTCCTCGGAGTCATGAGTGCTGCAGTCTCTAAACTCCGCTCACATGTTCGTAAGGTCACTTATTCCATGGATGGAAGCGAGTCCAACGAGTTGTCGCGGTACCTGTCTGAGCTGGCAACCTCTGCGCTGGAGCAAAAAAGTCGAATCGAACACGACGTCTCTTGGTCAGGACCATTCCGAACAACTCTTGAACACCTTCAGCAACGGTGTGGCGATGACCCTCATTTACAAGGCGCAATTTCCTTCCTGATTGCAGATTGGGCCCAGAGGATCTTCTCCGGTTATGATGCCTTGCAAGAGACCAACGGCTCGCTGGACCACGAGTTTGGACGACTTGCCTTCCGCCTCAGAATGATGATTGAGGATCGTCGATGGCTTTCTAACGAATACACTTTCAAAGATGTCAACAACAACCACGCAAAATTGGCATACTCCATCATTCTTCTCCGGTCACCATTCTGCGAACACTTCAGAGCAATGCTCAATGTTCTGCTCAATGCCATGGCCAGTGACCAGGCCACCGTCCGCAGCAAGAGTCTCAAGAGTATCAACCAGCTCTTGGAGACAGATCCGGCCATCCTGGACGGAGACTCTGTGGTTGTTCATTTGATCATCAACTGCTCAAGTGACTCGTCCCCTCAGGTACGCGACTCAGCAATTGGCTTGATGGGCAAGTGCATTGGCCTGCGTCCGAGACTTGAAGACAAGATGGCGGAAAGAATCATTGAGAGATTTATCGACTCCGGCATCGGTGTGAGGAAGAGAGCAATGAAACTGGCCAAAGACATTTACCTTCGCAACCAAAGCCGGGAGATCCGCAGCTCTATTGCCAATGGCTTGCTTCATCGTGTGCAAGACCCTGATGAAGGCGTTCGAGAGCTTGCTCGCCAGATGATTGAGGAGGTCTGGTTCGCTCCATTTTACCAAGTCGACGACACAGCAGCCTTCAAAACATCCCTTACCGACCACGTTGCTCTGATGATTCAGACAGTCAAATCTGGTAATGTTGGCGCAGTCCTCGACAAAGTTCTTCAGTCTATCCTAGGCGGGCAGAACAAATCCCATAATGGACCCTTTGGCGTCAGCATGAAGCTGGTTGAGAAGATGTTCGAGCTTATCGACAATCTTGATTCTGATGATCCTAACATCCCTTCCGGAAGAGATGCATTGCAAGTATTGCAAATCTTCGCCAAGGCAGACCCTAAGCTTTTCACTTTTGAAGAGATCAGGCTGCTGAAGCCCCATCTCGCTAGCATCAGTGGTGCTGATGACCTAGCTGTCTTCAAAGCCGTCACAATCATCTATCGCCAGATCTTGCCGCAACTCTCTGCAAAGTATGCTGACTTCCTTCGAGAAGTGAGAGAACAGCTTCAGAACTCTGTTGGCAGACTCAACAAGAACCTCTTGGATGATGTCGTCGCATGTCTATGGATCATTGCAACTCTCTTGGACAATCGCGATAAGCTAGCTCATCTAGGTGCTTCTAGTTTGCGCGGAGTTGCCAGCATGCGCAACACACAGATGGACGCCACCAAACTCATGAAGTTTGCCAGATATTCGATCATTGTCGGAATGGTCGGCAAGCATTGCGATTTGGACTCAGAGCTTGCTGTCTTCCTCAAGATTTTCCCCAAGTACTCTGGCAAATCTGTGGCAAAGCTCATGGTCGACAACCTGTCTCCCTGGGCAGATGCCTCACAGCCCATGGAGGCCCGGAAGCACGCCCTCGACGCCATCGGTCTCATCTGCCAGGCACATCCCCGAAACTACGTCTCACCGAACGTGTACACCAAGTTCCAACAAGTTTTCGAAGCCAAGGTTCCGGCACTCGAGAGCACTATTCTACGGTCTTTCAAGGAATTCCTCCTCACTGAAGAAAAACGGTCAGAGGCTGCGACTGCCGCTGCTGCCGCCGGCGCCGACACTGACAAGAAGCGCGAGCTGACAGTAATGGGTGGAACGAGCTTCGACGATGTGGCGAGTGCAACGACCCAACGCTTCCTCAAGGAGGTCACTCGTATCGCTCTATCATCGCAAGACGAGCACGCATTCCTCGCAGTAGAGGTACTTGGCAGCATCAATCGACAAGGTCTTGTGCATCCCAAAGAAACGGGAGTGACTTTGATCACCCTCGAAACGTCGTCAATGACCAAGATATCCGAGGTTGCATTCATGGAACATCGGGCGCTTCATGAGAAACACGAAACCGTCATTGAACGCGAGTATGCCAGAGCCATCCAAGCAGCCTACGAATACCAGCGGGATATTGTGGGTGATACTCGTGGCGCAACGACGAACCCTTTCCAATCCAAGCTTCATCTCCTGATGGAGGTGCTGAAAGTGAGTAAGTCAAAGAACCGACAAAAGTTCCTAGAGAAACTTGTCGGCCAAGTTGATTTCGACTCTTCGAAGCTCGATGTCTCCAAGCAACTGCCTGCGCATGTCGAATTCTCCCGCTTCATGATTGAGAATCTTGCATTCTTTGACTACGTAACCGTTGGAGAGGTGCTGGTCACGGTACATGCGATGGAAAAGATGTTCTCATCAACTGGATCCAGCATGGCGCACGTCATTGAGTCCGAGATCTTCAACATGCGCATGGACCTCGATAAGCCAGAGGACCCGCAAGCCAACGGCGAGCAGCAGCAGCAGCAGCAGCAGCAGCAGCCGCAACAACCTCAGCTCAACATTTCCCCCAAGAGGCTTCGGCAACTCACCTCCGGATCTATCATTCTTCTCTGTCTTTGGGAGGCAAGAACCTATCTTCGACGTCTGTATGGCTTAGGCAGCAAACGCGAGACCAAGACCAAGATGGCAGCAAAGGATCTCAGCAAAGCACCTACAAAAGTGCAGGGTGTCACCGGAGACAAGTTCTGGGAGGAAGTGAACTCCCATATGAACGGTCTTGCAACACAGGAATCCACCATACAGAAATGCAAGGCCTTCGTGGAACTAATGAACGTCGACAAGGAGTTCAAGGTTGTCGATGAGGACGATATGGATGGCGAAGAAGCCGAAACTCCTAGTGAGGGTGAAGACGATGGTCCCACGGGTGACGGAAGAGGCCGCAAGCGCAAAGCTGGCGCACTTGCTGGTGGTCGCAAGAAACGCGCGCGCTCTACCTCTCGACCGAGACCTCGCGGACGACCTCGCAAAAATCCGGTGGAAGTTGTCGAGGACGATGCAGAGGGCGACTTTGACGACATGGACTTTGCCTGAGTGCTCATACACAATACCACTGCGTTACTAAAAGCAAATATGCTTTTCATCAAACACTACGTATGCGACCACTGCTATAGATGGGTAGCAACGAGCATGATTTTCTCTCCCATTTTACATGTACATCATCTTCGATTCGCACACATATAATGGCATCAACGGGTTTAGGAAGGGTCGGTCGCATGAAGAACGGCAAGACATTTACAGGTCGAGGCATGTCGCAAATTCTTTTGGTCTTGCCGTTCGTTCCACTACATTTGAGAGAGATGTTTGGCCAACCTCGGGAGGTATGAGGGAGAGGAGGCCGGGTACTACAAAAAAATCAGGGGCGTTTTTTTTTCTATGTCTTGACGACAAGCGGGAAATGAGAAAAAAAGAGAACGCAGGAGGCTTATGGGGAAAGGCGTGTCTCTCTGCGTCCTGTTCCTCTTTGAATGGGGGCCGGTTTTGGGGATGCCCAAGTTTATTTTTACTACTCGACTTTTATTTTCTGCTGCCTCTTCTGCTTTTTTTTTGCTACAAGATGATACCTCCTTTTCTTTCCCCCGCCTAGTCAGATTGCGAGGGATTGAAAGTTACTTGAGATACAAAGTCAATAAATAACAACCAACGAGGCCGTATTGAATAGCCATAATGAAGGATGTGTGTGTGTGTGCTCTCGAATTACGATGAGGGTTTACAGCCGCAAACTTGGAGATCATCGATGGCCAGTCCCTGGTCTCACAATGGCTTTCACTTCACACAGATAGGTTCAAGACTTGCCAGGAAAAGGGATTCCATTTCCCTATTCATTCGTATACGCTCCTAGCTAAAAGGTCCCTTGACCTTGGATGAAATTTAAAAACTCCCCTGGCGTGACTATTCGTCACACCTAATCCCCTCGCTCTAAACAAAGTGGTAAAAGACCCATCCCGTCTAAAACCTATGCCTTCCTAAACGCCAAACGGAAACCCGAATGTTGTCCGTTCCTTCCTATGCCGCTTATGCCTCCTTCGCATCGTCGCACCTTGCGACGCCGGTGCAGGTGCCTTTCTCGAGAAGCCGACGTGGCTTACTCGCTTGGGGTATCAACTCAGTTTATGTGTCTTTCTGCGAACCAAGGAAATTTGTGGTGGTCGGTGGTGATACACGGACTAGCAGATCAATCTTGTCTGCTAGATGTCATAACATCATGAACGCTGCAAATTGCAGCTTGTTGTTGGTAGTTGCAGGAGTCCTGCTTTGGTTTGGTATAGTTCAATCTTGCTCGCTTGGGTCAACAGCCTCGAGCCAGACCCGGACGGCCTCTTTGAGGGTGCTCTCGCGGTCTCTGTCTACCGCGTGGACGGTAGCATCAGGCGTGTCATGGTCTCGCTCCCCAATGACATCGCGAATGATCTCATCGAGGGCGGACAAGACAACCGTCCTACATTGGTCTCGGGGCACTTCTTGTGATGGGGCCGGTATGCGAGTGGTGTGACGAGAATCCACGGAGACCGATGCTTCGCTATTGCTTCGATCTCGCCGCTTGCTCGTTGACCGGGACGAATTTGATGAGCTTTGTTTGCTCACTTCGTTGCTCTGCGCAATGACTCTCTCAACGGCGTCAATGAGCACCTCATCGAGGCTTGCAATCGGCTCTTCGATGAACTCATCGTCCAGCTGCGTTTCGTAGGGAAGAATAGACGGCGTCATAGGAGCATTGCCATAGGCGCTCGAGCCCGCAGATCCTAGAGGTACTGATCTGTCTGTGAATGGCTTCGGTCGAATGAGTCGGCGGTATCGAATTCGCTTGATCGTATGCGTCGTCGTGTCTGCAATCAGAGCGCTGCTTACGTCGACCCATCGATCGGCAGGCTGCTCAGCAGAGTAGAAGGGTTGCGTGATGAACGGGGTCGGCTCGGCGCGCATAGACCTCTTAATGTCATCCATGAGGGTATCCTGGGGAGGAACCGCCTGGAGGATGAAATCCTGATGATACCGCTGGAGGAAGCCGGCAACGTTCATCGGCGAATCCCCATCAATAGTGATGCGGGAAAACTGCTCGAAGCCCTCCAAACCGTTGCTAATGCCCGGCGTAGACAGATAGCCGCTGCTCGACGGTGAGCTGACCGCGGTTTCGAAAGAGGTGATGTAGTCAGGGAAAGGGATGTCAACATCTATTACACCGTCCTCCGCATTGATTGACGTTTTGACTGGAGAACGGAAGTCGCCGCTAGGGTCAGGAACTCGCTCAGGGAAGGGGGCCCTCTCAGGAGCATCCTCGACAGCCTGATCATCGAATCCCCGTGGAGTTGAAGGCCCGTTGCCATTGCTTTCGGTCTTGTGAATGTCTGTTCGGCGGTACCCTTCAGGGCCGACTTCCATAACCATTTCTGCCAACCTATCTCGACGTCCTCCCGGTCCTGATTTGGTGGGGGATGTAGGGTTGCTGCTGTAGGGTTGGCTAGGAGTGGTCAAGCCTGTCGAATCCCTCCTCTTTCCATTCCACAGCGTGCTAATAACACTACCCCAACGCGACCCCGACATGCGAGAATCTGTACTCGCCGAGCTGACATGCCCCGAGCTTTCACCACGCTTCAATGTCCGTTTGAGGTCATCCGCGGCAACACTGCCACTGCTACCAGGTCGTAGACTTCGTCGGGTCTCGAATCTTTGGGCGGTTGCAAAGTGTGGAATTGTCGTCTCTGGGGTGATTGTAGTCGTCGTTGCTGCACTACTTTTCCGACTGACCTGGTCGTTCCCAGGGATGGGCAAATTCGATCGAATTGAGGCAGCATCTGAAACGCGCCTCTCATGATGGCTCTCCATACTCAAGTGTGCAAGCTGAGGCGGAACACCGGAGGCTCGTGTACTTTGGCTAACAGTACGGGAATGCGAGACTCTCCTTGGCCCTGTTCGTCGGTTGATCTTGCGCCGCAATGACTCTTCGCGGAGAATTGGGATAATCAGCGAAGGTGGCGATTGGGAGAAAGCGCCAAAAGAGGTCGAAGTACTCGGCCGGTGAGCTCTGGTGGAAGAAAGGTGCTGGTGGGATGGCAAAAAGGCAGAAAGAAGGAAGATGAGACGTCTTGCCATCATCTTGTCTGACGAAATGATGATAGTCCGTGCTGGGAGCGATAGATCATCCTCGCCTTTGGCCTTTTGTTGCTGATAGTGCTTTTTGCGGTACCACGCTGGACTCATTGCGTTTAGCCAATCGGTGTGCGTGGCAAGAAAGCCAGTCAAAAGATTGAAGAAGAAGAATCCATGTTCTTTCTCGCCAGCCTTTCTTGCCATCCACCTAGCTTCGTCCCGCCAGATACCCCATCTCCCCTGCGCTGTGATGACCCGTTGGGCGCTCAAGCCCGTCACAACTCGAATCCTGGCAGCATCAGCCTCTTGCACAATCGTGTTATCGTTCTGTAAGCAGTGAGGCTGTAGAGCTATGACTTTTGCGTTAGTCTTTGGAGGCTTGACAAAGTGAGGTTCGTCGCTTCTTCTTCCACCCATGGACGGACCTCTGCTGGCGTACGAAGATGCCGAAGGAGGATATGGGTCCGGCGAAGAGATGTCGGCCTGTTTTAGTAGCACACCAAGCGTAGTGGCCACTACCCCTTGGAGGTGCGTCAAGGTTCGCATAATGATGTCCCAGTGTTGAGTGACGGTGTCCATCCTGTCGTCAACGTCTGTGGAGCAACTGGAATCCATGGAGTCAATGGGGAAGTTGGATCCAGACATGTTCCATCCTGAGCGGCGGGCGGAGCTCATGGAGGATGGGAAGGAGTCCTGCTCTGTATAGGAGCTGGCACCACGATATGTTGACCTGATAGTGGAGGGAGGTACCATCTGCGCAGAACTGGGGGGAAGCTGGACCACCAACACAACTGCATACATTGGTGTACGCTTTTGTTTGGGCTGCAACTTCTTCTTCTTGGGGGCATTTGCGTCTTCGGCAGACTGCGGAAACGGGAAGCCGGTGTTGTAATCTGAAAACCGGCTCAAAGGTGTGTCGCTCTGTGCCTCGTCATCGCTAGGCAAGAGCACAGGGAACAATCGGGTAATGAGAATCTTCCTCCTCTCAGGAAGACTCCGTGTATTTGGTGCAGACGACGTGAAGGATTGTTGCGGTTGCAGAGGCGAAACGTTGTCCGATGTGTAAGACTGTGCTAGCCTGCTGGACCGCATGCTCGACCGACCTATAGAGCCGCGACCGTCACCGAGATAGGAGCCACCATATTCAGGGCGGTTCTCGGTAGGGACGATATGGACCTTTGTCGAAGTGCCCTTGTAGGCCATTAATTCCGAATTTCCAAATACGGAGCCCGCAAATGCATGGATCTCGTCGGCGTACTCTCTTCGTGCGCGCTGGAGATCCGTCTCAGCTTGAGATTGAGTTCGGCCTTGCATCGAGGCCCTGCGATCGAACGCTCCTTGGCGGGGTTGGGGGCTGTCCGGCTGGATTACCAGAGGTCGCGATGACTGGTTCAGACTGCTCTTTCGCGGCGAAGTTGGGCCTCTGTATGAGTCCTGCACAGTTCCCATACCAGTTGGCGGACGGTCTGCTGCGGCCATGGAAGTCGGTTTTGGAGGACCTGGATGACTGTCGAAAAGCAGCTGTGCTGGGAAGGAGGCAACGGCATCTTGCATGATGAGCATGCGGACATGTCGGGTGTCGAGGTCGACGTCTCCGTCGTAGTCAAAGGCACCTGCGAGGGATGCCATGGGAAGACCAGAGCCTAAGGGAAAGAGGTTCTCGTTTGGGTGCTGGTACAAGGCGTCGGTATCGGGGAACAAGAGGTTCCGGGTATGGATATCCTCCTGTCTGGATTCGAGAGACATGGGAGACTCATTGTGAATGATGGTGTTGTAGTTATTGTTTGATTGTGATGAGGCTGAAGCACCTGAAGCACTCGGCGTGCCCAAGTTGAAGAGCTTCCCTAACATCGTGGGTGAGATGTCTGGGAAACTATTCAAGGACAACGGACTGCTGGACTCTTGTTGATTAGAAATTGAGGGAGTGTGCCATGTTTTCAGCGAAGCACACAATTTTGATAGATCAGACGGAAAAGCATTGCTTCTGAAAGGAATTCCATGTGATTGAGAGTGAGCAACGCGATGAACCGTGATGGTGGAGGGTGAGGCTCAATCGAAAGTCGGCATATGGTGGTTAGAGGCGGGCTGAGACCAACAGAGTTGAGGGGTGCACAGGAGTTGGAGAGGTCTAGGTAGCCGGGGGCCGGAGTTTAATGGCGATGAGTCGACGGCGCTCGTTCAAGGTTGGGCAAATCGGAAGTGGCTGAAGTGTTGCGATGCAGGCTCTCTCTGTGTCCGTGAGACGCACGCATGCGAGCAGAATTGGAGTCTTCTCTTTTTTCCCCTCTGGGCGGCTGCCGCTCCGGTTTGGATTGCGGGGATGAGGGTTGTAAAAGGTCGCGAGAGGAACCCTACGTCGAAGTCGCGGGCGGGGGAGCGAGCGCGTTCGGGCGGGCGTTGATGGTTGTTGAGGAATGCTGGCGCGAAGAGGGGTACGTTGGCGGCGCAAAGGCACGATAGAGGGTTGGGAAGTGATAAAAAGTTGAGTCGAAGGCGGAAGGAGAGGTGCGTGTGTGTGAGAGAGGCAGTTGAATGTGACGCAGTCAAAGAGAACCAGATGGTCGGGACAAAGGCGGCGGCGATTGCAGTGGCGGATCAAGATGGGCCGGGGGGTTGGTTTGAGGACTCGGTATCTGGGGTGAGCGGTGCCGACTGGAGGTGGTCTCGTACTTTGGCGAAGAGCACCGAAGGCGGCAGAAGTGATCTGTAATATTCGTTGAAGGGGACCTGGTTTCCGTCGAACGCGAGGCAGAGAGAGCGTGTTGTGGCAACAGTTGGGTGCTGCAGTGAGTGAGTGCAGTTGTGGTGAAGCGTGGGAGCGAGGATGGTGGTGGTGATATTTGGATTGGACGGAATGGTGTCGGGATTGTCGTCGTGGAAGTCGGAAAGTGGACGAGGTCGGTATGAAGTAATGCGAAGAAAGGGTTGTGTACTTGTGGACTTGTGGTAATTAGTGGTGGAGGATTGGCAGTGTCGGAGGTGGGCGGAATGTCGATTTCAGTTGTGTGGTGTCCGACGTGGTAAAGAGAGAGGGCGGGTTTAGCTTGGCGGGGATTAGTTGATGTGTCGAGGATGGGAAAACCTGGTCAACAGGCAGAAGAAACGAAGACAGGCCGCAAGTCGCAGGTGCAAGCGGTACGCCGAGAACCCTGGGTGGAAGGGATAGGCCGAGGGCGGGTGAGGTGCGAATTGCTCCGTTGTGGTGGTGGTTGTTGGCAGGTACTTGGATGATGGTGGTGGTGGTGGTGGTGGTGAGGATGAGGGTGCGGGAGAGGGTGGTAAGGTTTCCGGAATCTCAGCGTCGGTACCTCACGGCAGAGAGATTGACATGGACATGGACATGGCCCGGGAAGGGGGTGCGCGGTCAGGTCAATGGTGCTGCGTCCATGATGTTTTGTGACGAGGGACTCGAGCGTTGATGATGATGACGGTGTTTTGGTAGGAAGAAGATGCAGAAGCACAAGCACAAGCAACACAAGAGAGAGAGGAGGAGAGAGTAAGGTAAGGTAAGGTAAGGTAAGGTAAAGCAGAGCAGCAGCTGTAACTGCGGGCACATGGCACTGGGCAGAGAGAGGGACGGAAGTGCCGCAATCGTGGGTGGAGCGGCAGCTGTGGGGGCACGTACTCGTTGGAGTATCAAGTCTCTCTTCTTCCATCTCTCTCTTCCTACTCTGTACTGCTAGGTCCATAAGGTACATCAAGCCTACCTTGGATACTACGCAGTGCTCCATACTGCAAGTGAGAGGAACCTGGTCTTCACGGTTCATCCCCGATGCCCGCTCCACGCCACGCTCATAACGCGGCGACGCCCACGACGACGGCCCAACGACTGGGACCTTTTGAGGTGGATTATCTTTGGGTAGTGGAGCTGGAATGGAGCATTGGATCGTGCTCTCTTTTTTTTCCCATCTGCCCTTTGGCGGCCTAGCCCTGGGACTGGTACACTACCTACGCAGTAACGGCATCTGGATTACTACGCAGTGGGTAACCGTGCCTTATGTAAGTGAACAGTACATTGTGTCAAGTATCTATCAGAATACGGACTCGTTGTTAGGTTGTCTGCCATTAGGTTCTTTCCGCCTCGTCGTCGCTTCTCTCGCCATCTTTCTTTCCGGCAGTATCTCGTTCTTTCCATCCTTGACTCTTGAATTCTGACTTCCTTCCCTCCCAACGCAGCTACCCCGAGGTATTACTCGGAGAAACTTGGAAGGAGGCATGTAAGTAAGGTGGCACGGCTGGTACGTACTCGGTAAGATACCTTAGCTCGCACATCCCGAGAATACCTCACTTTAGGCAAGGTAGGTGGTGGAGGTACCTGGCCCTGCCCTTCTTGTGTACCTTAGCTCGAGGCACATTTTGAACGGCGAGATGATGCATGTCTGACTTCTGACTCTGTCAGGCTTGGTCAGCGGCTATGGCAACGGCAACAGTAACGGCAACGGCAACGGCAACGGCAGAGGCGGCGGCGGCAGCCACATCATTTCATCTCTTCCCGCCAAAACCTCATGGTGCATGGCTTGTCGTTGGACGTCTTGAAGATCCCTCCTTCTTTCCGCCTCCCATCTCGCAGTGTCTTTTCCCGAGAACTGATACCTACTGCTACGGGCAGCGGCAGCAAGGCATAACAACATGGGGGAAACCTACCTTAGTCTAAGATACATTTAGGTAGGGGGGGGCAAAAAAGAGAATGCCCTGCCGCCTGCCGATGCTGTGTAATTGGGCTTTCGATGTATCTCCAAAAATGCGGTGAACAAAACAGCCCTTGCTCTGCCGTGCATCGACTGCATTAATACCCGCCCACTGCCACACTGCGTCCACTCTGCATCCAGTACTATCCGGGGTACGTATCTTTTATAGAGGTACTGCGTAGGCCACTTGCGCGTGTTGCCTCGTCCGCTACTGCATCTCTGCTCTAGCGCCGCGTCTACTTGACGTCTCGCTCTCTCGCTGCCCCTCTAAAACTGGGTAGCATTCGAGCAACACAGTGGACTCGGGAGGCGAATTGGGAAAAGATGCTGCTTGCTGATTGGAACAAGAGAAGGTCAAAAGTCGTATCACGGGGTCGTGAAAGAGAGCGTGAGAAACAGAGCAGAGTTAAGATTGGGAAAATAAAAAACAAAAGACGAAAAGAAGAGGAAAAGAAGAAGGGAAAACGTGTATCAAGCCGGGGTAGACCCGGTAGAGGAATGGTCCCCTTAGGTAATGTCTCAACCGACTCGTCCAAATCAGCGAATCTCAAGTCTCCTGCAATTAATGCCCTAGACTCAAATGTAGAAGCTAGCTCGACGACTCTGGACAACAGCGGGGTAAATTAGCCTCCATTTGACACTCGCACCCCATGTTCTCATGTTTTGTGACTCGAGGACCCTGAATTTGGGGCGAACTGGTGTCTCGTGATCTCTCTTCCCTCACTTCCCCATGTTCTACTATTGCTCTTCTCTCTTATTAAACCCATCCCTAGGATACCGCGATACCTCACCATACCCATTCTAGGTATCCAAAACAACAACAGGCGGTGACCATCACAACACACGAGTGACAATGCGCCTTGTCCATGTTGTTGCTCCATTCCGTTTTATCGTGCCAAGTACCTACCATGGCCTCAAGATACCAGTGAAAGGTTAGGTGCTGTCCCGTTCAGATGGTAAATTGCATCGAGCATCCCGGGTCACGGGTGGTCTAAAAGCCCCAAACATCTTCAGCCGTGCCTGCCGTCATCCAATCCGCTGCCTTCTAATTGCGTCCCCAGGCGACCCCTTCCTTCCTTTCTCCGAGTTTCCATTGTCTCCGTGACTTCCTCTCCTGGGCTGTCCATCCGGCAATACGCAGTACGTACCTTTCTGGATGTCTCCAATATCCCATGTCGAATTTCTCTTTCTCTTGCGCACCAGTCTTTTCCTCTCTGCCTCGTCAGCCCTGTCTGTTTTCATCGGCTACCCCTTGCATTAATCCCACCTCGAGGTTTCACTCTCGTCAACAACTGCCCTGCAACAAGAGCATCATTGGTGACCCTGCCCTCCAAGACGACGACGACAACCACCAGTACTGCTGACCGTAACGCCCCGAACCAGCATCAGCAATCATCTGTCCCTGGCTCAAGTTTATACCCTCATGGCCAACGCTGGTGTCAATCAACTTGGAGCGCGTTGGGCTATTCTCGCTTCGCTTGTCATCTTCTTGCGCCCGTCGTCTTGTCCGTGCCTCTTCCCCCGGTCATTTGAGGCCACCGAGGGAGCATTCATCATCTCGTCCCATGGCACAGCCTAACTTCAAACATACCCAACCAAGTTCAACTTCACTTGGGCACCGACTACGTCAAAGAGATGGATTCCTTACGATACCTCGTCTCACAAACTCCGTGCGAATGTCAGAGTTGATAGAAAACAGGGCATAGAGTCTCACCTGCAACCACAGGTCACTCGACGAATGCATGCCAGCACTCACTCGTCAGCATCTCGTTCTCGGAGCCGACCCCGACGGACCTCGTTGATCCTCCCCCAATCTCTGCGCTCACGCCTCCCTGGCAACAAGGCGTAAATCTTCTGCCTGCTTGTCACTCCCCTACGGATACCCACCACGAGCAGCCAGCGAGGCCTAGCATACCCCTGCAGCGCCGATAGATATTCCCCAAATTACATCAGTCGCTGGCAAAAGGGTCCTGTTCCCGACTAATGACTGTTCGTCTTGTCCTCGTCCGCCAACCGCCGCCCCGTTCATCGCTCGCAATTACTCCAGCTCAACAGTTGTCCTCTCCCACCCCGCTGTGGCCAGCCCCTCCAATGCCACAGGAAACAACGCTCACGGGTCCAAACAAACCAGAAATGGAGGGGCACGAGGGGAAAGCGATGCAAGTCAACGTTGACCATGTTGCTGTTCGACATGACTGCAGCGTGGAGCAGCACCGCAAGTCCCAGATAGAGGTGGAATCCCACCGTGCTGGTTGAAAGTGGCTCGGTCTGGGGCGGATGACCGAGCGTCTGGCCGATAAGAAACATTCATCAGGTTACAACGGCAGCCCACGGTGCGGAGCTCCAGTCTTCAGTCTCCAGACTCCAGTCACTCAGCGAGATTACCCTCCTCGGTGAGAGACCGACACCTTGGAGTTCGAAGCATCGGTCCAACACTCTCCAACAAGACTCTAGGATATACCTATCTTCTCCAAGAGGCACGTATGTACCTCCATACGACAGGCATCATCTCCCGGCGTATCACTGCGATAAGCCATCAACACAGGGGGTTGTCACTCGCACCGTCATCCTGACAAACTCACCGCGTCTTTTTCCGGCCCCCGTTTGCCATATTGCCTCGGTCGCCCAACCATCCTCCGATCAAGCTTTCCCATGCTCGCTTTTGTCGACTGGTCAAGGACCTCGGTGCGTCCAGCAGCCTAATTGCACGTCCCTTTCCGACACGCGACTGCTTCACCGACCTTCCCTTATTGCTACTCACAGACCAGCGACACAACGTTGCCCAAACTCAGCAGGGTATATGCCTTCTGTCCGGCTTTCGGAACCGGAACCTAGAATAACTATCACTCACGGTCATCCCCGGGAGCTTCTTTTGGCCAGTGCCGTGGCCATCGTGATCATTGCTGATCGTGTTCTGAAAGAGACCATCTACCATGAAAACACGTTGTCTACGTCTTGAGTCACACACCAGGTGACACCAGAATGCCCGCCTGGTACACGTATTGGTCTCGAGTAGCACCGCCACGGCGATGTGTCGGGACCCCTACGAATAGAGGCGCCGCCTCCCATGCGCCAGTGCCAAGTTGAAATGCAGCACAAGCTGCAGATGAGACGCATACACGTAGGGCAGCTGCAAGCTAACAGCTGCGTCTCCCACGGGAGCTTGGCGTGGATGTCCTAGTCGCCATGTGTTCGCTTGAGATTCAACTGCCAGCACTTTATCATTGAACAGCGTCATAACCAAGGATCGCATTCTAAGTCGCACCGTCGCACACCTATTCTTGTTAGCCTCAAACCACACCTCCAACCGCGACGCGAGGCGCAAAATGAACCGAGCTTCTCTCATACGACGTGATACGGATTCATGGACTATGGAATATGGAGTATGGACACACGCACCGCCCCGCCGGACAGCAGACATCCTCGCTAAATCCATCCATCACACATCGGCCCTTTCCAGAGGTTCGTTGCTTGTGGGTTACTCCCAGCCAAGCGAAACGGTTTACCTGCGCCAATCAAGGGCCCGCCGATCAGGTCGCGGTGCTGGATACACCTTCCACGATAGGCACTCGATCATGCACCCCAGCGCTGTCCCGCGTGATGCTCATGATCCTCACCTTTAATGAGGCACTGCTTGTTTATCCTCGACAATTGGGCAAACAAGTTCTCTCAGGGCTGTCTATCTCAGGGGCCGCTTCAAAGTTCAGCCCAATTCCCAGGCTCCTGGGGCACTCGCTGTCCAGCAACTCGCAAGCGCACGGGTCACCGGGGGTCGTGTGTAGTCTTCCGTCGCCGGCCGGTTTGTCCTTGCAAAACGCTCAATAACAAAGCAAGCCTCACCTTGGCTTCTCGACTGGGTTATGCTATGATCCTGCTGCCTGATTTGCTTCTCTCATCTCCCGGATAAGCCGCAGATGTCAAGCGGGAACCGGAAGCATCCACGCGGCGAAGCGGGCGTTCTCGCGCAAAGCATAGCTGCAACTTGCCTCACCAATATCCAACTCCAAGACCGCGAAGCTACACTACAAACTTTTTATAATCAATAAGGCCGCGGTATGATCTCACTATCCAACATGCCAGGTAATAAGCTATCCGTTATTGGCCACCCAAGCCCGGCAAAGAGGCAGCGGTGTGTCCAGCGCCGGGGTAAAGGGAACCTCCTATCGGTCGGTCCATTCGCCATCCTAATTCTCAGACATGGCCATGCAACTGAGCACACCCAGCGGAACGGTTCCCCGTATTCACCATCCCGGTGACATCAGCCGTGAAGTGGTCTTCTCCCGTTCGGGCTTTTGTCAATTTGCGAGCGTTGCTGTCGTCGGCTCTATCTCACCGAAGTCTGCGATTTCTATGGTCTCGTAGCAATGAGGAACTCGCAACTCGCCACTTATCCAGAAGAGCCGATGAATTTACTCGGAATTCCCGCAAATTGGGATAGAAGTTTGGTTATACCTACTTTCCATGCATCTATCGCGTAGTGTTCGCCACACCTACCGGCAACGACCGACCATCGTCCCGTGTCTCAACGGTTGATGGCTTGTCCCTGATAATTCCGATGATTTCTCCAACCTTGCCTTTTTGGAGACCGACGGCCAGCTCCCACCATCCTTCTCGCTTGCCCATAGGTAACATTCTCCGGCTCGTTTTCCCCCGTCAGTTCAGTCCGCGGGCCGGGCCAGCCCGGCTTACACACGGCGGTGATGGCGACGATCTTTCTCAAAGTGGCATGTCGGTTACATGTCTAGGGATGTCAGCAGCCATGGATCATGGTAGCGTTCCCGACGGTTATTACAATGGCTTTTGGAGCTAACATATCTCGCGCTCACGCAACTTTGGAGAGCGGCCATGATCGGGACGTATGCAACAAGTGGTCGACTGCTGCATGCCTAGGATTAGCGCAGCCGAAAGGCTGGTAGGGCCACACATTATTGTTCCTTTGTCGCATTCTCGCTTCCTTTGGTGTGCCCAGCCGAACAGACTGACACACTAATCTTTGACTCATAGGAATCGAAAGGTACTAGATGGATGTCAGCATCGGACTGTCCCCTTGTACTCGGCCCGGGGTGCGGCGCCATAGTTCGAGGCCGATGTGAGGGTGCGGGACACACCGGTACTTTTGCTGACCTTGGAAGCGTGCAGCCTATGACTTCGGTTCTCTGGCCACTTACACCGTACACACACGGGCTCGTAGGTGGGAATGTAGCAACCGAGGACACCTCGGATCCTTGGATTCGCATCGTTCCAAGGAACCATTGCCGCTAAGGTCGATCTCGGTTCTGCAATTCTGCAGTCTGGGAAAACGCAGCATTATTCTGCAACGTTTCCCTCCTCTGGATTAATGTCATGGATGCAATCATCCCACTTTTCGGCAGATTTGTTGGTTCCCTCCCCCCACGCCATTTCGGGGGCGTCCGAGGGGCGGGTTCCCGTCCCCCGCAGAGGAGACCAGGCTTACCGCTTACCACGGTATCGGGACGGCGATATCAATCAAATCTCCACGGTGAGAGATAGCGCTAGTGATGAGGCGATAGCATTGCAGAATGGCGATGACCAATGTGTTTTCAACGTGATTGTTTATCGAGTTTGGCACATCCCCACGCCGCCCTAGTAAAGTAATGTTATGTGGTTGATGGCGTGGTCAGGTGGGTAGATGGTTTGTCCTTCCTTTCAGCTCAGCTTGGTGTCCTTGGAATATTCGATAAGGTACTCTATCAAACTTTGGAGGCTGGCTCATCTTTCTTTAGTCTTGGATTTAGGAATGACGAATGCAAAAACGCTAGCTGAGTCGAGTGAGGCACTTCCGCTCAAAGACGTAGCTTTTTCTCCTGTGCCGCTTTTGCTATTGCTACCCTGGTCTTACAAGTCTCCGTCTTGTGACTCTGTTCTCTGGATCCCCGGACATGACCAATCATTCGGTGAGAGAAAACACGGTGATGATGCTATCCATGTCTTGTTACTCGGACTGGCTGGACAACGAGTCGGACGGGACTTTTTTCTCTTACTTATACTAGCGAGGCAAAGAGGCGGCACGGGGGGAGTAACGATGTGACCTTGCCCGGAAGGATGTGGTCGTATCGATTCTTCAGCAGTGAGACCCATGTTATTTGATTTGATTTGATTTGATATGATGTGGTGGTATGAGGTCCCTACATATGAGGCTGTGCCAAGATTGCCTTTTGGGAGTTGTAAAGGTGGTAAGGCTTTCTTTTTACTCTCCGTTTCTCACATCATCTTTAGGGGGGGGTTCAGTATTCTGATGTGACGATGACGGTTTCTCCGTTGTGTGACGGAGGTGGGAAGTTGTATGCATAACAGGCAGCAGTCTTACTTTCCAGCGTTTTGCGGGCGTGTTTTTTCTTCTTGTCATCATGTGAAACGTGAGTTGGATTGGGTGGTTTCTTTTTGGTGAGGCTTGGGGGGAGTTGTATTAGGTCGTAGGCCAAGATGATTCCTGGCCAGTGATATGGAACTTTAGAGGAGTATAGATGACCGGCGTACGAATTCCAGTCCAGGCCACAGCTTCCCATGGCCTTGAAGCACCATTTCACTGGTTGTAGGAAGCTAGTTGCTCTCAGCTCTATACCTTACCTCGAAACATTGAGTATCAAGAAACTTTTATTCCTTCCTGGGCCTCGTGGTGCGGCCGTCGCTGTGTGGTGGCAGGCTGCAGTGCGACGGAGCGGATTCCGTATGGTAGTAATGTTAAGCCAATAGCATCGGCTGTAGACGCGAAGCTTCTGACGCTGTTTTCCGTTATGGTGATGTGTGCTGTCGCGAGGCTTGTTGTCTGGTCTAGCTGCCAGACGAATACATTTGAAACTTCTTGGACTCCTGGGACCTGAGGACGTATTGTCAGTCTTTTCCACTCTTACCCCCTTCCTTACTCCTCCACAGTATGGTAAAGGTCCCTGGTATACGATCAAAACTATTCGTCCTTACTTTTAGCATCTCCCCCCGGACAAACTCGACGTCGAGGCCCGCAGGCGCGCTCTCCATCAGTATCTGGCCCGCGCGCCGGCAGAGGGGCACAGCGGAGAGCGTGATTGTTAGGGCGATGAAGATGCCGATGGCCGGGTCGGCGTAGAAGCGGTTATCGGAAGGAGATTTCCAGATGATGAGGGCGGCGATTATGACGGAGAGGTTGTTTAGGGCATCGGTTAGGACGTGGAGGAGGACGCCTAGCATGTTGAGGTCGCCGGTGTGAGTGTGGCTGTGGTGCTTGGGAGATGATGGTGTTGGTGAAGGCGTGTTGGTGGGTGAGGGGGGGTCTATTGACTCTTCGTCGTGGTGTCTTGTTTCCTGGGTATGTTCGTGAAGATGAGGTTCTGTGTCTTGGGTTCAGACTCGTTGGAGACGGCTTGGCTGGGGATGCTGCTCACCGTGGAGGAAACTAAGGACTATCATGTTGAGCCCGAGACCGATGCAGCCCATGATCAGAATCAGTATTGGGTCTTCGAGATCTAGGAATGTTTGTCAACAGTTTTGAGCCCGTTACTCTCGTTTGCCAAAGGCCAAGCCCATCATGACTGGCAGGCAAGAAAGACTCAAGACTCACTTGGAAGTTGAGTGAATCTCTCAATCGCTTGGAGGAGTATGCTGACACCCAACGCAAGCAGAAACACGCCGTTGAAGAAGGCTCCTAACACCTGGGCGCGATTCCAGCCAAAGGGTAGGGATGTAGGCGGAGGGGTTTTCCTCTCTGAGACCTTTTTGGTATGTTAATCTTCAGGTCAAATACGGCTTGGTCAGGTTCTTAGAAGGTGGACTTACTACCAAAGCTATCAAAGCGACGGCGAACCCTATCAGATCATTCATCTAGAACGTTTGTCAGATACGCCGACTCAACTAACATTAAGAAATAGAGGGATTGGTTATCGCCGTCTTACGTAGTGAAAGGCGTCTGCTATCAGAGCTAGAGACTTTGTGCGATATCCGACGACCAGCTCTGCGATGAAGAAGCCGCCAGATATCGCTATTGTGGCGATTAGACGGCGCTTTCTGTTGATCTTGAAGTGATACATATTCGTCGGGCTTTTCCACGTTCGGGGAAAGTTATCGTGGAACCACTATAAAGACTTGATTTGAACTTCAACGAAGACAAAAAGGAGGGGAAGCGTCGACATCTGTAAGGCGGATATTATCAAGCCACGCTTTATTCAAGATCTTTTTGTTTTCTATCAACGGAAGAGAGCTTTGGACAGCGGTCGTACAGCCATAAGAGACGACGGACGAGAGTCTCGTGCAGCCGGGTCATTTCCCCAAGACTCGGGACACACACAGACACGAGACAGGTGTCCCCATCCCGGCCCGAGTTGGCACATACATACACGGGAAGGAAAACGGAAGCACGGAAGTTGTTTTCGGTTCTGTAAACAAAGTTTGGGGCTGATGACACGTAGGTTTTAGACACTACGCAACTTCGCCTGTTCATGCTGGGATCATGGAATATGTTTATTGAAAGTTTTGGAGGAAGGCGAGCAGGAAAAAAGGTTGGTTATCAACTTAGTGGCATCAATTCGGATAGTTGCGTTGTCACTTGTGTGATGCACCTCCATGGCGGGGACGAAAGGGGATTAGAGTGTTTGCTTCGGACTGGTTGGAGGTATGACAAGTTGGTTGTCAGTTGCTCCGGTGAACAGGCTTCGTTGGATACCTGGATGTTGTTGATTCAACGTGGCTGATTGTTTTGGTACGAGAGCGTGTGATGGTGACCCGAAAGAGGTCAGCGCGATCAAAAGTTATGAGGCAGCGAGGTCACAAAACAGAGTTGGAGAGTCTGAGATGAGGCAATTCCTTGTAGTTTCGACTTATACGAATAGGCAAGTCAATCTCGAGTTTCTAACTACTGGATGAGTATGATCAGAGCAATTAACTTTTGATTTGAGATAATCCTGAAAATAAAAAGTTGAGTCTGATACAGAAAAAAAGTCCCTTCAATAGGAATGCATTGTGCTGTGCAGCTTACACGATGACAGGCCGCAGGTCTCACATTGGATGCGCTCAATTGAGACCAGGTGAGACCCTGGGAGATGCGAGCGTCGAAAACCTGGGGATTGTCTAAGCCGAAAGGGCAGGCGGTGTGGCGTATTGAGAGCTTCGGCGCCACAATTCTGCCGTCGCGACGGAGCTGCACCTTGTGACGATGCCACTGCGGTCAATCTAGGAGCTTCAACTACAGCCGATTGAAGCCATTCGCAAGGTTCACAATCCCATTGCCACCGGTACATACGAATAGATTGAATAGAATTGAACGCAAGCAACGAAATGCTACTGCGAAACCTCCACACAGGCCACCGTTGACGAGCCCCTCCCTCGTCGCGCAACAAGCAGCCCTCTCCCCCCCTCCCCCACTAACACCATCACCACCAAGACGCTCTGCTCCCACGATGCCTCGCAATGCCGGCGCGGCACCCTCTCTACGCAAGGGACCCAACTGGTCCTCCCACCTCCGCCAGTTCAGCCGAAGTAGCCTCGAGCCGCCCTCCGCGACATCGTCCGTCGACTCGCCCCGATCTCCCGATACCGTCTCCAGTGCCTCGACCATCCGCGGCGACAACTCGTCTAGCTCCGTGAAACAGCGCCGCCTCGAGCGAAGATGTACCGTAGGCGTCAACGAGGGATACTCGCGCGACGAGGTGCTCCTGAGCCCGGAAGCGATCAAGGGCGATGTCAGACCCGGGAGCCTCGTGGCCATCACCGTGATCAAGACCGAGGGCGATAAGACTGCGACAAAGGACCATGCGACGGCGCGCGGCGGGAATGCTGCGAACAACACCGGTGCGGGAGCGGGACAAGGCGATACGGCGCCTGAGGGGGCGACGCTGGGGAAGAAGTACTTCTGCGTCGCAAAGGAGATGTCCAAGGAGCTCAAGAGCCGCTTGCCCAACGTCGACATCTACGTCGTCAAGCATATCGCAGATGCCTTTGGCATGAAGAAGGGCACGCAGGTACTCTTGACGCCGGTGGATGCTGACAACCCCGCGACGGCCGCCTCGCACGTCGAGCTCTCGTTCAAGGACCAGTACCTCTCGCGATCCGACATGTGGCGCCTGGCCATCGGCGAACTTACGGAGAGGACGGTCTACAAGGGCCAGTCGATACTGTTCATGGGCACGATAAAAGCGCAGGTCACGGCAGTATTCGTGGACGGGCGAAAGACGCACTCCGCCTTCTTCACGAGGAACACGAGGCCGATTTTCCGGAGCGAGTCGGCGCGGTACGTGCTGTTCATCCAGATGGCGCGGGAGATGTGGGATTTCGACTCGGAGGGGTCCGGCGAGATCCTCTTCAACAAGGTTGTCAACGGCTTCCTGCCGGCGCTGTTCAAGAAATGGGCCAAGCTCAAGGCCAAGCACCTCGTGAGCATCGTGCTCTTCGCGAGGGTGGAATACGATACGGGCCTGACGACGGAGCTGGCGAGCAGCACGCTGCATGGGGACTACTACACAGGCGTGCAAATATCGGGCGACCGCAGGCCGTACAAGGACTTTTACCGTGTCGTTGTCAGCGAGATGGCGAGCGGGGAGTGGACGACGATCCTCAACCAGCTGAAGCGCGAGTTCAACTTCTTCCGGCGGGACATTAGCCTGCATCACCAAAAGGCCAACAGCGCCTTCGTGCCGCTGGCCGAGGAGAATGGCGGCAAGGGCATCGCGTCCAACCGCGTCAAGGCTGAGTCGTCGCTGGCCATGTACGGCAACTTCCTGGAGGCCATCAACCTCGCCTCGTCACAGTTCGCGCACGACTATGTGGACCGCGACCTCATGCGGACGGGTATTTCAATTGTGGTCATCAGTCCCGGGCCCGGCGTCTTCGAGGTCGAGTACGAATCTCTGCGCCGGACCACCGAAGCCCTCGTCGGAAACGGCATCGGCATCGACCTCATTTGCGTGCCAAAGATGCCGCTCCACTCCGTCCCGCTCTTCCGGTACCGCAACCCGCAGACCTCGGAGGGCTCTCACGGCCTGTCGAGGTCGAGGTCCGTACGGAGCCGAGAGAGTACGCCGAAGCAGCAGGCCACGCCCATCATCGGCAGTTACCAGTCGATGGCCGAGTCGCTGTCACCGACGAAGGGACTAGAGCTCGCCCACCGCATTGACAGGCTTGCGAACCCGCAGGACGAGTGGTCGTATGCGGTGCCCCAATGGCTGCACGTCTCCTACTGGACCGGGACATCCGAAGAGGCGCTGTCGTATCAAGGCATCGCCCTCTCGGTGTCCGAGGACAAGGAGGGCCAGGAGAGCGAAGACTTTGCGATCCGCGCGAGGATGTATGATCTTCAGATGCGCAGCGTCTTGGAGACGAACGAGATCGAGACGACTCCGCTGCAGGCCGACCCGCTGTTCCCTGTGACGACAACCGAGTCTAAGAGCTCGCTACGGTCGCGGCTCAGCGGCACGGATGAGATCGCCATGATACCCTTGAAGCGCCACCAGGACACGCTCGTGGACCACGTGTACGGATTCCAAAAGTTCATGCCCGACAGGCTAGTGAAGCCCGGCGAGAAGTCGCTGTGGAAGCAGCTGCAGGAGTATGACGAGACCAGGGCGAGATTGCCGAGGTCGCGGCGGCCCGCACAAGCAAGAGCCTCGCGAGACCTAGAAGAGACGACGAGGCGGCAGCTGATGGAGGACGCGGGGCTGTTTGGGACGTCGCTACCCGAGAAGAAGATTGTGCCGAACCAGAGCCTCGCGGCCGTCACGGCGGGGCGCAAGTTATCGGTCAACATTGTCGATAGTGAAAAGGCGGAGATTGTAGCCGCTGCGAGGAAGGCTGCGAATCATCCCCCAGCGGCACCATCCGCGGGGGCGGCGGGGACATCATCTAATCAGACGTCGTCTTCCGCTTCCTCGTCGACGACACCCGATTCTCACAGCGTGGCGGGTAAGATGTCCGTGGCATCGCCCTCCAAGCCTCCCAGGTTCATGCGGCAGATCAGTCTCGGCCTGCGGGGCTTCGGCATCGCAGCGCCCAAGGTGGTTGCGGCGGAGGCGAGCTTCGAGACGGTCAAGGCGTCGACGGAGCAGAGCGTGACGAGCCCCACGATGCCGCTGGTCATGTCGACGATGCCGCGCCCGTCGTCACCGCAGGTCATCAAGCCGAGTATCTCGACGGCCATGTCCTCGTTCTCGCCGCAGCTGTTCCGGTCAGATTCGCGCGATACCCTCAAGGATCTACCCTCGACACCGAGCATACCAATCAACATGAAGTCCTCCTCGCGCCGGGGCGAAAGCTCGGTCGGCCATCAGCATAGATACGGGACCGTTCTGCCGTCGTCGTCGCTGGCGCGCAAGGATCATTTCCGGGAGGACCCCGACCAGAGGAACTCTCACGTGTTCAGGGCAGAGGAGGACAATCAGAAAATGTTCAATAGTAAGCTGCGCGCTGGTGCTATGCCCGAGCTACCGTCTACTTTATCACCGACCACAGCCATTTCGCCTTGGCTCACGGTGCTGAACCCGTCGAACCCGGACAGAAATAAGGTGGACGACACGGTGCTCTATAGCAGGTGGCAGCATGTTTTCCCCCGGACTTCGGAGATGAAGGTGATGAAGTGGAAGGCCCTGTGCTGTCCGGCCGCTGTGCCGCTCACGACTGAGTACTTTCCCTCAAAATCACAATTCGACACGGAGTATCAGAGACAGCCGTATGTCATTGCGCAGAACGCCGACGACGAGCTTACCGAGGAGCCGAAATCAAGAGAGGAGTTCCTGCGGGAACTGATCAGTCTCCGTTTCTCACAAGGGTTCCAAGTGGTCATTGGCCCGTCTGTCGCAAAAGCGTTTGGGCAGAGGCTGTTGCGGATTGCAGACATATTCTCACGCGACCAGGCGATGGAGGACGGCACGAGCATCTTCCTTTCGGTGGGTAACACGATCCACCAACTTTCGTGTGTTAATGGCACGGAGGTGGAGGTTAACATTTACATACGCAAACCGGCTGAGCTGACGGTTGGAAACTCCAATTCCGGCCCGCTGTACAGACCGGCGATCCGCACGTTGATGGAGAGCGGGTATCGGACGCAGGAGGTTGACATCTCGACGCCGAAACCAGAGAGGAACTGGAACTACATTGACTCGTATCTCGCGGGTCACCATGACGAGATGACGGAGAACCTGAGATTCTGGAGGACGCGGTTCGTGCTCATCCCCATGGTGTCGCGGTCGTCGGCGGTGCCTAGGAATCAAGCCGGCGACAACGCCGAGGAGGTGCGGTTAGAGGGTATCAGACGGCTTTCATTATCATGGCAAAAGTACCGGTACATCCCGCCGTTTGAGCGGAGATACCAGACGGCCAAGTCGAAGCGCGATCCCAACCCCTTGGACATTGTGTACAAGACGGAAGACCCGTCCGTCGTCATCGCGGCCGAGCTCGACAACTTACCGTTGGTGGAGGGCCTGGGCGAGAACCGCAAGGGACAGCTCATCACGAGCCGGGAGCACTTCCGCAAGTCCAATCTTAACCTCTCGGCGCTGGCCGAGGCGATCCAGCAGCCCGTCGAGAACGGCGGCGTCAAGCTGCAGAACCGGCGGTGGCATCTGCGGCTGCACTACAACTGCTTCATCGGCTCCGACATGACGACGTGGCTCATGGACAACTTTGAGGACCTGGACAGCCGCGAGGAGGCGGAGCAGCTGGGCAATATGCTCATGGTCAAGACGTACGACCGACCGTCGGACGAAAAGAAGGACCGCGGCGGGCTGTTTGAGCACGTTGAGCGCCGGCACGTGTTCAGGGACGGGCAGTACTTTTACACCATTGCCACCGAGTACGCGAAACCGCACCCTCCCGGCTGGTTCAACTCTCGCCGGGGCCGCGACGTCTCGGTGCCTTCGACGCCCATGTCGGAGAACGTCCCGCGCGACTCGCCGCGGCCGGGCATGATTTCCCGGCCGACGTCGATCAACGAGGAAAACTCGCCCATCTCGGGCGCCACCACCCCGACGGCGTACTCTGTCATGTTTAGCAACAAAAAGGTGCCCAAGGTCTGCCTCAGCAAAGTCATCAAATACGATGTGGACCACCGCAAGAGGTCGTACCGGCCCGAGCGCGTCGACCTGCACTACGACCGCCTCCACAACCCGGACAACTGCTACCACATCCGCATCGACTGGATGAACGTGACGGCGAAGCTGATCGAGGACGTGGTGGAGGGCTGGGCGCGCGAGGCGGCGACGTACGGCCTGCGGCTGGTCGAGGTGCCCATCAAGGAAGCGTGCTCCATCACGGAGGTGAACCCGTTTAGGAGGCCGTACCTCATCAAGCTTTCGGTGCCGCCGCCGAGCCAGCAGCCGGTGACGTACTACGAGCCCAACTCGTTCTCGCCGCAGACGGCGCCGGGGAAGCACTTTTATCAAAAGGTGCTGATGCGCAAGTTCGACTTCGTGCTCGACATGGAGGCGGCGTCGAATTTCCCGCGCGACGTCGAGGTGAGGTACTCGTGGGGCCGGCCAGATTTCAAGTATTCGCAGTATATCCACCGGTCCGGGGTGCTGCTGGCGGAGATCACGGACGAGGGGCATTTCCTTGTGCTGGCCAACCGGCTCTTTAGTAATCGGGCCTGGACGGCGCGGGATAAGGAGCTCAAGGATATGAGGGAGGCAAATAGCGGCGGCGGCGGCAGTGGTGGTGGTACGAATAATGTCGTTGAGCGTGGGGGCAAGATTATACCCGTGGGCTCGTACACGCCCTTTGGGATCCCGGAGCCAACGCCGATGAGCAGTCCGATGGTGAAGCCCGTCTTCTACGCCGGTGGCGGTGGCGGTGGTGTCGGTGGTGGGTCGCCTGCGGTGAGGGCCTCGGATATGAGAGCAAGCTCCAGCGCCTCTGGGGGTCCTCCTGGCGCGACAGCGTCATCAGCGGCAAACACAACAGCCGCGGTGGACCCGATCCCGATCCTCAAGGAGCTCGAGGCGTTTTGCAACGACGGGCCGGGCCTGGAGGCGTTCTACAAGGAGACGCTGGAGCGGGGGCCACCGCAGGCCATGACTACCCCCGGGGCGATGAGACCTACTGTCGTTGGGCTTGAGGCTGTGCCCGAGGCGAGTATTCCGATGTTGGGGCTTCCCGCGGGTGTCCTTGGGGATTTGCATTCTGGCGGCGGTGGTGGTTTGGGTAGTGGTGGGTTTGGAGGTGGGGGACCGGAAGGGCTTCGGGGGTTGCATATCGGTGGTGGGAGCCCGAGTCCCGGGCCGAGGAGCTTGATGAGTAGTCCGGCGGCGGGGATGCAGTTTCTGAGGAGGGCGAGTGTGCAGGATGGGCTTGGGTTGGGGGGTGGGGGGCCTAGGAGGGAGGTTAGGGAGCGGGAGAGGGAGAGGGAGTGATGATGGAAGAATACTACGAAAGTGAGAGTGGGAGAGGTAGTGCTGATATGATTGTGTGGATAGTGTATATTGGTGTTTTTCTGTGTAGATGATTATGAAGCTCATGAACATAGTACCAACGTTGATGCTGTGATCTTCACGATATCTGTCTCTATTTGCCTAATTGAGGGGTTTGCATGTTCTCTTGCATGACCATCGTTATGCTTGAGGGAGTCCATTGGCTCTGATCTCACTTTGAGAGTCGATTGCTGTGTAATCACTTTGCCGAAGTGGACGGTCATCATGTAAGTCATGCGACGTAGCTGGGCAAGGAGGCCACCCACTCACCAGCCACTTTCAGCGTCATGATCTCACCTAATGGCTTCTATGATGATCGATCTCTTATTCCACAGCACGATTCACAAAGACTCAGGGCTATAGAACATCATGATAGTACGCTCTTCGCCCCTTATGATATGATGAGCAGTATTGCTTCCGCATCAAGCGACGACCGTTTGCGCTGCTGATGTGTGGCTCAGCTGTGCAGACCAAAAACCTGGGATCTGGAATATGCAGGTGTAGCTGCGCCACGTTGAGGCGTCTGGTCGGAGAATAAATCGCCGGCTGGGTGGCGTCGAAAAGACGTCATGTGACCTTCGGGAAGCGGGAGATGGCTTGTCGGCAGCGCCAATTGACTTTCGGTACGGTCCAGGCGTGCCTTACCCCAGCCACACACCACTTCCCGTGCGGGTTGGTTCCGTACCGAGGTGTGGCTTTACGGGGGCTGTGAATATTTAATTTCGATACCGGGGCATTTCCCTTTGTGGGCGTGTAACGATTTCGAAATCGCGAATCGGTCAAGATTACGGATACAGAAGCAGAGAGTGGAAGATGCCGGAGGAGAGCGGTGGGCGCATAGTAAGCACACACTCCGGACACATAGGTCTCCAGGAGCCCCAAAGACTCGGATAGGTTTGGGATGGGGATGGGATCTACCTTTGGTCTGGAACCCGTCATTCTTGGTGTGGTGGGCGAGCGTGCCTGAATGAGGCAAAAGGTTAAGTGGCAGCTGGTGGTCCAGCTGTCCAACTGTCTGTTCCACCCCTTGTCACGGATGGGGTATTGGGAAAGTATGAGGTGGTTTTACCTGATTCGAAGCGGTGTTGCGGTCTGACTGTCAGACAGTCCCGAGTGAGTCTGCTCGGTACGGAGGTAGAAGGAAGAAAGGTGTGGCTGGCCTGTGGAACGATTTGAGTTGAGTGCTGAGTGCAGGTGGCTGATGTCATTGTGCGCCCCACCCACCGCACTCAAAGTCTGAATGGATTTGACCTGACGACGATGCGACTCAGCGAGTGATTCTATTGTATGCAGGCGAACTTCATCTACTTTGTCTTGAACCGCCTTCTAGTTTGATTCGAGAAAAGTGCCAGACTGACGAAAGACAACGACGGGTAGACTGACGAATATGAAGAAGCAATAGCCAAGACGATGCGATCGACTGGTGACCGCCTTGGCAAGTCTTGTGTTCTGGTGCTTGGCAAAAATGGGGCTTGGCAGAAGCTTGTTTTGGGCGCGCACTTGGTGCTGTCGTGTCTTGTTTTGCTGTGCAGGGTAGGATTGGAGGATCGGGGAGAGACTCGAGAGGCGTGGCGTCGGCTTGGCACGTCACCGGGGTTGTGACGACATCAACGACGTCCTGAAGATGTGTCTGAATGCTGTTTGGATGGTTTGTTTGTGATGGCTCAATTGGACGGATTTCATCCGCAGGGAGTTTATTCGATGAAATGGCCATAAACACTGACGGGGTATTAGGTACCCTAAGGTAAGGTAGTGTAAATGGCAAGGGAAGTGGGAGAAATTGAAAAAGGCACCGAGGAAAGGGGGGCCATAATTGGCAGGGACGGGACCCGTTGCCCCGCTTTACAGACGTGAAAGGGGAGTTGGGGGAAGTCACTCATCAAGCAGTTGCACTTGCCATTCATCACCTTCTACTTGGCACTGGGAAAGAGTGAAATGCAGAAGAAAGCTGCCATTTGCTTGGCGCCTGCTTTGTCTCTCAATTCCTTCCTTTCGTAACGTGGAGGATAAGGTATTCGTGGCATCGGGCAGGGACGATGAGGGAGAAATGTTCAAATCCAATGAGAATGGAAGGTGTCGATTCAGGGAAATTAGCGTCTGCGCATCGGTGGATGGCTGCAATCAACGGCGCTTCCCTACTATTGGTACCTTATTGCTGTGGTCACTGGTCACTACCTTACCTTAGGTGAGGGAGGTGGTGCATGTGCAAACAAAATAAGGTAAGGTTAGGTAGGACACACTAGGTACTGCGTACACAGCTGGATCTGACGTAGGGCCTGCCACTGTGAAACGCCCCCAGCCCATTCAACGCCATTCTCTCATCTCCCGTTTCTCACTCGTCTCTCCTCCCGCCTCTCATTGAGTACGGAGTATGGTTAATGTTGTGGTCGCCATGGGACCGTGACGATTTTCATCTTAGTGCCACCCAGGGGCCAAGAACTAGCTAAAGCTCCCTCGCTCCCCTTTCTTCTCTTCCAAATCATCCCTCGTCCTTCTCACCTCTCATCTCTCACACCTTCTTCACCCTCACCACCGAGTCTCACACCTCGACCATCAAACATAAACTCTGAGAGCTCAGCCATCAACCGTCCCATCTCGAGCTGACTAAGGTCATCCGACAACCGAGTCAAGACTCAAGGGACCTTACAGATATTCGTACACGACTCGCACTCGTACCCTCCAGCTCTGCTTCCCACTTTTCCGAGAGGAAAAAAACACCTGCACTGCCTCACCTAGTTGCATATACGCTACTCCAGTCGACACACCCGCCGTTGCGCAAGGCCCAAACCAGACACCTCGCGCTCGCGGCCACTTGTTCACCTTTCCTTCGCCGCCGTCACACCGCCGACCGACAGCGCAGTACCTTACCTCACACAGCCCGGCCGAGCCCAGTCGTTGTCGTCAGTTAGGCTCTCCCTCTCTCTGCAGTGCTGCACCGTTATTCTCCATAGCGGCGGCAACCGGTCTTGGCTTGCGCGTCTTCTCTACGGTTACAAGTGATTGGCTTGGCAGATTTTGCAGTTCCCTTCACCTTTGACCCAAAGTACCGACCGTCTATCGGACTGGACCCGTCTCATCTCCGGCACCCCGGCCCCCAGACGCGGAAGACTTGCCAAGGAGGCCTCTCTCCCGCGCCACAGTTGATCATCTAATTCCAAAGCTCAAAGCTCTCATCTGCGCCATAAGAGAGAACAACAACAACGATATCATTGTCGACATCTTCTCTCATCCAGCATTTCAATATTGACATACCCATCCAACCAACGAGGAATCCCGGAACAAGGCCACTACAAGAACCCCGACTCACAGCTCGGTTCGCGTTTCGTCTCAACATCTGGGCGCTGATCTGAAGCGATCTGATCTTTGCCACAAAAAGCACAAGCCCAAGCACTCCACCAACACCCAAGTCACCAACACACCACCTTTACCTTACGAATACATTCGTATCCACCATCCGAATAGCCGTCGTCACCTCCAGGCGCGGCACGGCACAGCATGAACACCTGTGAGTACCTTTCTTCCCTTATTACCTAAGTCTTTACTTTTGAGCCAAAAGACCGAAATCCCATTCATTACCCGCCTACCCCCGTCCCCTATCCCCCATCTTGCCCCTAGTCACCGTTGCATTCGTCTTTCTTGGCAGGACAGCGGATTACCAGAGCCCAAAGGAACATTCGCAAAACACATTACACACTCTCACTCCGTTTCCAATATCACCGCTCTGTTAATTTGTTTCCCTTCTCGACGGAGTGTTGTTTTGTTGTTTCTATCCCTCCGCCCCTTACCTTCAATTCCTCTCCCTTTCCACTCGCAGGTGGGAGACTATCTTCTAGACTACCACTCTAGTCTCATCCCTCTCCCACCAATTGCCTGTGCAACCGCCGGGAGCCAAGTGTGACCTCGAGCAGTTGTCACTCATCCACACCACTATCTACCCCCGTTCCCTCCGTCGCCTCCACAAAATCATTCCCACCTGCACTCCACACAGCTAGTTTCACGTCATTACCCTATTTCACTTAACGAACCATTCCCCTTGACCATCCCTCACCTCACCTATCCAATTTGTTTCCTGCCTCACCTTTCCACCCGTCAATCACAAAGCGCCAGCGCTCAGCCCGCTCTAAACACATAACTGACCATGCCGTCACTCATCGGCTCAGTCAACCACTTCGATATCAAACGCAAAGCTCACGGCCTCAGCCGCCGGAGTCAGGAGCAAACATGGAACCCATTCCGTCACGTATCATGGGAGAACCAACCGGGTAAACGATCCACCTGGGACGGCGCCAATCTTGAGGCACAGCGCGAGGTGCCCGCGGAAGAGAGGGAAACCGACGAGGCGATACATCACGTTCAGAGCGAGCCCGTACCCAGAGATTCCGAGACAGTACGCAACAGTTTGGGCAAGGAGACGAGATCAGGAACAGGAAGCGGCAGCGGCGACACAATGTTTGAGAACAAGCCCGAGGACGGTGGAGTAAGGAATCGAAAGACGGAAAACGCACAAGGCGAGGATCTGCCGCAAGATGAGGAGGAGAGGCCCAAAGCCAAGAAGCAGAAGTCCGGTCTGATTCGACACGTCCAGCCGAAAACGCCATTCACCGTCGCCAACCAGCTCCAGAGAACCCTGCTCAGCTCATATATCAACATTTTGATCTTGGCAGCACCCGCCGGTATCGCCATCAGCTACGTCTCCTCTGTCAACAAGATTGCCGTATTCGTCGTCAACTTCATCGCCATTATCCCATTGGCAGCCATGCTGGGTTTTGCAACCGAAGAAATCGCACTGAGGACGGGTGAGACATTGGGCGGTCTTCTCAACGCAACTTTCGGAAACGCCGTCGAACTCATTGTCGCCATTCTCGCCTTGGCCGAAGGAAAGGTCCTCATTGTGCAGACGTCGCTCATTGGTTCCATTCTCTCCAACCTGTTGCTCGTTATGGGCTTCTGTTTCTTCTTTGGCGGAATCAACCGACCCGAGCAATACTTCAACACCACCGTCGCCCAGACCGCCGCCTCACTCTTGGCTCTCGCTGTTGCCTCCGTCATTGTTCCCACCGTATTCGACAAGAACGACGGCACCGACAACACCGTCCACGTCGCCGCTCTCTCTCGTGGGACAGCCGTCATTTTGCTCATTATCTACGCCTCGTACCTGTTCTTCCAGCTCAAGACCCACAATGCCGTCTTCAACGAGGAGTCGCAAAAGGTCGCCGCCAAGCCCTGGAGCCGCGGCGGCTTGAAGGAGGGCGCTCTCGCTCGCGGATTGGCCGGCACTGGAGCGCGCATGGCTCAGACCGGTGTCCGCGGAGAGAGTGAGAACGAGAGGCAGGAGCTGAGCCGCATGATGATGCAACGCCACGAGGAAGAGGAGGACGAAGAGGAGGAGCCCCAGTTGCACTTCTTGGTCGCCGTCGGCACTCTCACCGGAGCCACCGTTCTCATCGCCTTCTGCGCCGAAGCCATGGTCAGCTCCATCGACTACGTCACCAAGGAGGGCGGTATCAGCGAGGAGTTTGTCGGTCTCATTCTCTTGCCTATTGTCGGTAACGCCGCCGAGCACGCCACTGCTGTCACTGTCGCTATCAAGGACAAGATGGATCTCGCTATTGGTGTCGCTGTCGGTTCGAGTATGCAGGTTGCGCTGTTCCTGATTCCCTTGTTGATCATCATCGGCTGGGGTATGGGCAACGACGCCATGACGCTCAGCTTCGACCTCTTCCAGGTTGCTGTTCTGTTCGTCGCTGTTCTTCTGGTCAACTACCTGATTGCCGATGGCAAGAGCCATTGGCTCGAGGGGCTGCAGCTCATTTGTCTGTATGCCATTATCGCAACATGCTCATGGTGTAAGTCACTCTGTCTACGGAATTCACTACGAAAACAAATACTAACGCGAACGAACAGGGTACCCCGCCACTGGTGTTGCCGGCTAAGCCAACCAACTCTCCTGTTACGACCATTTCTCATTTCATCAAAACTTTGTTCGAGCGTGTGTGCCAATTTTTCTATTCATATAATGTCTTGTTTTTTATTCAAGAAGGGTCGCCTTTTCTTGATGTGTACATATAGGACCAAACGTGCGGGATTCCTTGGAGGAACTGTACATTGAACCCGCCCCTTTTGGGTATTTACCGAGACTACGGGCTTTGCGAGCCACGGAGGAGAGGGGGATATACGTGTGTGCGAGTGAAGGAAAGAGAGTAATGAGACGAGAGTGAAGTACATGAGTCTATCGGCATGTATATGCTGCCAGATGGAGAGTACTCGAAAAGAAATAACAAACAAGTTCAAGCCTACATGCTCTGACCAGAACGTTTCTATGTTGATCCCGTGCCAATCCGTCATTGAGGTAGGAGGTAGATGAGACCAATGATTATGAAGAAAAGTTCCAACAATTTGGGCACTGTTCCATTGGCTGGTAAAGACCAGCCGTTTGGCAGCTTGTCCGACATGAGTTTCTTATGTTTGGCGGAACCTGCCATCCTGAGTTGGACCTCAATCAGCCGGTGGGATGATGTCGATATTTGGTACAGTCATCCACGCCAGACGGGTAGTAGATCTCTAATGTATCGAGCCCGGTACGATCATCCCGCCTGCATGTTTTCCAAGATTAACGAGGAATGCCCTGGTCAGGTTTGACTGCGGAAGTATGCAGCTCTCACCCCTTCCCTCCCTCCCCACTTGCAAATTCAAATTCAGTTAGAATCAATTGCTGTGATCTATAGACTGTGACAACTTAAGTTGAAGTCAACTACTAGATCGGCTCTCCATCTATTCGCTTCTCTTTCGTGAGCCAAGTGTTGCATCCTCAACCCAGTTTGGCTTGAGGTCTAGCGATGCCCATGATACTGCGTACACACGAGGTAAACACTTCCGCCTAAACCAGCAGCGCTGAGGGGTACATCGGCAATACTACAACACTGCGGAAACACTTACTAGAGTCGGGCAACTTGTGCACTCGCTACGCGCAACATTCACTCATCATGCCATCTCACATCTTGGAGACCTGGAGCAGTCCGCGCCAAGATTCCTGTTTCTCGGCTCGCAACCCCGCAGTTCACCACGCAGCAAGCGATTCCTCCCAACGGCCCGAATCGGAGTCGGTCAACCAAACCTTCACCGGATACCTACCCCAAAGCATAATAGATTTGCCAAGTCACATAGTGAGGAAACCACTGTGGCCGAGCCAGGCACAGGGCATGCAGAGCGGAGCAGGAACTGCACGCTGCAAATCATTGACACCTACAACCTTCATTGGAGGGAAATCACGGACAACGGGTATGCATGCGCGCACCAGGCAGATCGAACCCCACACCAAGGCGACTCCCCGCTTCACCTCACGCAACCGCGTTCCCCGAGATGAGGTGAGGTGATGTTGCTGTTTACTACGTAGCCACGCGAGATCTCGGTGGTATTGATGTAATGATTCAAATGCGGGGTTGATTGGTCAATGGCCTTTTAAAAAGAAGGCCAAGGCCAATCTCAGTCATGGAGAGCTGTGTAGGTTAAGTTGGACCCGAACGTCAAGTTGTTGTTTACGATGAAGGTTACGTTGAGCCGAGCGTTGACACTCTGTGCCAGCTTCGCGGTATGCGAGGCTCGCTCTCTCTGGTCTTCGAGCCCTGCGACGTACGGAGATTCGAGTTCGGATACGTACTTGCTCAAGACTGGGTATCCCATTGGCAATGGCAAACTCGGGGGTGAGTTTAGAGTCTAGACTTAGAGTCTACTCAACTTCAACCGAGGCCATGATGTTAACACACTTCTAGCGATTCCGTTTGGTCCGCCTCATGCGGAGAAGGTCAGCCTGAACATTGACTCTCTATGGGCTGGCGGACCCTTTGAGGCCTCGGTGAGTCTCTGATCTCATCGAATGTGAAGTGAACATCTTACTAAAGGGAGTTCCTGTCAGAACTACACAGGGGGTAACCCTACAGAGCCAAAGTACGACGCTCTTCCTGGAATCCGCTCGTTCATCTTTGAGAATGGAACCGGAGGTAAGTACAGAACCTCATTCGAAACTCAGTCAGTGCCATGTTGCTAACACACAATGATTAAGATGTCTCCCCCATCCTCGGCTCAGGAGCAAATTACGGCGGCAACCGCGTCCTCGCAAATCTGACTGTCGCAATCGACGGCGTGGGCAACTACACCTCGTACAAACGCGCACTCGACCTCACAACGGGCGTTCACACGACGAAGTTCACCGCAAACGCGGCAGACTACGAAATCACTAACCTCTGCTCGTACCCGGACCAAGTATGCGTTTACCACATCGCCGTCACCTCTTCCTCCTCTGCTGCAAGCAACAGCACAACAACCTTGCCCGCCGTCGCGATAGGTCTCGAGAACCAGCTCATTGAAACCGACATCTATAACGTAACCTGCGGCGCGGACCACGTCCGCTTCACTGGCGTCACGCAGCTTGGTCCGCCCGAGGGCATGAAGTTCGACTCCATCGCAAGACTCACCTCCGAGACTTCATCCGCCGCCGTCACGGGCTGCACATCCTCCGGCCTTCTCAAAGTGACACCCTCACCAGGCCAAACCACCCTCACAATCATCATCAGCGCCGAAACAAACTACGACCAAAAGAAAGGCAACGCAGCCTCCTCCTACTCCTTCAAAGGCGCAGACCCAGGCCCCAAAATCGAATCCATCTCCACAGCCGCCTCATCAAAGTCCTTCTCCGACCTCCTATCCTCCCACATCGCAGACTACCAAATCCTCCAATCCGCCTTCACCCTCACCCTCCCGGACCCCCTCAACTCCTCCACCACAGCAGAAACCTCCCAGCTCATCGCCTCCTACGACTCCACCACCCCCGACGGCGGCGATCCCTTTCTTGAAGCCCTCCTCTTCGACTACGGCAGACACCTCCTCATCGCCTCCTCCCGCGCGAATTCCTTACCTGCCAACCTCCAGGGCCGCTGGACGGAGCAGCTCTGGCCCGCGTGGAGCGCGGATTACCACGCCAATATTAATCTGCAGATGAACTACTGGCACGCAGACCAGACGGGGCTGGGCGAGGCCACGCAAGGGGCGCTGTGGGATTACATGGAGGATACGTGGGTTCCGAGGGGCACGGAGACGGCGAGGTTGATATATAATGCCAGTGGGTGGGTTGTGCACAATGAGATGAATGTGTTTGGACATACTGCGCTCAAGGAGGGCGCGGAGTGGGCGAACTGTAAGCTAGTATCCCCCCTCCACCCTTTTTTCTTTCTCTCCCTCCCCATATATCAGACTCGAATCAACTAACACAACCCTGGCAGACCCAGCAGCAGCAGCCTGGATGATGCAACACGTCTTCGACGCCTACGACTACACCCGCGACGCAACCTGGTTCGCCTCCCAAGGCTACCCCCTCATCAAGGGCGTCGCTGCCTTCTGGCTCACCCAGCTCCAAGACGACGCCTTCTCCCGCGACGGAACGCTGGTGGTCAACCCCTGCAACAGCCCGGAGACCGGCCCCACGACGTTCGGCTGCGCGCACTACCACCAGATGATCCACCAGGTCTTTGAGTACGTCCTCCTCGGGGCGTCCGTCCTCCCCTCTGCTTCTGCCGAGGACCAGGACTTTTTGGACGACGTCTCCGCGGCCCTCGCGAAGCTGGATAAAGGCGTCCACGTCGCGACATGGGGCGGTCTCAAGGAATGGAAACTCCCCGAGTCGGCGCCGTATGACTCGGATAAACCGTCTACGCATCGTCACTTGTCCCATCTGACGGGTTGGTACCCGGGTGCCTCCATCTCCTCCTTCTTAGGCGGCTACGCATCCAATGCTACGATCCAATCCGCCGTCCGCGAGACGCTTATCTCTCGCGGGCGGGGCAACGCGCCCGATGCAAACGCAGGTTGGGCCAAAGTCTGGCGCGCGGCGTGCTGGGCGCGGTTGAATGACACCGCAAGAGCCTACGACCAGCTCCGGTACGCGATTGATGTGAACTTTGCGGGTAACGGGCTGAGTATGTATTCTGGGACGGGGGCGCCGTTTCAGATTGATGCGAATTTCGGGCTGAGTGGTGCGGTGTTGAGTATGCTTGTCGTGGATCTGCCGCTGCCGTATGCGTCCCGGGAGGAGGAGGTGAGGACGGTGGTGCTCGGGCCCGCTATCCCGGCGAGGTGGGGCGGCGGCAGCGTGAAGGGGTTGCGGATCCGGGGTGGCGGGGTCGTTGATTTCGGGTGGGATGCGGAGGGGGTTGTGGATGAGGCTGTTGTTGTTTCTGGGAGTCGAGGTGGGGGGAAGGTGAGGATTGTGAATGTGAAGGGGGAGAGTTTGGCTGAGATTTAGGTTAATAATATCAGGCAAGCTTAATTGACGATACATAGGCTACAAAATCAGTGCAAAGAAGCAGGAAAGCCACCGTTATCGACGTTAACGTATGGAAGATATTGTGAAGCCAGCATTTCAGGATGTGAGTGCTATTGACAAATGCCATGGCCAGCTGTCAAGCTCTACATGAATTCCAAGAGCCTCTCAAACTTCAACTCTTCCCCGTACCGAACGTTCCTGACTTACACCCGCACTTCTCAAGGAGCCCGATCAGACAGATCCTCCAATCTCGGGATTTCGACTCTGAGATATGGTTCCCAGCCAGAAACTCCTCTCTGTCTAGCGAATCCTCTTTGCAAGAGCCATTGGCGCAAGCCAGCATCCGCAGGCGAACGACATCTCTCCGTCCACAAGCTTACTAATATACCTCTCACAAAGGATCCATTTAGTTCCCTTTTTTTAGTGCTGACAAGCGAGAGTTCGTGGCTTGCTTAACGCTGCATCCAATGGTTTGACAGAATCGCGCTGATTCATGGTGTTTGCGTTCCTCGTTTTCTGCCTAATCGGGTGGGAACGAGGAACTTTGGAGGTGATCGGCGTTGTTAGACCCATCTGTTGCACAAAGTGCTGAGAACAACTCACACTTAAATCAACCGCAACTCTCGAATATACTCTCCGAACACACTTCACCTACTTCTCCATCCACTATCATAAACAAGAAATATGGTATCGTGGCAACAAGAAGTACCGGCCCTAAGGGCAGACATCAACGGCGAGGTTCTCCTGCCCGGCGATGAGGGATACGAAGACAGTCTCATACGCTGGTCCATCGTCTGCATCAAGCCAGCGGTAAGCCCCTCCACCCCAACTCCCTTTCGGTCCAGTACGTATAGACCAACTCTGAAACTTTCACAGGGCATAGTCGTCAAGCCAAAGTCAGCCCACGACGTCTCAGCAGCAATCCGCTTCGCCACAAAACACGACATCCCCTTCACCACCAGCGGCGGAGGCCACTCCACCGCGGGGACCTCGTCCTCAGACGGCGGGATGGTAATCTACCTAGCATCCCACCTCCGCGACGTGACAGTCGACCCAGCGAAACGCCTCGTCACCTACGGCGGCGGCTGCACCTGGAAGGACGTCGACGCTGCGGCCTGGAAGCACGGCCTCGCGACCGTCGGCGGGACGGTATCGCACACGGGCGTCGGCGGGCTCGTGCTCGGCGGGGGGCAGGGGCTGTTGAGCGGGCTCCACGGCCTCGCGGTTGATTGTCTTGTTGAAGTGGAGGTTGTTCTTGCGGATGGGTCGATTGTTACTGCGTCGGAAACGGAGAATGCGGACTTGTTTTGGGCGCTGCGTGGGGCGGGCGCGAGTTTTGGTGTTGTGACGAGGTTTACTTCGGAGGTGTTTCCTCAGGGCAAGGTGTGGTATGGGGCGTTGATGTTTGCCAACTCGCAGCTGCCTGCGCTGGTTAGTTGGGCAAATGAGTTTGCGGAGAGGATGGATGGGAGGCAGTTTGTTATTATGGGGTTTGCTTATGGTCCACCGGGGCCTGATGCGAAGCCCATGATTATTGTTCAGCCGTTCCATAATGGTACGGGGGAAGAGGCGACGGAGGGCATCTTCAAGGGACTGCTCGATGTGGGACCGCTGGTGAACATGGCGGCCGAGATGGATTACCCAACAGCCAACACGATCCTTGATGAGCTCCAGGGCCCCGGCGCAAGACGGCTGATGGGCGGAACTAACCTTACCGCGCCATTCGAGCTAGCCAAGTGGGAAGAGATGAGCAGGGAGTTTTACTCGCGCGTCGACGAGGAGACGGCCAACGGCAACGACATGCGAGGGAGTATCCTAGCCGTGGAAATCTACAAGAAGGACAAGGTGGTGAGCGTGCCGTTTGGAGCAACATCGTACTCGAACCGCGGGACGTACTTTGACTGCATGGTCTTGACTTGCTGGACGGACCCAGCCAAGGACGGCATGATCAGGGGCTGGAACCGGTCTTTGGCGGCAAAGATCAAAGGGGAGAATCACACTGGTGAGAGGGGCGGCGTGGGACAGTATAACAACTATGCGAGCAGCGATGTGGGTGTCAAGGAAGGATTTGGGGAGAATGCAAAGAGGTTGGTGGAGTTGAAGGGAAAGTATGATCCGGAGAACCGGTTCTCGCGCAGTCCCTGGAAGATTGTTGCCTCGTAGAAGGTAGACATGGCTTTATCATGAGATTGGGGTCGGTTTATGCACCCTAAGTACTAAGCTATATCTAGACGTTGCACTCTTTTGTACGCCCAGGTGGAATCTTGTCCGTTGGGTCAAGTCGGAAATTTTACATATCGTCCAACACAGTGGAGTCCCAGAGACTTCATGATTGAAGTATGAGGCTGGTGTCGAGAGAGTAGCTGTCAAGGGTATCCGAGGGCTGCATACCTGCTAGCCACCAATGCGAAACATCAAATAATGTTCGAGTAATAGTCTTTCAGTCCCAAATCGCGAGATATACTGACTAAAGTAGGTTGAAAGGAAAGAGCTTTTGAAGCAACCCAAGCAACACATTTCAAGACAAAGGAACATTCGACGTGAGACGAGCCCCCTTGTTGGCGAGCGGCTAAATATAGAATTTCAACAAGCAAGCTGTAGAACAGTTGTTCAACATGGCTTCTTTATATACGAACAAGCTTCAAGTTTGCGGGAATAGTCATTTTGGCGAAAAGGATAGACGCGCGCGTGACCCGTCATCTGCAACGGTCCTTGCCGGTGAGATACGGAGCAAACATGAGCCGCAAGGTTCATCTGCCAGATGATCATGCCGTTGTTTTATTGAAATTATCTGAACATTCACTCATCATCTTGGCAGTTCGGAACGAGTGATCGAGAGCGGCCAACTGCCTTGTTGTAAAGAGCCAAGTGCCTCTACCCGCAGTTTGCCTTCCTTTGAGTTGGCCGACCTACTCCAACGATTTACAGGCCGACCCCAAGCTATTGGGGGCTGTTTCATCGTCGCTTGTGACTAGTACTCGACGACCTGCTGTTCATGATCAGCCCACTTTCTACGTCTCTCGCTGTTAGCTCGCGGGCAACGTATCAACGTCGATGCCAAGTGGACTCCAAGAACCCAGTATTTAACGCCATGAAGTTTCCTCAAGAACGAGCTTCATCCACTGTCCTCTCACACACTAATCGCGCTTCTACGATACGCCTAATAGCCTTTGTCAATCTTTAAGCTGACTCTGCTTCCCAGATCTCAAGACACTCTGCCTGATCACTAGAGTCCATCGTAACCATGAAGCTATTCAACATCATCGCCAGTCTCGGTATCATCGCCGCAGCGACTGCTGAAGACAAGAAATCAGCCTGCCACAGTGAATTTCCCTGCGCGCATAGCGTGGCGGGCAATTGCACCCACTTCGACTTGAATAATGAGTGGAGAGCCGAAAAGGACTCACGCCAGTTCAACGAAACTTGGCTCTTCGCCGATTGTCCAAACAAAGTGTTGAACAACTCTCTTGTGACGAGCAAGCTCGACCTCAGGAACTGCGTGGCCAACGATGAGGGTGTACTCGTCGCGCGGGAAGGGTGAGTCAAACCAAGTTTCGATTCAATCTCGAGTAATTCTCTGAAATGCGAAGATGACGTTGACTAACGCAAAATCAATGAACGGAAAAAGTGGCGGGTCAAATGGAAAAATATGCACATTGTCGAACCCGCCGCCCGTGCCGGTAGGGAAAGAACCTTCAGCGAATATCACGCTGCAGTGCTGGATGCCAGGACATCGGGCTCTCAAGGAGGTCGATCTACTCGCGTTCCAAGAAGTTGGTCTCTGTAAGCGCACCTTTCTGCCTGATTATTCACTCACTCTTTACTGACTTTGACGATTTTCTCTATCAAGCCGATGTGGTGTGGGTTGATACCAATGGAACTCTCGGCTGCTATGGCAAGCTTGGCAATAGGGTTTATTAGTGAGGCAGTCGTATGCAAATCAGTATTCTTAATGAGGTGCTCAGCGGCCGTTGAATCTATCTTTGGTGAGGGAAATTGGTCAGTCATCTTCACATACTGCCACGAAGATGCCAAAACTTAGGGGCCGTCGACGATCCTAGGACATAGACCGAGAGTAGACGTAGCCGACACTCGGGTCGATTAACACAGTAGCTAGCAACAACAAGCAGAACAATACCAGAATATCATTACAAAACACTATTAAACAAGCACAAGAGACAAACGCGGACAGGGTCGCCAAAGGAAAATCAAAGCAAGAACCAAAAAGAGTTCACCCCCCCGGTGCTGAACTGGGGGCTACATCTCTTGGTGCTCATGCTGGGAAATTTTCGATTTTAAGGTGCTCAATCCGGGACTCGAACTCGTGATACTCGTATGCGCTAAGCCTGTCGTCGAGTAGGCTGGTTGGCGATTTTAATTGTTGACCATGAACCACTCCACCACCCAGCCAGTTTGACCTGACCCCCCGACCTAGGAGGGCGCCTGCTGGCTGGTGACAGGGATGGACTTTGGGGGGGTATATGAAGCTTCTTGTGTATTCAGGCGGTGGGAAGGTTCGGATGAAGGGTCAGAAAGGTAAGGTAGGTACGTATAGTGTGTGGATGTGGATGAGAAGGGAAGGAGGAAGGTACGGGAAGCACCTGCCTGCCTTACTTTACAGAAGGGGCCATACGGTCACCGGGTACCTATGGTCTATAGGTCAGAAGATTGCTAAAAATGTCACCTATCGGATGAGGAGATGCCTTTGGCGTAATAGTTGGGACTGATGCTCACTCCCGACCTCAGCGCTAGGTAATTGACCCCGGTGGCTTTTATTTTTGAAGGTCCCGAGTTCGAATCATGAATAGTGACTCTTTTTTCTATTTTCAGCCTTTCCTTTTCCGCCTAACCGTCTCAATGTGTCACTGTGAGGCTTGACCTGAACCCAGAGATCCGAGTTCGAATCATGAATAGTGACTCTTTTTTCTATTTTCAGCCTTTCCTTTTCCGCCTAACCGTCTCAATGTGTCACTGTGAGGCTTGACCTGAACCCAGAGATGCCTCCAGGATAGCTGGCTTGGGTCACGCGGGTCCAAGGAGAACATCCCGTCTTTCTGGGCCTCAATAATACAGCGAGGCTGAAGTTTGTCTACACCGGTTTACTCTATTTAGACCTCGGTCTCGTTTGATATCGTGAGAAGCTCAATTATCCTGTCTACACCACAAACTTGCCGCCACATCCACCACATGCCTCCTCAGACGCATCAACCTTGGCATCCGGGCCCATGTGTTCCTGCGCGATCTTGACGACCTCCTTAGCCACAAGACACCGCAGACCACAAACAGCACAAGCTCTCGAGATGCCAGGCGCGAGGATAGCGAGGCCGGTTGACGCACAGGTAGCTAAAATCAACGTTAGTGGAGAACAAAAACCCCTGAAACAGAGACCAAAGCAAGACTCACCAAAGATATGCCCCTTTTCGCAAATCGACTCCTTCCCCTCGTCAACAAGAGAAGCATGACAAAAAACACACGTCTGCTTCCTTTTCACCTCCTCAAACCTCTTCCTCAACGAGTTATCATCCCGAGCCCTCGCCTCGTCTCCAGTACCAGCCCAAAGCGTACCAGGAACAGCAGGTCCGCCGGCATACATCCAATCCCACATCTTGGCCTCGGTGCTCTGCTTCTGCCAGTACTGTAACCTACTCGCCCTACCACCGTCGTCTCCTCCATCAACGTCCATCTCATCTTCTTCACCTGCCGCCGTTGTCACCGCAGCCGCAGCCCCATGTCCGACCCGTCCCCCAAACATGACCTTCGTCTTGACAGTCTTTTCCGGCTTCTGCGTACTATGCTGCGACACTAACACAGCGCTCATCCCGCCCGCAGGCGTCATCGTCATACCCCACATGCGCACGCGGTGCGGGTGGATCTGCTCGCCCGCGTCCTCGGGCAAATCGAAATCGTCGTCGTCATCCTCCGAGTCTGTATCATCTCCTGAAGCAACGGATTCGCCGTCCCCGCCTACGGCACCCGCCCCGGCGCCACCGCCGCGGCCGAGCATGGTGACGGGAACGGAGAGCTTGACGGTCGAGGAGATCGTTTCGGCCCATTTGGGGAGGGAGTCTGGGGAGGGCGAGGCGGCGCCGTCGGCGGTGCTTTGCTGGAACCAATTGTCGTTTGTGGCTGTTGCGGAGAGGCGGATGAGGGAGTAGCCTGGGGCTTTGGTTTCTTTGGAGAGGTTTGGAGGGTGGATTATCAAGCCTGGGTTATCAACATGGTAAGCTTCATTTCTATCAGACAAAGACAAAGGGGGGCCTTACTGGTAATTGGATTCGTCGCGTCCAGAGACGTCGTATCCTCCGGGAACGTAGTCTTGCAAACTCCCGTCCCATGAGGCTCCTTAGCCGTGCCCTCGGGCCCGTTGAGCGCAACCTGGAACGGCAAGGCTTTGAACGGAGACGCGATGACGCCCCGGCATACCTTGACGTCGTCCCGGTCCCAGACGGCGTCCTCCCACTCGACAAAGGCGTCGGAGAGCAGGTTCGTGCAGATGCCCGTGACGTCCGCCTCCTCGACGGCGATCTCGACGGCCGCGCCGCGCCTCCAATCCGCTGGGATCGTGATGCGGCGGAAACCGACGTAGTTTCTCGCGCAGTAGGAGAGGATGGCGGTGCGGGTGTCGCCCGAGTGTAGCCAGGGGCTCCATTTTAGGGAGAAGGCTGATGTGTAGGGGATGTAATCGGGGTCCAGGACCTATGTACTGTTAGCAAACATACCTTCAGAGCAGAGATGCTCTAGATGGCGTCGTGAACGAGCAGAGACACAAGAAACACGACTCACGCCTAGGCTCGGATGCGGTCCTCGTCCATCAAACCGCGCAACCTCCTCCACCTCCCACACATACGATCCAGCATCCGATGCATCATCCATCTCGTTGGGGAGGTAATACTGTGCGCTCAGCACCACAACCTCCTCCTGATCCGTCGCGTACGCCAACAGCGCCTGGCCCGTCCCAACCATCCGCGCCCACGCAAACGACCTCACCTTATCCCGCGGCAGATGCGCCCCTTCATCACCGCCCTCCTCGGCATCCGGGTCCGGCAGCGGCAAGTTCGCGCCCACGCCCCATAAGATCCGCCAGTCTCGGAAATTCCTCATCCGCGCGCCGAGGTCGACGGGGCCGTGGCTGGTACTACCGCCTCCGCTCCCGCTTCCCTCGCCGATGACGAGGAGCGCGCCGTTGGTCAGCATCACGGTCAACACGGCCCTCAGGTTGCGACCTAGGTTTCCGGGAGACCATTCTATCGCGACGACTTGGTTCAGCGAGGCGCCGTAGCCTGTTACCGTGCCCGAGCCGACGCCCTCGAATGCGGAGGAGGGGTCCGGGACTGCTGCTTCCCCGGGGCCGCCAGCAGCAGCTTCACCGGCGGCCCAGTCGTCGTCGTAGGAGGGGATGGGGAGGCCTCGTGCGGCGAAGAGGGCGGCGTTCATGCGCGGGTCGGGTTTGCGGGAGGTGGGGATGCGGAGCTGGAAGGTGTAGAATTGTTGGCGGTAGAGCTTTTCGCCGTCTTTGACGTCTGCGGCGGCGGCGGCGAGGGCTGCTGCTGCTACGCCGGCGGGGTCTTCGTCTGCTGGTGCTGTTGCCTGGGCATCCTGTTTGTCGTTTTTGGATGGATCCTGCTTGTTGGGTTCTTCTGGCGTTGGGAACTCGGGGAGGAAGAGATGGATTGAGTCGTCTGCTGCGACGGCGAGTTCGGCGTCGCAGGAGAAGGTGAGGGCGTGGCTTGCTAGAGGACGTGATTTGAGAGTGAGGGTTTTAAGGGGTGGGATCTGGTCGTCGTCCAAGGGTGTTAGTGGTTGGTTGTGGTTTCTGGGGTTGAGGGTGAGGGTTTTGGAAAGGGCGATGATGTCGTCCATGATCGCTGACTTCAGCGGGCAAATAGGGTTTGGTTGAGTAGACTGCCGCTCTTGGAGGGCTGATAATGGTTCATAAAGGGAAATGACGAGCTTTCGTTTGAGATGAAAGGTCACGATGTTGGCGTGAGTGTATGATTAACTTGCGAGAGGGATACTGGGTTGGGCAAGAAGATAGGATACATAGTGCCAGCGAGCGAGAGCAGTGCGGAGATGTGATAGAGTCTTGTGGGACGGAAAGAACGAGGCACAGCAGTATCCCATCTGTCACTTACACGAGGCCACAGTGAGGTGAAGGGACCCGTTGTAAGCGCGGAATGTAGTTGAGAAGGAGCACAGTGTGCCGCGGAAGGGCCATTCTAGAAGCATCAGAACGGAAAGAGATCACTGTACCAACCTTTGAGCTATCCATTTTCGCTGATTACGGGATATCTGTGTCCATCCATCCAGGATGTTTGGGGGTTGATGGACTGTCGTCAAAAGCATTGACTTTGCCCAGCAAGATTTTAGAGTGGACGAAAACACCTCGGTGAAAGATTCGGTGAGAGAAGGTGAGGGACGACATACATGGAAATACTTCGGATAAACGCGCCAACACGGATGACAGCGACACATTGGGAACGGGGCACTGTTCAACTGCCATGCAGGTGAAAATGGGCATACTCAGGCAATACATTGCATTTTCTCCTCGTTTTTGAAGAAGTCACGAGCTTCCCCTATTGATTGATGAAGCTTGACATCAGCTCCCATGCTATAAATGAACCATTCCCTTCCATATCCCAAGAAACGCCATGCTTAATGCACCTTGTGCAAGTGAACCGAAGACATGAAAATACAAGAAATAGAAGTAAAAGACGCAATTATGCTTTCACGGTGGCATGGCCATTCTGCCCTGTCGTTGTCTGGGCATCATCAGCCCTCCTCTTCGGTGCTTCGTAGTACGACCCCAAAGCCCAGAGAAGCGCGCAACCGATCAAGGCCGTGAGCCCAACGATCTTCTTCTCCCACCAATTCTCATTCGTGAGCGGCTTCGCCATCTGCACCCTCTTAGCCCTCGTCTTCACATCCGGCGTCTGGCCCTTTGCACCCTCCGCCAACGACGCATTCTTAGCCACCGCATCAGCCTCTTGAGCCCGCTGCTTCAGCGCCGCAATCTTCTGGCTGAGCTCCAGCAGCTCCTCGTCGAGTACCATGTTCTTGGCGCCGTCGACCTCGACGTTCTGCACGTTGCCGAAGAAGTCAGTGATGCGGCGGCTGCGCGCGGCGTCGGCGCCGCCGGGGAAGAGATCGTAGCGCACGCCGGCGTGGGAGTGGATCTTTTCGTACGTGTAGCTGTCGAAGAGCTCGCCGACCGTCTTCTTGGAACTCAGGTCTTGGACTTGCGATTCAAGGAACTCGAGGTTGTAGTAGGTGTACCGGTCGATGACGGCGACGCCGACGTCGTTGTCGGCGTGGTGCGAGTAGGAGGACTGGTCGAGCTCCGAGGAGCCGGTGGCGATGATGTTTGGGGAGTAGAGCTTGCTGTACATTGTGTTTGCTTGGCAGGTGTCGATCATGAAGAGGATCTCGTGGTATCTGAGCGAAGAGCAGTCAGTGAAATGTCGGCGGCAGTAGCACATGTACGCCTGGGTATCCTCTCACCTCTTCTTCTCCCACATCTGTTCAAAGGCATCAGCCAGATCGAAAGCACCAATCTCCTCGGCATCCTGGAACTTGAGAAACTCGTTTCCACCGTGGCCTGTCATGTATACGAGAATGTTGCTTCGGTCGTCCGTCAGAAGGCGCTTGCTGCGGGGCATCTCGTCGCCGACGCGGTCGGTAAGCAGGCGGATAAAGTTCTCAACAGTCACCTCGTATCCGCGGTAGTCCACCTCGATGTTGTCGCCGTACAGATCGACAGCACGGTCCGAGTTGCTGTAGACTGTTCCGGGGAAGGCATTGCGCGGGTTGCAGGCCATGTCGTCGGGGAGCATGAGGATGATTTGAGAGTCGGGAATGCCGAGGCGCTTTACGGTGCGGTAGATGGAGAGCACATTGGCAAGGTGGCGGTAGTTGAACCAGAATCGCGATGTGCAGACGAGGACGGCCCAGTTGCTGGTGTGCTCGGCGAGCACCGCGGGGGCGAGGGTCGAGGCAGCCAGGAGGACTGGTAACTGGAGGAATCGTGAGAGCTTCATGATGATGATGATTCGAATCAATGAACTCGTGGATGGTGGACAGGTATTACAAGTTCGTAAACTGTCGTCGCAAGGGATACGAGTGGAAACGAAGGAATCCCACGACGGATCGAAACGATTAACCAACAGCTTGGTAAGGGGGCCCGCCACGGAGCTTCGCCCTGACAAAGTAGGCCTTAGTAAGCCGATCGGTTCCTTGGGGCACAGACCGTTGCCATTGCCTCTTGACCGGGGTAGCGCGGTTTGGCTCAGGTACCAGTTCTCCCCGCCATTTGGAAGCGATCCGAGTGTTTTACCATGCTTTAGTACCTCACAGTGCCACCTAGCAGTCTAGGATTTCATGATATCTAGACTGGAGCCGAATGATAATTACTAAGTGGAGTAAATGTTCAATTGATTTTGTTTACTTTTAGACCATTAACGTCTTGCTATATAGGACATTGAGAAACCGCAAGATACTGGAAAGTACTTGCTGAAAGAAGCGAAACCCCACCAGTTCAAAGTACATGGTACCTTGACTTGGGCAACCCTTGATATCCCGTCGTGTCTTGCATGGTACGCAGACTGACATGACATGAAGAATCGAGGGTGCCTCTGATGTCCGCTTGATGTTGAATTTTCCGGGACCCAAGTTAAAACGACAAAAACCATGTGAATAGGTACTGCTTATTTCTTCGCCATGACCCAGAGGAACTCGGCGTCGTCCTTGTCATCGACGATATCCCTGACAAGAACCTCCAACCCGGCCTCCTTGAGCTGTTCCACAGTCGCATCAGCGCCCCAACCGCTCCAGTACATCCACCCCTTCTCGTGAAGCCACTCCTCATTCACAACGGCAGGCAAGTCCTTTGACGCAAAGTTGGCGAGCAATAGCCCACCAGGCTTCAACCACCTGGCGACGCGGCGGATCATCTCGGTCTGCTCCTCGCGGGGCAGGTGGATGATGCTGTACATGGCAATGACGGCGTCGAACGAACCCTCGGAGAACTCGAGCTTCATCATGTCGCCCTCGACAAAGGAGACGCGGTCGGTGCCGTGCTTGGCGAGGTTCTTGCGAGCGACGTCGATCTGGGTGGTGGAGAGGTCGTTTGCGGTGACGTAGGTGTCGGGCGCGGTGAGGAGCCTCTCGGTGACGGGGAGGCCGCAGCCGCAGCCGAGCTCGAGGACGAGGGACATTTGGCCCGACAAGGGTTTCGCGGTGAGGAGCTTCTCCATGAGCTTCTCGAGGTACTCGATGCGGAGGGAGGTCTGGCGGAGGGTCCATTCGTTGTATTCGGTGGCGATGGTGTCGTAGGACTCTTTGAGGCGGGACTTGATGTCTGCCGAGTCCTGCTGGTCCTTGGGTGCGGTTGCCATTTTGTGATTTGGGACTGGGGTTCTCTATTCAATTCCTAGGTGGTGACTATGGACTCAGGGGCAAGTTGCTGTGTCCCGACAGTCTGGTGATACGTGGGGAAGAAATGTAGATGGTGTAGTAGCGTTCGTTTGATGTGGAATCTGGGGTAACGAGGAAGTGTATTGGATTTGGGTGTATCCCTCCAAGTTACCCGCAACCTCCCATTCGATGTGGCTTTTAAGGTTATCTGTGCTCGGAGACATTTTGACTTGTTTGTTGAACCCAAAAGAACTTTTGTATATTTGAGTCACTTGGCCGGCGACATTCTGAAGAGTCACCCGGTCTATTCATGCATGATGGTCAATCCAGTACTTTGGGGTACTTGAAAGTTTAGGTAATTGGGAGATGTTCTGGCGGCCGCCCTGCACAGGCCACTCTTGCTTTGCGGGGATTAGCTCAGCTCAGGCTCAGGGCTTTCACTGTTTGACTGCTGCGACTGTCAAATGAGAGACCTTATGGCCTACGCCAGAAATGGCTGGTGGGGTTTTCTCCGGACAAGGGATCAAGGTGAAAAAGATCCATTATCCGTGGGATGCTAATGTGGAGGAGGTCGGATCTGGACGGGGCGTTGGACCGAGCGGCGAGCGGAACCTGGATAGCTTCGGAGGATTCATGTCCGAGGTATTGAGTCTCTGCCGCGGTGCCGCTTGCCGCAAGTGTCGTCCACGCCTCGGGCTGGGTGCCGGGAGTAGCTGGCAACTGGCAAGGGGAGTTAATCATGATCAGCTTGATGAGTTGCGTCAGCATCGTGTGATTTGAGTCAAACATCTATGGCGGCTATACTGTTTGCATAGGGGCCGGGATTCTCGTGATCAGGGACAAAGAACGCATCAATGCAAAGAATGCACCAATGGGCCAAACAAAGGCACCTGAGGGAACTGGAATGCTCGGGGCTCAGAATTTGATTGCTCGGCCCCGCTACCTGAGCTGTTCAGATAAGACATCATGTAGAAAAAGAGACTGCCTGGCCGTTGGAGTCTGATTACTTAAGCTTATTCATCTCGTAGACCGGACCTTAGCACCTAGCATTTTCGGATATTGCCATCAAGGAAGGAAGTTTTGTTCGTCTTCTGCTCGTCTAAAATTTTCCTGTCTCCCCACGTGCCGTGATTACGTTTGGCGCTAAAAAGCGAGAGCGGGACAATCACATGCACATTTCCACTCCGCAGAGTGACAGTGTGTGAGAGAGAGCAAAGAGGCAAGGAAATGAATCTTTTCGTTGCATTCTGCACCACTCCGTCACCCCTCCTAAAGAGTCAAGACTACCCAAGGCAAGATAGCGACGGCTGACGCGCCTGGCGTAACAGACATGCAAGACCCTGTCTCGTCTCTGGTTCGTCTCCGAGATGCTCAAAGTAGCCGCGATGCCTCATAGGTGGGCGCAGATATACCTAGTACCTACAGAGTACACAGTACATATATTCGGCAATGGCAGTGACAATCCAACCCCCTCCCTCGCTGGCTCGCAGTGTCTTCCCGGCCTGTCACTCGCCAAACCTAAGCCTCTGCTACCCCTCCAACCCTCCGTAAGGTACCTCGCCCTCCTCCAACTCTTCTCCCCCTCACTGACGCACCCGGCATCACCACACCACTATTAGACCATCGTCTGACCCTTGACGATGCTTGTGTAGCCGGTGGGCTGTCCACGATGATCCGTATTGGCGAGGGTGTGAGTCTCTGCGATGCGTCGCTTCCGAGTCCTTGCATCATTGTGTCTTTGCACTTACGATCTGTATATGTAACCCTGACCAGAAGACAAAGCAGAAAGGCAGAAAAGCAGAAGAGGAGACTCTGCCCCGCCTTTGACAACCCTTGAAAACCTAGGTACCTACCCTCTGTCACTGTTCTACATATCCGTCACGTACCTTCAAATGCTTCGTACCTGAGGCTGCTTTCTTTTGTGTCTTCTGCAACCTGCACGACTGACTGACTGCGGCTGCGACTGCACCTGCACCTGGACCATACATACATACATATCCGTACGTACTGCGTACATAAAATACATGCCCTGTTTGTATCCGTACCTGAAGAGTGAAGACTTGACCTCAATGCCTGGCTGGATACCTGGGTACCTGGGCCTGGGCGGGATCCGATCGCAAATTAATACCTTTATTGACCCTCCCCAAGCCTGGCTCGTTTGTCGCGACTCGGTGCCGATTGATTGCATTTGCATCTTAGGTTCTCCACGACCGCTCCGCTCCACCTTCATTCTTCTCTCCCTCCATCTCCACCGCCCGCTGACCGACCGATGGCATGCTCGTCAACGGTCTCCATCTGCCTACCTACTGTTAGTCTGTTACGGATAGTCCCATCACCTTAGCGCTTGCGAAGTCGGTGCCAACTGGTCGGACACGGAGAGAGGGGCACCCAAACACCGGATGACCGACGTAAAACTCGTGGCAGAAATTCTGAAATCCGCCTGCCAGGCCCTCCACCTCCTCCGCCTGCCTACTACTTCTCTGCCAGTACCTACCTCGCTGCTTCTTCTTCGCCTTCTTGTCTTCTCTACTTTCTCGACTCGTTCCGTCTTCCTGATTGCTCAACCTCTCTCACTTTCCAGCTTGTCCTCACATCGACTCCGTCCATCCCGAACTATCACAACTTGAACGTCCCCAAGTGCATCAACTATCAAAACCGTCCCGGCCAGCTGCAACTTAGTCTGTTACCTTCGCCCGTGCCCTCTCGGTCCTCCGCCGCCGGCACATCGAAGCTTACTCCGCCTACCCAAGCCATCCGATCCTTTAGGTCCGCAAATTCTTGGATGGCGTCTCTAGCCGCATTTCCAACCGTCGTTATTTGATCCTCCGTCCCGTATTTCTTTCGCTGCTAGAGGTTGTCACATACGCCGTTGGCTTCTTCACCTAATCCTCCCCACGCCCCGACTTCCGCACATATCCTGAGTAGGCTTTCGCGTTCTCACCTGCGTCGCCGACAACATGGGGCGCCCACCGGCGTACATCTTCGTCGTCAGGTAAGCAGACCTACTCGCAACCAACGCTTGCAAGCTTCTGGAAGGCTGACAACACTACTAGGCACGGCGCACGTCTCGACGCTGCCGACAAGAAGTGGCATCTTACGTCCCCGACACCATATGACCCCCCTCTGACCTACGGCGGCTGGCAGCAAGCCAAAGCACTCGGCATCCGCATTGGAAACATACTGAGACAAGCCGAAGCCGAGGTCAACGCCGATCCCAAGTTCTCCAACGGCCGCAATGGCTCCGTCGACTCGCAGAAGAGGCGCCGCAAGTTCAAGGTCGTCCTCCATAGCTCCCCGTTCTTGCGATGCGTCCAAACCTCCGTCGCCATCAGCGCGGGCCTGGCCCAGGCGCCTCCGCCCGGTACGCCCTCGTACCCGATGCCCTCGCCCAGCGCGAACCCTTCCGCTTCACCCTTTGTTCTACCAGCGTCCGTAGCTGAGGAAGTTGATCCCCTCTCGAACGATGCGAACGGTACCAAGCCCGAGCAGGCTAAGAAGAAGATAATCAAGAAATCGACGTTGCGCCTGGATGCTTTCTTGGGCGAGTGGCTGTCTCCGGAATACTTTGAAATGATCACGCCGCCTCCGGGTTCCGCGATGATGCTGGCTGGAGCAAAGGCCGATTTACTCAGACGGGAGAACATTCACGCCCACAACCACATCCAGGAGCACTCCCACCACCACGCAAATTCTGTTGGCCAAGCCCAGAGTCAGCTGTGGAACAGCCCAAAGTTCAGAGCTGCCCCCACACCCGCCCCTGAGAGGTCTGGCTCTTCGGATTCCAACTCGCCTTCCATTCTGGGCCTCGAAAACGTATCTGCCGTGGCTGGCGCTCTGCCGCGGAGTCGGGCTGGCAGTACAGCTAGCACCTCAAGCCAGCGCGTTCGTTTCACACTCCCAGAGCCCGCGAACCCGAACGACGGATATGTAGCTCCCAGCCCCCACTACGCTATTTCACCAAACCACACCATCCCCGACGGCTATGTCGCGCACGCGCGAGATGCTTGCGTGTCGGTAGATTACCAATGGGATTCGATGCGGGAGCCGCTGGACTGGGGCGATGGAGGCAAGTACGGCGAGGAGTGGACAGCCATGCACCACCGGTTTAGGAAGGGTGTTCAGAAGTTGGTGGACTGGTACACTACCGCTGAGCGTCCGGCGGAGATGGTCACCAAGGTCGTCAAGACCTCTCAAAATGGCGACACGGAATGTGCTATCGATGATGAGGAAGACGACGATGTGGAGCCGGTGGTCATCTTGGTATCTCACGGTGCCGGTTGCAACGCCTTGATCGGCGCCATCACGCATCAGCCGGTCCTGATGGACGTGGCGATGGCTTCTTTGACCGTGGCCGCCAGAAAGCCCGGTCGCGACTCGGAGCCCTCCGGCTTGGATACGCCCATGTCGGAACCTGACGTCGACCCAATGTCCGGCACCAAAGGGATCATCCCCGTCCATCACTATTACGATCTCAAATTATTTGCAAACACCGAGCATCTGCGCCAGCCTGTCTCGGCTACGCACAACCTGTCCAGGGCTCCCTCGACAGCCTCAAATCACTCACAAAACGGACAGTCATACTCGCGAGGGCGCATCTCGACCGTAGGATCGACCACATATACGCCGACCCCGATCACATTCAACCCCGACTCGTTTGACTTTGGAAGTAGGAGCAACTCGGCAAACGCAAATCTGGGCAGCATGCGCCGGGGTTCGAATAACACATACTCCCTTCCCAGGACGCCCGCGCTCAACACGACCGGAATCACAGTCGGTAGCGGCGCAACAAACTTCACGAAACCATCACCGACGTTGTCCGTCGGGCTGTGGTCGCCAATCACACCAAAGAAGGAGACAGAAGAGGAGGAGGACGAGGAGGACGATATCTTTCCGGACTTTGACCACCGGAAAAAGTTGGCCGCTCTTTCCAAGCCCGGCCAGGAGATTGTCAAGCCTCCGACTCCAGAGAGAAAGGAGCCGCAACTCGGTGGCCCGGCTAAGGTCCCCCTTAGACTGCAAGAGATCTCTCGCCCTACTTCGAGCGACGGTACCGACGAGGAAAACAAGATTCCTCAGCTGGGGACATTTGCCAGCGGGGGTCTGTGGGGAGCGCCGCGTCCCTTGGGGGAGACTGAAATTATGCGCGACATGACGACCTCGAAGCGGCGCTGGACCGTGAATGAGCGTGGTTGATGGGTTGTTTCAAGAGATGATTGCATTGCGGCGCGGCGTTGGACTATCTCATGGAATGAAGCGCACGAACATCCTCAAAGGACAGGATGGAATCACACAACATGGAAGTTTTATCTTACAGCGAAAAGCGCACGCAATCACAACAGCGCTGTTACGTCTGCATCTGGGCGGCAAAAGGACAAATCTCTACTTTTTTCATCTTCATTATGGCATTGCGTAGGGAAGAAAAGTTTTGGAGTGGCTCCAAGGCATGATATCATTTTTAATAGCGCTGTAGGGAAGGGGGCATTAGCATGAGGGTTTTTGCCTTGTTTGAAGTTTCCCCCCCAAAAAACAGCCATCAAATAGTTGTTATGAAGGCATGGATGGATAGCATAGATGAATGAAATTACACAAAAAAGTTCAAACTGCGATTGCTTGTTTACGTGAGTGTCTATACCTGTGTGAGTGGAATTCCAGGCTGTGTCATGAGTGAAATGTTGAATAATTCGCTTCTAATCTTGTTTAGGCATGACAAAAAGGAAAACATCTCAAGACTATTTTGTGTAAGAGTTCCTGACGAGTATGCCTCCATCTAGAAACGCCCCCGTGTATTCTTCGTATTCCACCACCAAAGCTCCTTTTCGTCTTCATCCTGTCCAACGTCATCCGACCCTAATCCACCATCTATCCCCCCTATTTCACCCCCTAGTTGAAAGCCTTGTTCATGGCCTGGTGCGCCAACTCAACGCCAAGGAACGTAGCCGCGTTCGCGGGCACGGCTCTCGCCAGCGCGGGTCCGAAACCAGGGAAGAAGGCCTTGACGCCGCCTCTTCCGTACACCTCGCGCACCACCCCGCCGAGGGTAACATTCCCCTCGGCCGTCTGCAGGCGCGACTTTACGGTGTCGACAGGGAACACGGGGATCCACATCGCCACGCCCGCCGCCGCACCCGCCGCCGTGACGGCGAGCAAGCTCAGCTCGCCCGAAGGCTTCCCCGTGACGGGGTCCTTGGGCGTGAGCCGTCGCTTGATGTACTCGTAGGCGGCGAAGTACGCCGCGCTGCCGGGGCCGTCGCGGGCCAAGGTCGCGACGGAGCCGCGGAAGACGGAGCGGAGCCCGCCCTCGGCGTAGAGTTGGCGGACGACGTCGGCGCCGCCTTTGTATTTGGGGGACTCGCCGGGCTTCAGGCGCTGGGACTGGACCTGGAGGATGACTTTTACGCGCTCGAAGGGGGCGGTGATGGCGGTCATGGGGATGGCGGAGAAGAAGCCCGCGGCGGAGACTTGGGCTATGGTGAGGGGGGCGTCGGGGGCGGCGGAGGTTGTGCGGACGAGGGTTTTGCCTAGGTCGTAGGCCCAGAAGGAGACGGCGACTGTTGGGGGTGAGTTTGTTAGTTTGGGTGAATGTATGGAGAGGAGACGGAGGAAGGGGGGGGGGGGCATACACATTGGCGTAACGCCCACGAGAGGCGCGCTCACACCGGCATACAGACCCCTCCGCAGCCCATCGCGCGCGACGCTCTTGCGGACGACGTCGATGGCCGAAGAGTAGACGCCCTTGTCGGCGGTCTGGAGGCGGACCTTGACGAGGTCAAAGGGGTGGCCCACGACGACGGCGCAGACGCCGCCGAAGCCGCCTGCCGCGAGGGAGCGGAGCTGGGTTGCGAGGCCGGAGGCCGCCGCTTTCGTGTCGGCCTTGAGCTCGTCTTTGGATTCGGGGAGGCGGGGGATGGCGTCGGCGACGGGGGTCGGGAGGGAGGTTTGGAGGGTTTGGTTTAGGGATTTTGTCGCTTCTGTTGGGGAGGGTGCCATTTTGAGGGGTGGGTGAGGGGGGAGGGGGGGGGGACCCTGGGTTGATTAGGAGGATTGGAGAAGGGGAGGAGGGGAGGTTTTGGGTGAGTTGGCGAGAAAGGAGCTTGTCGTGAGATGGTTGTCGTGGGTGAGGAAGAGTGTTTGGGGAGATGAGGAAGGGGAGCTTTCACGTGCTCTGGGTTTCCCGTCTTCTCTACGGAGTAGCTTTGTTGCTGATGTCCGGTAGCTTGCCCTAGGCGCAAAGCTGTGATGCGATCCAGATGTGTGCCTTTTACCACCGTGCGGTCCGTTCCTGGTGCAGTTCCTGGGTTGCTAGTTCTTTTTTTGCAACTTTTCGTGCGTTCGGGAACTAGCAGTTGGAGTTGTGGTGGTTTCTGGATTCGGTCGTCCGTTGGAGAGGGCGGTGCGCGGTCGGATCGGAGAGAGGGAGTGAGAGACACCTTAATGGCGGGAGACCTGGTACCTTGAGGTAGCTCGCTGCGGTTGCGGTACGTCAGTCGTTTGAGCCTCGGCAACACTCCAATTGGGGGGGGGGGGGTCTGGGAGTCTCCACTTGTAGCCGGAGTATGGGGAATTCTGTGTACGGAGGGAGGTACCTTACCCACTCGAGGTACCCAGTAAATCCCCCAGATTCTGTTTTCGAATTGGCTTGTGATGGCTTTGTTCACGATAATAACAAGAAAATGGCATGTAGATAAAATAATCTGAAGAACCTGAGGGACGAGACAAGTGGCCGGTGCTTCAGAAAGAGGACAGACCATCATCTTTTCTTTAGGTTCCCAAGGATAGTTGACTCGAGAGCTCATCCCAGCGGCGCGGGATGAAACTGCAGCAAGCCCCCAACTCTTGAGGTGGCACTTGGCGCTGGTGTGAGCGGTGCGGTGTACATAGGTAAGGTACTGTAGTGCGGTGTAATGGTCGGGTGCCTCGGTCGTTCGGCTCATTGTGGTGCCAGGGCTCCTTTTCCCACCACATGAGCTGCCCATCCCACTACTTTCAGGTACTTACTCCGTACTTATTACCAAGGCCTGCTCCGGTCCGGGCGGGCTTTCTGGGGGAAAGGAGGAAACTTGGGAGGGAAAAAGGAGGGGAAATGGGGGGAGGACCTGGGCCTAGATCGGGGCCTTGCTTTAGCGGGGGGGCTCTGTAAATACTAGGTACTTCTTCATCCTGCAAAGCAATACCTACATAAGATACATAACTAGACCGGCGCGCATGCAGAAAGATGGCGATGATGAATGGTCATAGGTGGCTTCCTGGATTGATGCTAGTGAGATGCTTATGTGATGCAAACTATACTATGAACCCGTTGGCTGGTAATCGTGTAAACAGTCTGAAGGAAGAATGGGACGAAAGTCAATTCCCATCAACACACACACACAGACATTTATTCCTTTCATGTGATTTCCCAATGCCATCATTCATCATCAGCCAGCATGCATAAAACACCCGTCTTCCTCTCCCTAGAATATACCCGCCTTCCCAAGACTTTGAAGTGAGACCAACATTCCCGAGATGAGTTACAGAGTCGCACAGAACCCCTCGTCTGCCTTCTTAATTTCGTCTCATCCAAGTAAACAAAGTCCATGTCAACCGGCGGAGAAAACAGCAACCAACAACAGCCCTCGACAGAGGCGTCTCGGCTCGCCGCTGAATTATACAATTGTTCAAAGTTCTGCCTCGATTTTTTCGAATGCAAGATCCTGCAGGCTACAAGCATAACTCTCTTCCGCCACAACGTCAGCCATTCTGGCCGTGCAATACTTGAACCCCGCGTGCCAATGTACCTTACGCATCAAGTGACAGCTCAACCCCCCACGCGGGCGTACGGAGGACTGCCATCATTGCGATACGTCACATGCCCGTGAAGCATTTTTGTAATAGGCCCTCTCGGGTCTACGGAGTGTCAGACATTCAAAACATTCACCCAAATTCATCAAGTAGGTGCAACATGAACTCTTAGCCTCAAGGGTATCAAGTTTTTTTGTTTTCCATCGCCACTCCTCGCGCAAAACCATGTGTATGCGCTTGCTTCCTTTTCTACTCATACAAAAAATGTTTCCTTGAATGGCCGTTTCGCAATGCCTTCCGTGATGCGACTTGCCTGATGTATAAACATTCCGTGACTCCTAGAAGGAAGAAGAAGAAGAAACAGCCCGACCGTGTAAAACCCCGTCTCCAAAATCGGGGCTCCTCTCTAGCACCAATCCTCTATGCGGTGCGTCTTCGCCTTTTGTCCCGCTGTCTAGTCAATGAAGAAGAAACACAAGAAAAATAGACCAGACACTCTACTCTCACTCCCGCTTCGGTTGTTTGTCCGGGATTGCCAATATCTCAAAAATCGTCGTCAAGGGCGTTGGTTGCCGGCTTCTCTAAAATGCCCTCTTGAGGGGTGTCGTGGCCAATCCCGTCGACCGTCCAACACCGCACCAGCAGCTGCTGTCGCCCTCTCTTTCAACCTGGACCACGATGTCCATTGAGTTCTTCAAGAGGTAATCCCGCACGCGATCCCGTACTTCGTCTAGGCTCGCACCTCTCCCCGCCACGACGTGCACGATGCCCTGCAGCTTGTCCCCCGAGTCCTCGCTACTCCGGTGGTCCATCCAGAACTTGGGCACCGAGTAGTTGACGACACCCTTTTGCTGCAAAATCCCCGCGAGCGTGTTACGCAGGTTGTACTCAATGTCGTCGGGGATATTGAGAAGTAGGTTGCGCGCTGACGACTTGATGAGCGGAATCGCCGCGAGGAAAATCAGGATCGCAATGGCGCAAGAGGCCAAGGGGTCCCAGAACGTCCAGCCCGTGTAGTACGTCAAGATTGTCGACAGCACTACGGAGGCGCTTCCCATCGTATCGGCCAGAACATGCAGAAAAATACCCTCCATGTTGTCGTTATGATGCGAGTGCCCGTGGCTGTGCTTCTTTCCGTGCGAATGGTCATGCCCGTGGTCGTGGTCGTCGTGTGAGTGCGAGTGGCCGTGGCCATGGTCGTGGCCGTGGTGATGGTGTCCGAAGCCCCAAAGGCCCAGCAGGTTGATGACACCGCCGAGGAAGCTGACAATAAGAAGCTCCCGCAATCGGTGAAGTTCTTGACCTTCCCAAATTCGCTCGAAGGCCTCCACGATAATCTCAACGCTAAGAAGCCTATTATTTGTTAGCATTGTGAATCATGCTCCAGCCTGGAAAACCTACATCAGCAAGATGCCATTGGCGAAACCACTCAGCGTTTCGATCTTTCCAAGCCCAAAGGGAAATCGCTGGCTCTGAGGCCACTTGCTAGTAACTGCGGCGCAAAGACCAACAAAGAGGGCAAAGCAGTCGAAAAACATGTGAATCGTGTCGCTGAGGAGACCGAGCGAGTCGGTGACGTAGCCGTAAAACGCTTGTACGGCCATGAAGCCAAAGTTGAGACTGCGGTAACCAGAATGTCAGTTATATTCGAGTTGGAGTGTTTCGTAGTCCGACTCACGTCATAAAGTAAAAGATTCTTCTCGAGTCCTTCTCCACGAGGATGGTGTGGAGGACCGGAACTGCCGGGGTATATTTCAGGAGAACCCTCGTAAAAAGGGACGGCTTCGCATGATCGTGGGAGTGGGAGTGGCTGTGGCTGTGGGCGTGTGAATGGCCGTGATGGTCATGACCATGGCAATCGCCATGAGCGTGGTCGTGCGCGTGTGAATGATCGTGATCGTGGTGATCGTGGGAATGCTCGTCTATCGTCATTGCGCCGTCGAGAGGCTGGAACGTTTCCGAAAAGGACCCATTTGTAGGCGTCAACAACTGACGACCGCTCGGTGTGATGTCTGTTTTCCAGCCGTCCATCGAAGCGAGAGAGCGAGGCGCCACTCTTTCTCGAGGAATGGACGACTGGCTCGAGTTCGCTCGGTGATGTGAATGGCCGCCGTGGGCGTGGCCATTGTGACCGTGTGAATGATCGTGGTTATGTGCGTGGCTGCTGCCGGTCGAGTCTTGGCTCTGGCTGTGGGAGTGCAGCCCGCCGGTGGACATTGTCGACTTCAATGCGTGGAGGGACGGCGGCGAGTGGGAGTGGGAGTGCATGTGGTGATGATGGGCGTGCGGAAGAGCGGAGGATGGCAAGGCGTAGGACGAGGCCATGTTGACCGCGGAGCGCGTTGTCGAAGTCGGTCGTCGGTCGGTCTGGGACCCGGGACTGGGATCGTTGTCGGTGTCGGTATCGGCGGGGATGAGCGAGGAAAAGGGCCTGTGTAGTGTCCCCTCTGTCGTATTTTCGTTGGGTCGTTTTCGTTCGCCTCTCCACCAAAGGCCCGTTGCGTCGGGATCTATTCGAAAATGCCCCTATCTTGTGCTAGCCTGAGTCATGGGCCGGACGTTATCCGCATTCGCTAGTTTTTCTGGGGTACGTCGAAGACAGGTCGACAACAGGTACGATATTTCTTTCGAAAACCGTCGCAGTTGAGGTGTCGTAGGCCGTCTAGATCCGTGGAGCTGGAAGGTGATGGAGCGAGAGTCGTGTGTGTGTTCGGGTCTGTGTGCCTTGAGGAGACCTGGAGCTGGCAGTTGATGGCAGTGCGCGGTGGTTCAGGGGACCTGCACAGGCTAAAAAGACCGGAATGGAGTCGCCCCGTCAATGACGTTGCGCGCCGCAGTTCAACGCTGAGCGCTGGAGGGGGACGGGAGATTTGATCGTCGACGGACGTGCCGGCGCCTCGCACAGACAATGCTGAAAGCGGCGAGAGCAGTTAGGCAGGCAGATACGAATGGATTGGTTCGCTTGTGCCGTCGATGGTTGAGACTTGGAGATTTAATAAGATGAAAGAAGACCAAGTGTGGCTGAAAAGAGGAGCGGGGAGGGAGGAAGAAGAAGAGGAACAATAAGAGTGTCCTCGATGCTACCTTCCAGAGGCAATCAACCTACGCCTCCACTTGTAAGGTATCGGTATCGGTACGGCAGGTCGTCAAAAAGGCGGGATGGGCCAGCAGATGGCCAGCATGGATGATGGAGCAGCGTTGTTGTTGTTATTTTTTTGGGCTGAACCCTCGGGACGCATGGCATGTCGGGTGCTGCCTCCTTTCAGTCTTTCAGATGAATCTCTCGCACCCGTGGACACTCTGGGACCTGAACCTAAAGGGGAATCCAGCCATCAACCCCTGCAGATTTCTCCGTGTGGGGAGAGGCCGGGCGCCGGGTACGTAAGGTGCAGGTCGAGGAGGGCGGTCGTGTCTGTGATTCGCTGGGTGACACACCAAAGATGCCATCCAATTGTCCATCAGGAGGGGCACTGGGCAGCTGCATAAAGCTGTTCAGGGGATAGCAGAGTATGGATACGGATCAGCAAAGAGCAAGACAATGCAATACCCTCGATCCTGGCTTGCCTGACACGCTTGGGCGGATAATCTCTGATGTGACGGTCGCGGGTAAGGCGGTGTGATGGCTAACACTTGCTAATGCCATAGGCGGCCAGCCCCGTTGCGACATGTTTTTCTGGGCCAAGCCAATGCCTGTGAGAGGAGTTCAGATGTCGCCGGGTGACAGGCACATAGGTAGGCAAGATAGCCGACAGGCATGATGGTCTTTTCTTCTCTTTTCTTGTGCTGAGGCTGAGTTGGTCTGTGTCGGTTTTGCATGTGCAGCAGCTGGTTTTCCATTAATTGGGTGACGAAAAGTCTCGTCCGGAGATTTCTAATTTAGACAATTGGTGAATCGTAATCCAGGCCCACGCAGGGAATCTGCAGATTGATGAAGCTACCGTCTGCCGCACCTCATCACCTTATTTTCTGATGATCCAATTGTGAGGTTATCGAGGAGACTGGCAGAGAAGGATAAGGTACCTTAAGGTACGTACCGGTCTAAGGCACGTGACACCGTGTTATCGCTGTCATCGTGCTTATCAAATCATGGCGCCCACATCGGCCCCTCATTGGCGCCACCGTTGCAACATCCCAAAAGGCCTGCCCAAGTTGGAAGGCGCCAACGAGCACAAAGTCTTGGAAGGTGAGCGAGTCTAGCCCAGTAAAGAAGCTTCGTAGGCCTCTCGCGATTCCAACTTGTTCCCCAAGAAGCCATCGTCAGGTCACGCAAGTCTGGGCAATTTGGCCTTTTGCTACCTACCAAAAACACTTCAACTTTGTGCCCCCTCCCCTCATCAAGGATAAACTACTCACTGTCACGAAATAGTCCCCCACCGCTCAGCCTTCAACTCGGACCCCTCCATGCGCGCACGCGCTAAGGCTCTTGATTGCAACTTCAGATGACAGGACGGGACACTTTGCATAACCGATACCACCACATCTGAGGCTTTGACGATCCATCTCCAAACTCCACCCCATTTCTAACCTCAACCACTCACGACCTCGGGGACACAAAGATTCAATTTGGCCTACGCCAACACCCTGCCACATTTGTGCCGAGCTCGCACATCGCCAACATGTCGTTGATACCTCTCGTGTTATCCGTCATCGCTGGCATCTGCACCACTATTGTCGCTGCCCTCGGCATCAACTTTCTCACAAAGCTGCTGCCCACACGCTACCATGCGGCTGAGAACCCCAAGGATGACCACATCCAGATCCTGGTCCTCGGTGACATAGGCCGTAGCCCTCGCATGCAGTACCATGCCATGAGCATCATGAAGCACGGCGGGAGGGTTGATCTCGTTGGTTACAAGGAGACTGCCCGCCATCCGGATCTCGTTGGCAATGAGAGAGTGGCTTTGTACCCATTGCCACCTCTTCCTACCGTCTTCAAATGGAACACCCTGCCGTTTCTCATCAACAAGCCGGCCAAAGTTGTCTGGCAAGCCTATTCCATCTTCTACGTGTTGGCATACACCGCACCCCCAGCTCGATGGATTATCATTCAGGTAAGTGAGCCGTTACTTTATGGAATCCACAGTCTAACTTCTTGCAGAACCCTCCTTCTATCCCGACGCTGCATCTGGCTTTGCTCGTGTCTCTCCTGAGAGGAAGCCACCTTCTGATTGACTGGCACAACTATGGCTGGTCCATCATGGCCACCGGCCGCAGCCAGAAGAACCCTCTGGTATGGCTCTACAAGAAGTACGAGATGTACTTTGGAAGGGTAGTCCCCACGGCCAACCTCACCGTCACCGACGCCATGGCACGGCAGCTTAAGGAGAAGCCGTATAGCAACAAGAAGCCCATCTTCACCCTGCACGACCGGCCGGCCGAGGTATTCCAGCCCATCGCATCGACCAAAGCTCGGCAAGACTTTCTCTCGCATCTCAAGGAGACGAAGGATGTTGCCGACAGCATCATGGCTGGGACCACTCGCCTCATTGTCAGTAGCACATCATGGACCCCTGACGAGGATTTCGGCCTGCTGCTGGACGCCTTGGTGGCCTACGCGCACCCCGAAGAGGCCGTCACAGAGACCGGCGTCGGCCGACCTCCGATCCTTGCCATCATCACCGGCAAGGGACCCCAAAAGGCCGAGTACGAGGAAAAGATCAAGAACCTTCGCCTGGAGGGCAAGCTCCCCGGTATCACCATCTTGACCGCGTGGCTATCAACCCGTGAGTACGCCACGCTGCTCTCATGCGCCGACCTCGGTGTCTGCCTCCACAAATCCAGCTCTGGTGTCGACTTGCCCATGAAGGTGGTAGACATGTTCGGTTCGGGCCTACCTGTAGCTGCCTACTCGGCATATGAGAGCTTCGGCGAGCTGATCAAGGAGGGCGAGAATGGGTGCGGGTTTGAGACGGCTACTGAGCTGGCCGACGTCCTGATCAGGCTACTGAGTGAGAGCGGCAAGGACGAGCTGAAGACCTTGAAGGCGGGAGCCATCAAGGAGGGAAGCTTACGCTGGGATGAGGAGTGGGATCGCGTCGTTGGGCGGATCGTCGGTGTGATTGATAGCTGAGGTGCAAAATACCCAACCGTAATCAGACAAACTGGAGTCAAGTTAAGAGGTACAAAAATTACTTGAACTTATCCGCCGCGACATGATCGACAGCATGCCATCATACTAAATGATAAGACCAAAGACCAAAGACCAAATTAGAACTAATGAAAGTTCATCCCGCCGCCGTAAAAGGCAAAATAACCCTCCGGAAGGCAAAAGTTTGATTTCGCCCGGACTTGAACCGGAGACCTTCAGTGTGTTAGACTGACGTGATAACCAACTACACCACGAAACCAGCTGTTATTGAGTAAATTGGTGCTGCGTTCATCTATCAAGGTCGAGAGCCTAGCCCTGAGTTTTTCCGTCGCAGCTCGCGGCAAGGATGGTCCCCGGACCCTCCGTGTCCGAGGTCGGGCCGGCCAAGTTCCCCATCTGAGCCGATCTATTAGCGGGGCAGGCCCACTGCCGCCTCTCAACCACCCTCCTCCTCTCAGCCCGTGCAGAGTCGACATTCGGCGCATACTTCGTAATGTCTCCCGAGTGGGCTCATGCGTTCAACGGCTTCAAGCGCTATCTCATGCATCTGTACGGCACAGCTTAGGCAGAAACGCGTGCTTTGCAACGTTCTCGAGACATTGCCTCCAGGCAGCAAAGGGCTAGCAGGGATCATGGCGAGTCCGTGGCTGCATGTCATGGTCTGAACTAAGATCAGCGTTTGATGGAGTAAACATGTCTAGTGTCTCGGACTTGATCCGATTTGTCTAGCTCAGCATCATCTCAGCGGCAAGGCCCTAAGTTCATCCCTGTGTGGAAAGCTTCGATGAAGGCCTGCGTTTGCTTTATCGTTTCGCTTCCTGCGGTTCCTTGGCACTTGCAGTAGAAAGACAAGAGTTGATGAGAAAGAAGCAGTAGACTCCTTCCTCTCTGAGATTTATGAGTCAAGTGTTCTTGTTTGGGTAAGGGTGTATCACAAGGATTGGATGGCATCATCTCACTTTGGCATATACTTAAAGAAACCATGAGATTCTCGTGTTGCCTTAGTCGAAAGGTATCAACGCCGGTTGAACCATCACCTTACTCCAAAGCTTTCACTCTATCCCGCAACTCGAACTCATCTCGCTCACCATCCATCATGAACCACGAGCGATACGAAGAACGCCTAGACCTCGTCAAGAGCGTCATCCACAGCTACGGCCTCGAAGTAAGATCACCCTCACCCTCACTCATAACCGTCTAACATCCCATTTAAGCCCGTCGACATCACCCCCATAGACTACGATGAAACGGCCCCCTTCGCCTACAACAACTACATCTACAAAATCGCCCTCTCCGCGCCCCTAACACCATCCTCCATCCCTCATGACCGCCGCCGCCCGTACACCCAGCTTCCTCCCGTACAAGGCACTTCTACGGTGGTAATGCGCATCGCGAACCCGAGAGCAGAAGGTGTCGTCCAAGATAACCGCGTCGAGAACGAGGTCGCGGCGATTCACCTCGCGCGCGGGGGTCTGGGTTCGTATAAGCCCGAGATTGCGGGGCTCGTGCCGGCGTTGTATGATTGGAGACCGTATCGTCCTTCCGAGATCACGGAGACGGAGGCGGCGGTGGGAGATGGAGCGGGAGGTGGCAGCAGTGGTTATGGGTGGAGTCTGATGGAGTTCAAGCAGGGCGTGCCGCTGGATACCGTCTTCCGGGACATGGATGACGGGGAGAAGGGCGGTGTGCTGGGCCAGATTGCGGATCTGGTTACGGGGATCCAGAGGGTGTCTTTGCCGGAGAGTGTGAAGTCTCACGGGGGACTGACGATTGATGAAGAGGGGAGGATTGTGGGTGGTGCCATGACGACGGTGAAGGGCGGGCCTTGGGAGCGGTATAGCGATTTCTGGAAGGCGAGGTTGGCAATTCGGCTGGAGGATGCGGATGCGAGTCCCGCGCTAGAGGGGTGGAGGCCTAATGGTGTGCGGGAGCGTGTTGATCGGTTCCTGGAGTCTGGTCTGGAGAGGTATCTTGATGGGTCTGGTGTTGATGTTGGGAAGTTGGCTCTCATTCACGGGGATCTGAGTAAGTCTGATTCTACCCCAACTACATTTCCCGGTGAATTTGTTCTTGGATTATCTTGCTGACGTTTTCAACTAGCTACGAACAACACCCTCTACGATCCAACCACCAAGAAACTCACCTCCATCCTCGACTTCGACTTCGCCTTTGTCTCCCATCCCTGTCACGAATTCTTCACGTCGCTAGGCGACGTCGGCGGCAACACGGGCGGCGGCACGGGGCGTGACCCGGATCTCAGCGGGGGTCTGCTCGGTAAAGCGATGTTGACGGGCGACTTTGACGGGATCGGGGGGAGTCTGCCGCAGGAGGCCGCGGGACAGCTCACCACGGCACGGGCGTGGGATAATGCTTTGAAGGAAAGGGGCGCGGTGCGGCCCAGTGATATCAAGGGCATGGCTGCGCTTGATGGGTTGAGGAAGTTGGAGGCGCTGGCGTGTCCTTTTGCGTTGGAGCATCCTGTCATGTTAAAGCGGAAGACGAGGGAGGAGATCGAGGAGATGAGGGCGGTTGCGGAGCGGGAGCTTGTTGGGTGTCTTGAGGGGTTCGGGTATTAGGTGATGACCTGGAGGTTTGAGGTCTTGAGGAATGAATCCGTTAGAGCCGGTTCTCTTCCTCGGAGTTGAGTAATTGAGTTTGTGGTACCCACGTTTCCTCATGTATACCAGGGCCATTTTCAAATAGGTTACCGCTGGGCTTAGAAGTCTGGGCTGGCATCCGTGACACGGGAAAACAGCGCTGAAGTCTCGCCATCGCTAGTGCTATGACTTATATACGACCATCATGGCTTCGTGCCTGAAAACCATTGCGCCCTCTCCCGCCTGTGGTCCGCAACTTTCGAGGCTTAGAAACTTGCTCAACCTAGGATGACCGGGTTCTCTAGCATCGTGAAATCCTTAGCCCTTCAGTTGTTTAGCTTTTCGTATGCCATGGTATTGTGTCTCCGGAGAGAACCTGTACGGGCTACTTCCCGCTCATAAGATATTTAAAACCCTCTCTTCTTCTCCGATGCCAGTCGTCATCCTTCCAAGGTCTCGCAGTCAACATCATACTCGTAGTTCATACATCTTGCTACCCAGTCCTCCTTTCACACCCTACATCTCAAGGCCTTCGAAGTCAACAACCCAATAAATTACCACTTGTCAAGACAAACAACCGCCGCCGCCAAAATGCAGCTCAAGGATCTCCTTCCTGCTGGACTGCTCCTTAGCAACCTCTTTGATAAGGTGGAGAAGGCTGAAGAGCACGCAGACGGCCGCCTCACCACCACCAACATCAAGCAGGTGGAACTCGGCGATGTCATATTCTTCCACAAAGACCTGAATGACCTTAAGCGTCTGCTCGCCGCTGCCGGCTCGGATTCAGTCACATTGAAGAAGCTCCCCAAGACGGATGTTATCATCGTCAAGCGAACTACGAGTAGTGGGAATACTGTCAATGATGTTGTTGACGGTGCGATAACACCTACCTTGTCATCCACCTTAACTACCGCCACCGCCTCTGCTTCATCTTCCTCACCAGCCACTGTTTCTGACGCCTCTGACTTCTCCAAAGAGCTGAAAATGCCGGTAGAAGTAGAGGCACCCAATTCATCTATAAAATCCTCCCCAGTAGACATGGAGACCTTACCCGACAGGGAAGAAGCCGCCAAGTCGGATCCCAGCGGCAACGGCGCCACCAGCGACTACGACGTCGACCCTGAAACCCAACCCACCCAGCTTTCACCCAGAGACGCCAAATATAAGACTCCTGGCGTATTCCCCTGGAGAAACAGGCTCTGTCGCTGCGTTTCCATCGGCGCCATCTTTGGAAACAAGGACGACCGTCTAGCCAAGTCCGACGAGCCGCTGCCGCCGTACGAGGAGGGCGTTTCCATCTTCAACTGGGGCAATGGCGTCTGCAAATGCGTTCCTATGGATGATGCCTTCGGCGACCACACTATAGCGGCGTTGGGGTTGGCTATTGAGACTATTGAGTAGAGGCTGCGAGCCGTGGGTTCTGAGGACTGAAGCTATGGTGAATTATGGTTTAGATTGATACCCATTGAAAGCCGTCGACTTGGAGGAAAGTGTGAGGACATGTCAGAGACGACATGGAATCGTGGAAGACTTTTCAACGTCATCGAAAGGCAAAGTAGAATCAGCTTGGTTGTGGAGCTGTAAAGCCTCTGCTTAACCTACACGAGGAACCAGAATAAGGTACATATACCATCCTCAGAGGTTAGAAATTGAAGGTACAACACAACATTCACTGTCTTCTTCAGCTGTTATTGCAAAGTAACATGCCAACTCTGCGAACACGATTGGAATCAGTTATGAGGGACGGTGTCGTCTTACTTCTCATCGCGTTCTTGTAGACCAGCATGGAGCTCATACGATGAATGCATGATCGAGACCCCCAGCTGGCAACTTGCAAGCACTGTGTGAATTAGTTTGTGGAAGCTATCGATGTCGTTTGCTATCACAAGCGAGCGGGCCTGCATAACTTTCCATAAAAACAGTGACCAGACATGGGAACGTTGCAGACCCCATCTACTTGCATTAGTCCGCTCTAGCTCGCCGACAACGGACGACCCATGCAGAATGCCCCTCTACCCCTCCAACCCCTCTGTAATAATGCACATGGTGGGCGAGAGAAACAAGCTGTGAATCCAAGTGCCGGACCCATGACGGGTTCGCCCGGAGAAGGTTGGCCCAGAGCGTCTGTTTAGTGAACATGTTTCCTTTGACGACAGCGAATGAGCCGCGTATCATGGATATCTTATGCTACACGGTAACGTCCCAGTCAAACATTCATGCAGAAGCGTCATGAACACACAAACGTCTATATACATTCATCGCATCCAACATATCGTCGTCAGGGTCAAGCATTCTCTATGATACAGGGTAGATGGGGTTTGGAATGGGGCACGACGGCTCCAGATACCCCCCACGAGCCGTGTCTAGACAAACGCGTCAGACCGTCGAGTCGTCGTATCTCGGATCTGCGTTTTGATTCATTGGTGGTATCATGTGAGAGAGATTACGCTTGTTGTCCCTTGATCTGGACCTTGACCTTCATGCCGTCGACAGGCTTAGCGGTAACCAAGTGAGTCTGTAGGAGCGAATATCAGTACAAGTAGCTCGTCTCAATCGCAAGGGCAGTGGGGTTTCACTCACAGAGAACATGACAGACTTCGTCTTGTAGAAACCCTTCTCGTCAAGCTGGGGCTGTCCCTTCTCATCCAGGTCCAGCTCGCCCTGTCCGACCTTGACAAACTCAAAGTATCTCGCGATGCAGGCCAAGATAATGCGAACTTCCAAGTTGGCGAGCTCGGATCCGGTGCACCGACGAGGTCCTCTCTCGTAGGGTCTGAAGCAGCTGTCTGGGATCTTGGCGCCCTCCTCGCCGAGCCAGCGCTCGGGCATGAAGTCATCCTTGGTCTCGCCAAAGATCTTGGGGTGGCGCTGGATGATGTAGGCTCTGGGGGTCACGCAGAGGTCGTCGACGACCAGCTTTTGTCCGTCGGGGAGGGTCAGGGTCGTTCCGGATCCTTGGGGCGCGACGCGGGCTGTTGTTCCGGGAGGGTGCAGGCGCAGGGCTTCCTTGATGACTGCGTCGGTGTCTGCGCGGCCGTTAGCTGGCTGTTTCGAGGTTAGAGATGATGTGGAGAGATCTTGAACTTACAAGGCAGGCGGGCCAGAAGCTTTCCAGCTTCGGGGCCCTTGAGTTGCTCAATAACAGACTTGGGGCTCTGATCCGGGCCAAAGACCTCGTCAAGCTCATCCTTCAGATCCTTTGCAGACTGAGGCCGTCTGTGAAGCTCGTAGAAACACCATTGCAGGAGAATACTCGTCGTGTCGTGGCCGGCAAAGAGGAAACCGCGGAGAGTGTCGCTGGTCTGTTGGAGGATCTCGGGGGTCAGAACGTCGATGCCTTGCAGACTGAGGGTGGCGACACTGCGAGATGTGGTGTCGGCACCGGCCAGGAGCTCCTTGTGCTGCTTCTTGATCTCTTCCTTGAGGATGCCGTCAAGCTTCTTGTCCAGACGTCTGATGGTGCGTTCGTTCTCGGTGAAGTATTCGCGCATCCAGTTCTTGCCGGGGATGCGCTTGTTGAAGGCTTGCGATAGGGCGCGGTATGTAAGTAACACCTCGCTTTGCTTGCCCTCGATTTGAGCGTTCAGATCCATGTCAAAAGTGACAATGCCTGACATTATTGATGAGTACAAACCCCAAATTCTGTAGGTATCTTCGCAAACTCACCGATAACATCGAAGGCCAGGTTTGTGGTGTACTCGTCGATAGTAAACTCTTCGCCAGTGGCGGCCTTCTGCTCCATGAGCTCGATGAAGGTCTCCGACTTATCCAAGATGACCTTCACTAGACCAAGAAGATGTGATGGGGCAAAGCCGGGAAGAATTCTCTTTCGCAGTCCCTTCCATTCCTCACCCTAAAGTGCAAGCGTCTTGTCAATCTCACGATCCTACCCAAGCACAGCAGCACCATGTGATGGACTTACATCCGTCGTTACGAGAGATCGTGCGCCGACCAGAGGGGCCAGATGCTGGATGGCGGGGTGCTTCGGCACGCTAGTACTGTACTGCTTCGAGGGCTTGGTGACCTGTTCGGCAACCTCGTTGTCGAGGATGAAAAGAATAAGGAACTTTTCGATCGGGCGCCAGTCCACCAATAAAACGGGAGGGAACCCAAGCTTCTCAGCCTGTTCGTAGAGAATCTCGTCTGCATAGTCGCAAAGCATTAGCACGTTGCGCGAATTGTGTCTTATTTCCCGAAAGGCCACAACGTGACCCAACTACAACGCCGCCGAGTACTGTTCACCACTAATGTCCCAGGTAACAAACGCACCAAAAGCTCTTCTAGGATCACCCAGACCGGCGGACTTCTCAATCCACGGCCAATGACCCCTCACTGGGTCAGCCTCTTCGGGCTGCGGGAAGTGAGAGTACTGTTTGATGTCGATACCCGGTGTGGTTTTCGTCCGTCTGAAGTAGTATACCACAGCAACGGGGATCGCGGCCAATACGAGAAGCTTCCATTGAAGGAGAACACTGAGCTTCTCAAGATTCTGCGACGTGACAAAGCTGAGGAGAGCCATCTTTGCGACCGCGTGGGGGTTGAGGGGTGAAACCGCCTCAACTAGCCTCTAGATCGTGAGAAGGAACACCGAAGCGTAGTTTTCCAAACAGAAAGAAAACAAAACCACCGGGACTTTTCAGACTTTCGCTCGCACGAAGATGTGCGCCATTTTTGCGAGGGCTGGGAACGGCCGGTATATATTGCTGACCACCCTTGTAAACCTATTTTTTTTCTTGCTTGTACGGAGTATGGTAGGCCATCAGTACACCATGACGGAATGTCGCAATGGGGATCCGCAGATTTTCCCTCTTCAGCAAATCTTCAGCACTCAGGACGGCCCGCGAGACTACATGTAGTGCGTAGTGTGGCATCCAGAGGACGGGGTGGATTGGATGGGTGCGCGGAACAGCCCATCATCGTCCACTGGGGGAAGGTCGAGCTATTTCATGCTGCCCGCCCCTAGCTAATTACGGTTAATTGAGCGTAATGCCAAGACTGAAAACTCTTCGTACATGATGCACCTCCTCGAATCAGATCCAGTTTATCTAATCTGATGCATCTTATCTGATCCGATGGTGGGGGAGCCGACACTACCTCCGAGGCTACCTCATTTTCGTGAAAGGTGTTGTCACTCTGTGTAGATCGCAATAGCTGACAAAGGCACCCAGCGGAATCCCGTATCCCACCGGGTAGCAAGTGGGTGACAGCCTGGATGGAGTCAAGAGAGTGAGGAGTAATATCTAGCCAGGGATCATCTCAGTTTCTTGCCAATCAACGTTTTTTGTCTCTCCGTATTCTTGGAGAAAAACTGGAGAATTCTGGTCTTTTGCGTGATTCAATCCACTTTGTTTCCCCCAAGGGATATTTGCCCGTGAAGTGGGCGAAACTGAGTGTTCATGAGCTTGGACTCTCTTCCATTATTCTACACCAGCGACACGAACTCGATTTGCAAGCATGATGGAGGTGATTGGCCCTCGTTGCGAACGAGACGATGAACCTGCAGAACGGTGTTCCAACATCATATCTTGTGAGTTGCAGGACCAGGTCGAGTAAGTGTTGAACGAGAAGCTCGCGAGAAGACATTGGACGCAGTGGGCAACCACGCAAGTCACTGGATGGTGGGGTAGATGGGCAGCGGCCAAAGTCGCTGCCGCCCATGTTCGTCACAATTAACCTCTCCCTTGTTGACACACTGTGCCGCAACTTAGGCCGAGGCCGAACCGCGACTTCGCCGTCTGCCTGCGTCATGTGTGCCGGCTTGCCGGAAGATAAGCCCTAGTCGAATGAGCCCGACCGAGATGGGCAAAGCAGATCAGCGTTCGTCCCGCTAGCTTGGCAAGGCTTAGCACTCTAGGCTTGCAGCTAAAGCTGGAAATGTCCTGAAACCATTCCCGAATAGTAGCATTTCTCGAGGCTATCCAGCTTCCCGGCCTCGAGCTCGAGAAAACAACCTTTTATAGCTAGTCTTGACAGCTCTTAGACCGTTGACTCTTGCATAGTAATCCAATCAAGTCTAAGGATTGACAATAGCAAGTCAAGTCGTCACCCTGGATATCAAATCTGACGTCAAATTGAAGGAGAGATATTCCTCGCGAGTGCCGAAACCATATGGGAGACAATATCTTCATTTGCCATGAGCTCAATGAGAAAGTTGTATAAATTCGGCACACCTCCATTGACCATCATGTAGTCATTTTCGCAGTACCACCCTCTGCAGTACTAAACAAACAACTGTTTCGCCATATCTCTCTTACCTACGCTTCCTAATCCCTGATTACTCAACATGCGGACATCTATCCACCCAATGCTACTTGGCTCATGCCTAGCAATGCTACCTTTGTCTGCCATAGCTGCACCAACACCAGATCCCGAAGCCCAGAAACTCGCTGATCCAACATACGGCCCCATCCCCGGACAGTCGACCCTATTCAGCGACTACAAGGGCAAGGCACCTCCGTTCCCCGGAAATATCACTGTGCCGATCCTCCCAACAGTATCGGGGGACCCGGGCCCGGACGACCAAGTCTGGCAAAATCTCTTGGCAGCCGAGTGGGCCATCTTCAGCTTCTACCAACAAGGCGTTGAAGCCTTCAACGCTTCCTCCTTCGTCGCTGCTGGCTTCCCGAACACAACTTATGACCGCATCACAGAGATCCGTAACAATGAGGCTGGACATCTGCGCATCTTTCAGAACCAGATCTCCAACACCAGTGTCAAGCCGGGAGCATGCAAGTACGAATACCCGTTTGTGGACGCCACGAGCTTCTTGGCGTTGACCACCTACCTCGAAGTCGCCAGCATGGCCTTCTTGACCGGTCTGGTCCAAGAACCCAAGAGCGAAGCTGCGCGCGGCGCCATGGTGGCTATTGCGACAGTAGAGTCGAGGCATGAGACATGGTCGTTGCTTGACGTCTGGGGGGCAAACCCGTTCTCCGGACCGAGCGATACCATTTTCCCTTACGCCAACGAGATTCTCGACCTGACAAACGCCTTTATCGTGCCGGGAAGTTGTCCATCAGAAAATCCGGAGTATCCCAGCCCGAACCAGCACCTGCCGGCTATGTCGGCTGCGACTGGGACAAAGTCTATTGCTCCGGGGTCCGAAGTTTCGTTCAACTTCACAAACGCGGCTGATCAGCCCAAATTTGATGATGGGAAGAGCTATTACGCGGTCTTCTTCCACGCTGTAGGGAACACCAGTGTATCGGTTGATGTATCAGGATGGACAGCTGGCGATTTCGTCAACGTGACAATTCCAGCCAAATTCGAAACCAAAGGAATCATTATTGCGGTGCTGGCAGATTGCCCGGGGGCTCCTGATTTGGATACGGTCATGGCTGGACCTAGTATCTTGCTGCAGCAACCGGCTCCAATTGGTCTCCTTCTGGCTTGAAAGAATGTAGATTCTGTTGGCCTGCACAGCGCGAACTCCGATGGTATATGAGACGCCCTAGCATAGAAACGTAGCTAGAGCAATCCGAATTCCGGAAACTATTATTATTATAATGAACACACTCACCAAAGTCACCTCTCGTTTGAAGGGAACCTAGCTGATGAAGAAAGCTTCGACTGACTTAACCAAACCCAAAGACTTTATCATGGCTTGTCTACAGTGATTTCGTGTGGATTTACAGCTGTCCTCGTCTCCACCATAGCTGCAATTTCGATTCGCCTAACCACTACCAAACTTGGATTGCGGAAACGCTCCGGGAGCCCACAGAACCAGCGGGTATCCATCTCGCCTCCATCGGTCTATTAGTCTAGTTGGTTAGGACGTCGGATTCTGATTCTCAGAACCTTCCGTAGGCCCAGGTTCGAATCCTGGATGGACCTCACTCACTTTTGTCTCTGGTGATAGTTGATCACGCTCAATGTTGATGTTGTTTTGACCCTCGTCATCGCGTTGGCTGTGCCTCAATAACATGCTTGAATGTTCCCTGTTATGAGTAGAGACTCTTGAATAGAGAGAATCTCTACGCAAATGAGATTCAACCAGTCTTCACCTCATTTTGTCGTGTGGCTGTCGCAATTTCGAGTCGTGAAGTGATGATCTTGCTGCACTCAAGTTATGGTTTCTAGCTGGCGGTGTGGCGACCCACTAGATGGTGTCAAAGTTCGGTTGCAGGGGCTAACCTAGCTGGGCCAAGTGCCGTCCACCCCTCCTAAGAACAAGCCATGGAAGAAGAATCATCTGATTCACCGCAGACTCTCACCTTTAATTAATCTATAAAGATGCATCGTCTAACGTTGAGTCTTGCTGCTCTACCGCGAGAGCTTTTAGTGAAAGTCTGCGAGATTTTGTACTACGACGATTACGCTGCAAGTCTCGCGTCGTTCTCCGCAGCCAACAAGACATGCCGTGACGCTGCCGTCGGTGTCTTGTTTCGCACCATCAAGTTTACCATCGAGGATGGCCACTATCCAGGCGCTTGGCACAGCCTGCACCTCGATAGTCTGAGTTGTGAACGAACGCTTCGCAGAAATGGGGTCTTGTCTCAAGTACGCCGAATCTCCATCGAGGGCGAGTCACCAAAGCCGCAAACGGGTTTTGATAAGGACTCTCGTTTGACAGACATCCACTGCGACTACCATTGGCCCGAGTGGAAACAAGGCCGCGTATACGCCGCCGAAATGGGAGACGACGACGCAAGAAAGATGAAGGACAGCTATCTAGAGAGAGACCGTGTTTATTGGGAAGACTATGCCAACTGTCAATGGACCTACGAAAGTAGTCCAGGTTGGGCACCAATGGCCAGCCTCATCAAAGAACTGTCAAACTTGACTGACATTTTCTTCGCATGTCCTACTCAATTCCCTCCCTCACTATTCGCTGCCTTGAAGCAATACCACCCCACATGCAGAATTCGATTAACCAAGTTCAACCTACTCTCACTACGAGATCCACGTCCTGACAGCTACGAACTTGACCTCGTCCGTTCTCCGAGCATTTACAGCATCAACTGCTCGCATTTTGTTGATCACACGACCGTAAACCAACTCAACAAGACTGTACTGCGGATTCTTGCTACGATGGGTCCAGGGCTACAGGAGGTGTATGTGACATACGATCCTGGTCAACGTCCCCCCGATGAATTACGCGAGGCCGCCTGGAGCGGCGTGAAGGATCTAGAGCCACCATCACCGCAATACCGCGCATCATTGCGAACCTTTCACTTAGGATGGCATCCGGACATGACGGAAGACAGCCTACTTCGGGAATGGGGCTCCTTGGTTGACTTTGACGCTCTACGAGTCCTCAGACTACCGGACTCCCTGCGGCCAAAGGGGCTCGAGCTACTTGACACTTACTCATTTCCATTCCTCAAGAACCTGGTTGTCAATATGGTCGACTCGTCTTCGATGGATGATCCGGAGCATGAGAGAGGGGAAATGCTCTCCCGCTTTATCGATCGACGCACGCAACTGTGCACGTTGGAGGTGATTGGATGGAATGACTTTTATGTTGGAAAACACCTGTTTCACCCGGCCTGCGGTTTTGCATTACGAACTTTGGATTTGCAGAGCAACCTGCTGGAAACCGCAGACCCTTTCAATGCGCGGGCCGTTTCCCTCATCGCGCAGCGCTGGCCCCTGCTCGAGGACCTAGCCATCAGGGTGCGACGCTCCAAGGGGGATGAAGAAGAGATGGCAGTCTACGTGGCGCTCGGTAGATTGCGACGCCTTCGAAAGTTACATCTACGTCTCATGCCCATGCAAAGAGGATGGCAGTTTCCGGAGGACCGTACGGTACAATCTCCAAGAGAGTATGTGGTGCCTAGGGAGACTCATGGAGAAGGTGCCGAGAATCAACTCAACCCGAACGATCGAGAGAATTATCGAGACCTACTCATCAACATTGCCTTGGATGAGACGCTAGCTCGTGCAATCTTCCACGCCATCTCAACAGAGGGAGGAACTTCCCAGCATCAAAACTTGGAAAAGTTACAGTTGCGGGTTGACGATTGGTTGTGGGCGGAACAGCTGCTTGGAAGAAGAGGAGAAGTCGCAGCTTTCTGCAGCATCCTTGGTCGGCCTTGGGATGTTCGCCGCGACCCTAGGTTCGAGCATAGGTCAGAAGTGTCCGTACTATTGGTTGAGGATAAGTTTAACAATTTGAGAGCTACGGCTGGCATGGTGCCTGACTTGATGGAAAGCCTATTGCACGAGGTGTTCCGCGAAATCTGGCCGCGAGCCGAAGGCAGCGACACAGAAGCGAGGCATTCATGGCAGACGGATTGGAAAAGCTTCCCGCTTTCTGCATATGTCCACAGATCGTAACCTCGCTCAGAGCCTGAAGAGCGTACTTGATGACTTCAGAAATTAAGCATAACAACCACTCGAGTTTTGTGCGTTGAAGTACTTAGATAAGTAAAGTAGTTGAAAGTTTGATGTATCCGATCAGTGATGTAAGTCGCGGCTGGCAATCAAAGTCTATGTACAGATTGACACTATTGTGCACAGAATACCTTTCAGATGTCAACCGTAGTGGCATGGTTGCGATAGACGAGAGAGAAGAACTAACGGCAACCAGTACCTCGACAATACGGAACTTATGTTTCACCCAGAGTGACAAGATCGATAACGAAGTCATCCGCTTCACTCACTATGCGAGTGTCAAGGATAAGGTAAAATTAGGCCTCTGTACGTGGATATGGCGGCTCAAAGCAGTTCCCGATGTTGCCGAGATATCCGTATTCATCGATGAGTGGACTGGCATAAAAACATGAGTCGGAAACCCCAGGGATCTCGAATCCCCCATTTTGCAGAGCCTGGGCCGCTCCAAGAAATTCAAGGCACGCATAGTCCACAAAGCACTGAATGAAAGCTAGTGCTGGCCTGGGGGGTTTATCTGAGCAGATTATTGATATCGGACTCGCTGTTCTTCTACTATCTCAGGTACTCCGCCTACCTCGGACCATTCTGTCAAATGTCAACCATGCCGTTGGCTGCCAGGCTACCAGGACGAAGTGCTCAACTGCCTAAGTCGTGATTTGGTTTAGGTTCCAGCCTCCGAGCCAAATGATCCGGACCACGACTTCTCATCGGAGCCTCCTACTGAAGAGTTGCCATCCTGGTCATGATTTGCATCAAGTTTCTCGACCAAAAGGAATGTTAGCGATGAGATCGAAAACAGAGTCATGGGACAAGAGGCACTGCTTTTGTAGGAAAGAGAATCCATTGAGGTTCTGATCGGCAATTATTTGCTGGCCTAATCCAAATTCAAATTAGGAACGAGGACGGCAGCTTGGCAAAGCCCGCTACACCGACACAAAACGGCCGCGCAACCCATCCACGGGAAGCGCGCTCGCACGCCGGTACGCGGGTGGGTTGCGACCGGCCGGCCCTCTTCGTTGTCCTCGTGGCATGCACTAAGAAGGCGGGTCAGACATGGGTGCGAACGCGAGCATGAATGAGGCTGTATCGGTTTTTGGTCTGAGTACTAGTAGATGCTTCGAAGTGTCAATCCGCAGTGTCCTGGTATTGGGAACCCACTAGTCGCGTGCTCTGCGATAGTTATGGGTGTGATCGATCACTGGATTATGGACAACCACTCCCGAGGACGTGACTCGGCATCCTTTGCCATCAGGATTTGCCCATAATCTGAAATTACTGACTATCGGCTACGCGCAAATGATAGCTACCTACTTGGTTCGGACTTAGGCAGCGGACCGTCGTAACCGAAAACGAAGCAAACGGGAAAAGAACGAACATTACAGCCATGAACTGACTCGAGGCCGCCCGCTTCGGCCCACGGTTTGATGAACGCTTAATATAATTAAGTTAGTGAGACTACAATATGATGAAGATCCTCTGCCTCAATCAATATTAAGAGAGATGTAAAATCAGTGTACTGAACGTGTGGTGGTATTTCTTGGATCACAAATCCCATATTTTTCTTCCCGTTCTGCAGCATTCGATTTCTAGCGACGTAGCTCCTGCTTATTCATACCCCGCCGAAGCTCAAAATGAAGTACATCACCGCCGTCATTGTCGCCCTTGCCGCGTCTTCCAACGCCGCTGTCTGCAATTACGGATGGGGCAAGCCGGCGGGATCAACATGCCCTGGAGTCTACGTAAGTTCAAGATCCTCAAGTCGATCTTTGAGAGGCAGCACTAATAACGACTTGCAGCCTAATACATACTGCGTAAGGTTTTTGAAGCCTTGACCTTGTCCTTTGCTCACCACATCCACACAGTGTCAAGAGGGTGAGAACATCAAAACATCCAGCAACTTCCCAGTTCCCCGAACTTGTTCGTATCCTGGCAATGGACGTCCAGTTCTACAATCGTGCCTTGGAGGAAGAGGTGTAAGTTATCTCGAACTTGCTCGTGTGATGGAGCCAAAGCTGACAATTGTGGTCTAGTTCGTCGAATGTGTAAGTCATTGGTTCGTCGCCAATCCCAACTCGGTTGCATTCTAACGTGTCTAGTGTCCCTGAAATACTCAACCTAGAAGGTTCACTAGGAGCGAGGCAATTACATATAGCCTCTCAATGATCAGAGGCCCAAGTCTACCTGCTGAAGTCAGTCTCAGAGGATTAGCAATATTGGTTAGAGCAGCAAGCGGGACTATGAGTTTCACAAGTGTTTTCGTATGAGATATCCTTGTTTTATGTACTAATTCCGAGTGGTGACGACCGAGAGCAATAGTGGTAAAGAGCAGGAAGCATCATCGTATATATCTGTATACATCCACATATATACCCGTACATACAGACAAACGAGCTTCAAGGAAGTCTCATGCATGCACAATGCCGTCATGATACAACTCCAGCTGAAAGAATGCGGGAAACTTCTAAATGGCGTAAATCGTTATCAAAGAATGCAACGCCTTCGCTATGATGGTTTTTGTCCGTAAACGACATGACTATAATTGACGTCAGTATAGCTTCACGGGCAGATTGATGAAGATCTGATACATACACTGGCCAATATGCATGAATCGCCGTGTTGCTCAAATCCTTTCGAACTTCGGCAAGAAAAACATCAACGCTCTCTCTTGACCATCCGAGAACCCGAGTAAATAGCCCGACACTGAGACCCTCCAGCCCCATCATTACGTTTTCGTGGTTCCAGGATCCTGGCCACATTGTCAGTATCGAAAAGGTATCATGACTAAATGACAAGTTGGAAACGCGGTGCAGCACGGAAAGCTAATACAGAGAGTCTGCCTCACTTACCAAGCTCCTTATGCCTTGGGTGCTTAGCCCATCTGTTTGTCGGCCATTTGAAGACGACCTCCTTCACATTCACGAACCCCGCCTCTCGAAGTTGTCGCTTATAATGTGTGGCTCCACCAAACGGCGTCCCCCGCTCCCCTGTCCCTTGGAAAAGATACTGGTTCCATTGATACAGTGCCGACTCTGTTGTCAGTGTGCCATCATCAGACATGGCTTGCGCTCCGTCGGCACACTCGAACCAGCCTCCCGGATTCAAATTTGCGAATGACTGCCGAAACAACTTGGGAAAGTCCCTGATACCACCCGTGTTCATACGGCTGTAAATGAAGTCAAACTTTTGCGAAAATGTCCAAGGTTCGTCTTCAATATCGTCAATCTGGAAGTAGACGTTAGGCGGAACGTATGAAGGTTGCACCGGGCTCAAGTCCACGCCAATGATAGTCGAGCCGGGGTTCTCGTCCGCAAAGTCAATTGCCCAGATTCCCGTCCCTGTCCCCACATCCAAAACCCGTTGCGGTGGCCGTTCTTTACTCAATGGAGATAAATGTAGCTTATCGCCGAGGGTGAGTAGACATAGATTGTGCTGGAGGTCTAGGCGATCGAGTTCGAGGTCGTCGTTAGGAAATAGATAGGCCCCATCCTTGTAGGCGTGGTATGTGCGGCCATTCTCCTCTCGGTAACGGAGTATGCTGCTGCGCAGAGACATTGTGGAAGGTTGCACCTCAGCGCCTAGAGACGAGTCGAGGTCCGACTCCTCGCCGTCGGACTCGAGCTCGCTTTCCTCATCAACGGAAGTCGTCATGGAGACATCGTCCGGTATCTCGTCAGCCTCTAGGGAGGCTAAAGGTTGTGGTGCCGCTGAGGCCGACATTGTTGATGGGTGGCACGATAGACGATCAGCCGATCAAATGTTCGGATTTGGCGAGCCTTATCAGAAATTCGAGTAGACAAATGCGTCGAGAGCTTAAAAAGCAAGGTTGCAAGGATTTGTTTTGGAGCGTAAGAGTCTATTACGGCGAAGCTGTTTCTTTCCCTCTTATGACGTGAGGTCGAATGAACTCCGCAACGAAGGCGGGCGAACCGATGGAAAGGCGGAAATCGTGGAGACTTCGGAGGAATGTCCGTTCCTGTGGCCCAACGGCGAACCAACACGCTTTTGATATCTGACAGGACAACTCGCACCAACAATGAGAGGAAATGCAGGGATCTGATTGGCCGTGAATGACCCCCTGGTAGGCAAACAGCCATCCTGCATATTGAAACGAGGGGTCCAGCCCACGCCCGACGACTCAAAGGCCTCTTTGCTTTCGCGTTGGCTCTGAGTACATGAGTCGGGCTCTGTTTGATTGATTGTTGGATGTTGTTGGTTGACCAAGACAGAGCGTTCGATGCTGTTGGACGCCGTACAGAAGCTGTTAGAACATTACGGAATGGCGCCGAGCGCAACACGCGCCGGCTTCGGGTAGGATCGTCCTGCGGGAGAGCGGCGTAAAAGGCGGATTGGCAGAACCTGATATGTAACCCCTCTTTTTCTGCACCAGGGCCTCGTGAGAAAACTGGCTCACGGATCCGACCATTTGGTAAGATGGAGTATCAGATGCTTGTGTCAGAGAAACGTCGACCGGGTTGTCGGGTACTCGTTTTCTACGTGTAGTGACTTGAGTCGTTGTACCGATCTCCCGTGCGTATTGTTGTGCTGATAGTAGTAGCCCTATTTGTGGACCGTCGTCAGAACTTCAAGCCTCTATTCGTAATTTCATAGGATTCGAAGGAAGAAGAAAGAATAGTGATATGAGCTCTTCGAGCTCGTCAACACAGTTCCTGAGATAGTCATTGCACTGGCAGTAAGTCAGTCTAATCGCCTTCATTTGCGTCGACCAGAATTTATCATTTGCATAACTCACTACCTCAAAGTCAGGAGAACACCCACAATTATCTCTCGGATTTCGGTCATCTCACTCACTTTCTGACCCTACGACACGGTGAGAATTAAGGTGACATCTGAAAGGGTCTTCGTGTTGTTTTGAATATGTCTCTCATTCCAAGAAACGCTCTCGCTGAAATAGCGGTGAGCTATAATACGCCAATCCCATATTTTTCGCTACTCAAGTCACCCCAACTCCTCGATCGGCTCACCAATGCTGCAAGGAGCAAGTGGTCGATGATATCTTTACGTCAATAACTCACTCTCATGCCATCGGTTTTCTTCCGGTGACAAATCGATAGCTTGTGATGAGCCTGTAGTCCTTGCTACGGAACTCTCGCTTGACACCCTCCATAAGCACTCTGGCTTGGTCGTGCGAGTAGTTCAGTACTCTCGTGAACAGGGCCGGAGTGTGAGAGTCGACAGACATCTGCATATGGACAAGTTCGCAGCGACCAAGCTCCTTCAGTGCCGGATCTTTCGCCCATGGACCGATGGGTATCTGTAAACAGTGTGAACACGTCTCCTAGGGTATGGGCTTAGCCGTTGGCTGGAAACACTTACCCTGTATACAAGTTCCTGGACATCCTCGAAGCCGGCATCAATCATCCATTGTTTGTGGTGTCTTGCCACGTTGATTTGCTTCCCGTACATTTTACTTGCCTCGTCTAGCTTGGTCACCCATTCCTTCGTCCAGGGCGCTCTCTCATAGCTATCGTCGTCGCTGAAGATCCATGCGTCGTACTCTTGCATTTCAACCCATCCGCCTGGCTTCAAACCACCCATGACACGGTCGTAGAATCTTGCCCAGTCAGAAGACGTTCCGCTGAGGGCGCGGCCGTGAATGTAGTCGAAGTGCTCCTCCTCTCGGTATGTCCACTCGTCCTCGTAGTCATCGACATGGAATTTGCAGTTCGTAGGGACCCACTCCGGTTGAATGGGCGAGAGATCGACACCGTATACATCAGCCGTGGGGAACTCATCTGCCATCTCTATGGCCCATATTCCCGTCCCTGTACCGAGGTCGAGGATTCTCATACCAGAGGCTGCCGGATCCTCTGGTGTGGGGAGTGGCGCGGTGTAAAGCTGGCCTCCGAGGAGGAGACGCCAGATGTGGTGCTGCAGGTCGAGTCGTTCTTGCTCTTGGTCGTCATTGGGAAGCACGTATTGTCCCTCACGGTAGGCGTGGTAGCGCCGCCCGTTCTCGTACTGGTAGTGGAAGATGGAGGATGCTATGGAGGCCGTGTAAGCACTGCCAGCATCGGAGCCGTAGGCCGAGTCATGATCCTCGCCGGGGTTTGTAATCTCGGTCTGTAATACGGGGGCACAAGGTAACGTTAGTGCACATGGCCTTGCCTCAAGTCCCAAGGGAGTCTCCAAAGGGAGAGGGACCCTGACGGTGATAAGCTTACGTCGACTTGGAGCGGCGTCAAGGCCTGATCTGCCGCCGGATTAAGCAAATACTGGATACTGGTCGGTGCTACGGCACGGGGAGGTGTCGTCGCTCCCGTGCTGCTAGTCAAAGGGGTTGGTGTTTGGACTGGACCGGCACTAGAGGGGGTCCCGGTGGCCGGTCCCGAGTCCGCGGTACTGGAACCGCCGGTAGTTGACGGACGCGACGTCATTGGAAAAGGGAGCGCGGGATCGGCAGGCCGTCTGCCGTCAGCCGTCTGTTCCCGGTGGGAGAAGTGAAAGGAGAGATGAGAGTTTGAAAATAACGGTTTCGCGTTTCCCCTGGACAATCTGACTCTGTTCGAGAAACAGACGAGGGCCAAACTTTAAGTGTCCCCCCTTGGAATGGAGAAGCGGTAAAGTAAAATGTCACCCCACGGTGGGAAATGATGGATGAATGCGGATCGCCCGGGAACCAGCTGAAGAATAATTCTGGGAAAAGCCCTGCACATAAAGCCCCCTCCATCATCACGCCAATGAGCTGCCGGGGTCGTCCCCTATTCCGCTTCGAGCGCTACGTCCGTGCCGCCCCCGTACGTTACGACCCCTTCCTCTCAGCTGCCAAACCCACCATGGTATCCGCTCCCGATCGCCATCGCCATGTTCGGTAAGGCTTGTGAGCACGTTGTGAGCTTCATGGCAGTTTGATGAGCCAATAGCTGAAGAGTTTTGCGAGACAAGGAGCTCCACCTTCATATCGACTCTAAGATATCACCTCATGTATCCGTACCCAGTACATCGCTTAAGTATGAGACTGACTTAGTGGCCTTGATTTAGTCTCTCTTAGTGACACTTATCTCACACTAGTGTCTCCTCCAGCCGAGGGGAAGCGGCATGTTTCTGGCCTGTCACGAAAGCGGCGGGGAATGGGCCGCAATGGAGGGGTCAATGATTTTCTTTTGAAGCCTTTGAAGCAGAATTTGACCACTTTTGATCCCACGATCTCAACATTCTCTCGATGTAACTTAGGAACATCGGACTCCAGCAAACTCATCTGATGCTACATTAGCCGGAAGCTTTTTTTGTACCTGAACGATTACTACATTTAACAAGACACTCAACCTAAAAGTCTCTCCTCGTTTCATCACGTTACTATCCCACCGGTCAACTCACCGCCTCTCAGTCTTTGCCTCGGACCAACACTGACGACAATGTCCCAAAAGCTCATCGTCGTCGTGGGCGCCACGGGCAATCAAGGTGGCTCCGTTGCTCGCCGCTTCCTGTCCGCTGGCTACCGCGTCCGCGCTCTCACCCGCGACACCAAATCTACATCCGCTACTGCCCTTTCCAGTCTCGGGTCCGATGTGGAGCTTGTGAGCGCAGACCTTGAAGATGTCGCCTCCATCGAAGAAGCATTCAAGGGCGCGAATGTCATCTTCAGCGTCACAAACTACTGGGAGCCCTTCTTCCGACCAGACTGTCGCATGAAGGCACAGGAGCAGGGCATTTCCTGCCGGAAGTTCGCGTACGATGTCGAGTTGCGCCAGGGACGGAATATCGTCGACGCTGCGGCCAAGACAGTGGACTCGCTTGACAAGAACGGGTTTTTGGTTTCAACATTGAGTCACGCTGAGAAATGTAGTGGTGGGAAATTCAAGGAGTTGTATCACTTTGATTCCAAGGCTGAGGTGTTCCCTGGCTACGTGAACGAAAAGTACCCCGAACTCGCGGCGAAGATGTCGTGCATCCATACTGGGTACTTCTACACAAGCTACAACATTCTTCCGAACTCATACTTTGGCAAGGTGAGCCACTCCCCCTTATAATTTATTGTGACCATCATCATCTCTAAAGCGTCATTAGAACTCCGATGGCACATTCACCATGGCGTTCACAACCTCTCCTGACAAGCCCGTCCCGCATTTCTCCCCTGTCGATGATATGGGCAATTTCACCTACGCCGTTTCCCAAATGCCGCCCGGCAAGGCTTACATGGCCGAAGGAACAACTGCCACTTGGCCCCAGTTCCTAGAGACATGGGCAAAGGTAAATGGGGTACAAGCCAGCTATAAGCAAATCACGCCAGAAGAGATGATTGAGGCGACTGGAGAGCGCGACACTGGTATCGAAGTCGCATACATGTTTTCATATTCCTCGGACCCAGGTTATGATGGCGGCATGGATTTGCTGACCGCAGCTGATCTTCAAAAGGTGAGAGCTGCAACCCTCGAACCCGTGAAGAACGAGGTGCTTTATTTTCAGAACAGAGAATTGACTGCTAATTGCATAGGCTGGTATTGATTGTCCCATGACGACTTGGGAAGAATGGTCCAAAAAGAACGATTGGTCTTCTGTACTAGACAAATGATGGCCGCACGGGTCCATACTTGAAGGAAATGTGCTAGACTTAGATCCGAATCGAGCAATCCGACGCCCCTGAAACTTCTGACTTTCCTGACTTTGAACAACTAGAACTTTACTTATCCGCTGACTGAAACGCAATGCGAACACCGCATGTGTTGTGTAGGCTCAGCAAGTTTCATTTAGTATTGTAGGGTTAGAGCTCATTCTTCTTTTGTTTATTCTTTTTCTTAAATCCGAAAACACCAACATTCAAAACCATCAAAACTCCATGTATACTGCGACAATAGTCGCTAAAGCCATGGCAAACATTGCTTGACCCCCAGCTGCAGAAACCTCTGACCCCCTGCTCCTCACCGGTTGGGCACCTGAAAGTTGACCCCTCCCAGGTTCCATGGATTGCGGGAACATCAAGACTGTACCGTTACCCGCATCTCCAACAGGAGCTGTCGTGTTAGGATCGATAGTGAACGACGTGTTCGTCGACTCGAAACCTTCACGCCTCCCGACCAGTACTTCGACACTGCGGAACGCCACGGCAGGGGCATCCTGTGCGAGGAAGTGGCCTGATGTAGATACAGCAAGATATGTCAGGCCTCGCTCCGAGTGCACCGTACCCATCACACCAGCGCCGGCCAGCGTCTCGGGGTCAGTGTTGGTGTGATAGGGCACATAGAGCGGTGCGGTGGGCTTCTTTTGGAAACCCATTTGCCCTCCCCAGGTCAAGTTCTGGATCGTGAGAAGTGTACCGTCGTCAATGAGCACAAAGTCCTTGGTGCCGTGTGCGAGAATGACGTTTCGTGTCTTGTCGATGACGTTGGGTAAGACCGGTTGACTTCCCGGCCCTTCGTCAATGGAGTTGTCGGTCTCATTGAAGAACACGGGTGTCTCGGTGCAGAAGACCCACTCCTTGTCCAAGGGGGCATTGATGGCTTTCTTGACATCTTCTCGGTTGAAGTAGACTGGTCCAGCCCCTTTTGGCCTGTACATAGAGCCGTCGCTGAATCCAAGAGGGTCGTACTTCAACGGGCAGAGATTTGTGATGGAATAGACGCTGAAGCAAGGGGTGATCTCCGTCGCAGCCTCCAAGATCATGGTCCAGGTGTCACACTCTGTCTTCACGTTGCCGTCCTCATCTAAGCCCGGCATTGTCGCAGGCTGTTGTCCAGCAGGCGGATAGACAAGCCATTTACGCATGTAATCGGCATAGCCACACTTCTCATGTGCATCCTTCAATGTCTGCCTGAATGTGTCGTTGAAGGCGAAGACATGCTCCCATCGATCCACGAAGGGAACTGCAGGAATCTCCTCCCCGATGCTGTCGACCGAGTATGTTCCGTCAAAGATTTGCATACCGGCAATGTTGAAGTAGTCCTTATCGTTGCTGTCAACCATGGCGCTAGCAATGTAAGGGCAGTACATGCCGCTATACGAGGATCCCGTCACATAGACCTTGTAGCCCTGCATGGCAAAGGTGTCTACAAAGTTGCGCCAGAAGCTGAGGAACTGGCGGGCGACATCGAATTCGTCCTTGGCAGTGGGTGTACCCTGCGAAAAGCCTGTACCCACAGGCTGGTCCACCCAGACGACGTTGGTGATACGATGCCAACTCCATTTGTTGCGGATGGGCTTGAACATTCCCGGCTGCCAGAGCATGGGGCCGTTTTCAGAGAGGAGTTCTCCGGTAGATGAACAACCAGGCTGGCCATAGAAGTTAGTTCTGTTCGAGTTCCTGTCATCGTACACGGTACCGCATGAACTTACACCACCAGTCAACCAGATCATGATCTCCTTGTCGGCGGCCTGACTCTCGGATGGGAAGAACCAGAAGTACAGCTTCCCGGCCGTGTCATTGTTCTTGTCGATGTTGAGCAATCCCGCATAAGACTCGCCGACGTCAAAGTCAACTTCGGGAATCTTTGTTCCATTGACGACAAACTCTGGGCAGAAGTGTTAGATAGTAAGCCAAGTTAAGTCAGGAGTGACATGTACCAACGCACTTTTGGTCTTGTCTGTGAGGAATTTTGGTTCCCCTTGAGCCTTGTTCACGACATTTTGCTGAAAGTCGGCCTTCGCGTTTGAGTACTTGGGCTGGTTCAACGATGGTTTGTACTGTTTCAAGTTCAACGTCGCAGAAACAGCTACAGGAAGCAACAAAGCCGCACGGAGCCAGTGCATATTGAGATATACCGGGAGGGTGGAAATTAGGGGGTCGTCGATACCCTTCTTGCTTGTCGTTGATGATTACAACATCACCCTCGACAAGTCTAACGGTCAAGCAGGTCATGCAAAGTGTGGGGAAAGGCCAGGCGGCTCTGTACCGGACTTTAAGGAAAAGAAACAAAGAGGTGCCACCATTTAAGCATTCCTCGGAAAGGCGCGATGCGTGTTTCAAGATGGGTCCTGTTGGAGGGGATCAAGCTCGGACGCTGATCCCGATGAAGGGAAACGCACATCAGTGTCACCTCAACTCGGTTTCGCCCGAGCTTAATTTACTTGGCAACGGGCCGCTAGGTTTGGGGAGAGCTAGTCGAAATTTGGAAATAAAGAGTAGGGTTCTGGAGCTTGAAAGGTTATCAGTACGGGAGACCCTTGATGTATGACCGGTGAGTCGGCTTGATTAGATGATTGTCTCTGCTAGAGGGTAACATAAGGAGCCCACAGATTAGCTTCTCCGTTCATCAAACCTGAGATGTTTCGGTAGACAGCAGACGCCGACTTTCGCCTGTATTGGATATATCGCTTTCGAAATGTTTTCACTAGAATACAGACTGGTCTTTAGACTCATTGGAATTTTGGCCAGAGACGCGTTAGCTGGATCGCATGCTATTCAATGGATTAGCCACTCTCGGGGGCGGTAGAGCTCAGTCCAATTTTGAGGATTGTCCTCGAAGAGGTCGGCTAATTCATCATCCCGTCGGGAACTAAGAGAACCTACGTAAACCCAATATTGACCTTGTGCTTCTGTCACACCTGCCCAGTGACGGAAAGTAAACTAGTCGGCCTAATATGGGATTTCTTTCTTCTGAATTCGGCCCTTTCAAATTCGTACTAGTTTCCACGTTTCTTCTGAGCTTATTCTCGCCTTATCCTTCCTAGATCCCCCGCTTACGGCTATGCCGTGTTATAATTTTTGCCTGACGACGGATCAAGGTTCATCGCCAGTTTTAGATCAAATGCCCTGCAGTCAGATGCCATGGTCATCGGCTTGGGTGGTGCTGAAGAGCGTATAACTGTCTATACTGCTATTAACTTTTCTTGTCTCCTCGAAATAGACACCTGACTCCTCCTATTCTAGGATGTCTTTAGTATTCTTGCTTACTCGTCCGCTGTCTTGAGTGGATCGAAGGTTCCTCCCACACTTCACTTTTGGACTGGAATGAATCGTCACTACACATTTCTGTAGGTGATACATATGGAACTATCGCCTGCCTCTGCTGGCAAGTGCAACATCCAATTCTATGCAACTTAAAAGATACGTTTATAGGGGCTTTGGAGTGCAGATCGGCGAACAGCAGCGGGGGAAATTTGCGTGGGGCCAGTGTGTCACGAAAGTCGACATGGAACATCTGACACTACGCTTCGATAACAAGAGGATGGATATGGAAATACCCGTGTTTTATCGGAGAGACATCATACCGACTTCAGAGCAAAAATTGAAGGCAGAGTCAACGGTTCATATAAGTCAAACCCCCCACTTCCTGGCACCCCCCTGTTTCTGGCACCCACAAAAACGATGGGATCACAACCCAACCTCCTCATTACTATTAACTATTGATCCTCAACCACACCCACTACAATACAACTGCCAGCCTCACTAGGGCATTCAGAGTCGCTGGATTCAGCCGTAATAACCTCCTTTTCACCCGCTTCGATTTGAGCCCGATGGATATCCCTGATGTTCGCAAACTTCGTGTTGGGATCGATCTGAACAGTCTTCCTCTTCCTAACTGCAGCGTTGGTAACAGGCCCTCAGGTGAGCCAGCTGCTGCTGGGCAACTGCCAGTTGCCAGGCCTGCTCTGTGAAGCCTTTTTCACCTTCCTGAACAGCAGCCGTTGAGTGCTGGTATCATTGTCGAGTTGGGTGTATAAGTGCAGTTGACCGCTGAGCTCTGCCAGCTTCCTGGGTGTCGACCAGACCACTGCAGAGGAAGCAGAATCCCATGGCTCAACAGGGGTAGTTTGTTGACCATTATGGCATCGCTTTTTGCCCCGACTGGTTGGTTTGGGTGTGGTGGGAAGCAGAAGGCTCAGGTAATACCATAGGGTTCATCAGGGCTTAACCATCGCTACAGGGTGTAGACCAGTCCACTTCCAACCACTTCTGATGTTCGAGACTGATAGACCAGCAAGTCGAGCCTTCTGGTAACAGTCCAGGAAGTTCCTTTTACCTATAATGGTAGAGTCGTTCCATTGAGACAAGTAACCGAGCTCCTTCCGATAGGCTGACTTAACAGGGCTGAAGACAGACTGGTCAAGTGGCTGGAGGACATGAGAGGAGTGTGGTGGTAAGAACAGTAAATGGATATTGTTAATATAGCAATTCCACATGAAGTCTGTCGTCGTATGACTCCCATGCCCATCCACAATCAACAGTCGAGCCTCGCCCTCAGCCTCGGGCATAGTCTGTGGGATAAACACCTTCTCTAACCATTCAATGGCAGTTAAGTCTGTAGTCCAGCCATTATCTGTTGCTGTAAACTCCCACCCATCGAACCAGATGTAATGGAAACCACTGTTGTTGGACCGTCTTCCCTTGAAAATGATAAGAGGACGAAGTGCCCTACCCAAGGCTGAGATACACTCAATGATAGAGACCCATGCCCTCGACCCAGGTTGTTTCTTGCGAACAGACGTCGTCTCAGCCATGCCCAGCACTAACCCATTAGCTCCCTGACCCTCGAGGATGCCAGTCTCATCCATATTATATCTGTTGGCTGGTTTGATGTCCTTGATCTCAGGGATAGCAAGGAACAAACCAGTTCCTAATGACCTCAGTAGATGCCCCATTAACGCGTCTAGAATCGATGGAACGACTTCTCTGAACCTTAATGATAGGGTTCCTTCTCACGAAGGCATAGATCCAGCCTTTTCCTAATGGTTTGGTATCCCCAGCAGCAGCCAGAACTCGCTCTGCGAATTCCTTCACCTGTTGGTGCGTTGGTGCGAGGCCCAGAAGCCTGAATGCGAACCCATTGTGCCAGCTTACTCTCCTGGTCAGGAGACAGCCTCTGCCAGTCAGCAAAAGCCACTTTCCTAGTCTGACCACCTTGGAGACGTAGTTGGAGGGTTGATCGTGGTATCCCATACTCCAATGAGGCTCTCTTTTGACTCTTGCCGTTTGAGATGTCCTCGAGAGCCTGACGAAGCTGATCTTCGGTATATTGAGGCATTAGATATAGAAGAAGGTATGTGCAAAAAATGAGCCCATTTGGACTCGAATTGAAAATGTTGTGATAAAAGGAGGTTGGGGGTGGGCATTGCGTTGTGGTGGATTTTCGCGTTTTTGTGGGTGCCAGAAACAGGGGGGTGCCGGGAAGTGGGGGGTTTGACTTAATCATCTCGAAAGGGCTCTGGCCGACAAGGCAAGATGCCAAAGTCTCGTCGCCACCGCATGCACGCGTCGCCAGAGACAAACTCCACAAACATACATGTAGAGTTTGAATCATCCAGGGCTATCGTGAGGACTTAAGATCCCAACCTCTCGATACCTCTCACTGATTCGTTAGCAAGCAATCGTACTCTGATAGCGAAACATGGTCGATAGCTGGTACGAGCTCCCCACGCTATGACTATGCCTCAGTCCTCTGACTCAATCCCGGAATTTGATCTTTTGTCTGTTCCATTGAAATCATGTTGCATCCTACAACAAATGGCAAGCTCCACGTTGCCCCATTTTGAGCCCTGCTTTCGCGCAGATCTGCACACCAACTAGTCAGTCTGGGGATCTCTCCATAGTGCTTGGATTCGTTGAATAGAAATATGTTCAGCATACCTTATGACAGTAGACGGTTACATGACATCAATTGCACTAAGTGTGGGTGTCGGTAGTCTTGCTGCAAGTGTGGCAGGCCTTGCCTTGTCTAGCGTGCATACGGAGATCCTAGTTCGAGTAGACGAGTTGGGAAAGACTACTTGAAAGTACCTACGGAATTATGGTGTTAGTGAACAGAAACTTCTTCGAGAAAACACATAAGTAGGCTTCTGGTTTTGGCGACCAGTCTTCCAACTTACTTTTCCGTAATAAGACCTACACGAAAGCTACCAATTTGATCAACAAAAATATGCTTACTGTCATTGAGTTCAGCTGTATAGCGGCAAAAAAGAAACATGATGACGATGGTATGGCCGGACTTGAGGAGGTTCCAATGTTGTGTTTGACTGAGCCCCTGATCAAACCGCATATCTTGTGGCCTTGACTGTGAGCCGAACGTTGCTCTCATCGACAAAGACGGGTTGAATCTCGGTTAGCACGCACTAGTGATTGCAAATGTTAACATGGATCACATGACAGATACCCGGACTTAGCACTCTGGACATAGCTGGGCGTATTTATCTACAGAAAACCTCATGCCAAGCAATCAAGTACTTTAGTACTTTAGAAACAATGACAGAAGCTAAATCGTATGCCACCGACCTGATGTTGAGATTTGTACCTCAAAGAGACGGCCCGAGAACTCTTTCTCGGGCTAAAAACATTATCGAGGGAAATTTCTTTCCTATATGAGCATTCAAAGCATGCTGCCCTCATGCACACATATCATCTAGCTCTCAACTGAGATGGGCGTGTTATGTTTTTGTTTGAAGTCGTCTATGAGTCTCGAGTGTCTTTGATCTCAAACAAGAGTGGAATTGCCGTCGGCCTGTCACCAACATGCAATCGCATTTCCCGAAGCCCCTTCGGAAGAACCTGGGTATCCCTCAATGACAGCACATTCATTCAAGCGGTTTTGACGTAGGGGACGGACCTTCTCGTACGTATTAGACATTATCGACAAGCTATATAAGTGGAAATGTACTTGGAATGGAACCGAACCAGACACGTTCTTTGTCCTCGTCCAGTAAGTCATCGCGTCATTGAGTCTGTCAATGAAGAAGAGACTCTGTATGCACTTGCGGCCCACGTGGCGAACTCTGCCATCCAAAGCCAACAGAAAGCAATCGGTATCAGGGCAATCAACACCCACCACAACTCTACGGTCAGTCGTCGCCTCAACCACCGTTGACACCTCGCGCCGATCTTTCGTCGATGAGAGCATACGGAAGTGCCATAAACTAGGCAGCCAAGTCCCGGCCTTGACTCGCACTCCATGTGTTCACGTCGCCTTTGCATCAGAAGCCTAGGCCGAAGGTTAGATAGCAGATACGAGAAGATGAAAGTCAAAGAAGTAATATCGGGATAGAATGCTGGAGCAACATACGGAACACTGCCTCTACAGAAGCGTAGGTCGCTGCCAAGGTCGCACCGTTTATCGTTTGGACACTCAAGATGAAGCATGCGGCGCTCCATCAGCCACTCAACCTTGAGTCGTACGCCCGTGTCAACGAGGTAGTAGAAGTAGCTGCTGGTGTGTTTCAGCGAGAGGGCGTCGGGATAGATGAGTTGCTTGGAAATGAGAAGGTGGATTTCTGCGGGCAGATCTGTGAAGCCGGCGAGCTGGGTGCGGTCGGAGGCCTCCTTGTCGGCAGACCGGAGCGACCTTTCGGCTGCCGGCGCCGGAGTGGGTCGCTTACGGGCGCGGATGGGTTCCATTGTCGCGGTATTGCGATAGACTAGCTGCGAATTCGACGTTGGGAGATGCAGACGCGGGAGGAGTCACCAGAGTTCTTCGTTGAATTAGTTGTTCGTGTTTCTTACGTTCAGAAGATGAAGGCTGTGCGTCAAATAATGAATTTTGGGGAGGAGGATTACAAGGCAACCTATATAGGAACCGAAATCCTGCTGCCTTCGAGCGAGTGTTTATGGGGACTTTGAGGCGTGGCATGTTCCTAGCGTGTCAGACACGAAGTTTCAGTCCGTCCGTCACCAGGAATACGTTGCACTGTCAGCCAGGCAGATGCCGACTGTGGCTGGTTTCAGGAACCACTTTACCAAATCCAGGGCGTTTAACGTGGCTGATTCCAACACTGTAGCATTCCCCAGGTTGCCGCTGTGCGCCTCGTTGCGCCTCATTGGAGTCCTGACAAGTTAGCTTTATCGCTGCTTTTGTCAGCTTTATCACCTGTCCTAACAATTTTGCACTGTGAGACAGCTGCTTCGTGTTAAGGTCAGCGTCTGAGGGGCGTTCAGATCCTGTTTTTAAGAGAGCTATTCTCACTGAAAACATGGGCGGCCCAGGCTTCCCATGTTAACTACCTTAGGCGAACTAGTTCCTGAATGCAAGAGAGACAAGGAACTGAGTCTCTCAACGGCTTGATCCACATGCATGCATTATCTATGCGACATGTCGAGGAGGATCAATTCATGTCCACACGTGTCTTTGCTGCGATTGTCCAGACCCCAGAGCGAAAAGCGGCAGGTTCCATTGGAGTTCGCACTCAATGCCCACCTGACTCATCTCCCCTTCTACTGCTAGAAATTGTGTGCATTAATACAACTGCTCTGCAGTAAGGTGATATTGAGCGGCGACTTCCAATTCGACTCAAAAAGGTACAAAACCCTGCTCCTCTATGTCAACCCTGATGTCAATGCAACGCTCTCGCTTCCCCCTATGGCTAATTACAGAACCCCTAAGTTCACGAAACACTGCTTCGGCTTCCGCGTCAATGTTTCAATATCATCATAGTCGGATAGACTCTCATCGCAAGTCCGGAAATCAAACGACCACACTAACAGAGTCACCAAAAGCCTAAGTTCCAGATACGCCAACTTCCGACCGAAACAGCCCCGAAGACCAAGACCGAACGGCAAAGTCGGCCCAGCCAATGCGTCAAAGACGACCTCGCCGTTATCGCTCTTCTTGAGCCAGCGCTCAGGGCGGAATTCGTCCATACCGTCAGAGTTCCACGCCCGTAAGCCGCGCTCCTCTGCTGCCGTCCGAGACGAAGCACTGCGCAGCTTCTCGTCGACTTCGAAGCCTGGTTCTGTGAAACTTGGGCCCCTATTGGGAATGAAGACGGTGGTGCCTTTGGGAATATGGCGTCCAAGGACGATGGTGTCCTCCTTGGCCTGTCTTTCCTGGCCGACAGCAGTGTGCGAGAGTCGGAGCATTTCTTCGACAACGGCATCCAAGTAGGGGATGCTAGCTCCAGTTATCTCTTCGTGGGACGGGAGGCGGTTCTCGCTAATGGCGTTTGGGTGGGCAGCGCGAAGGCTCTTGCGAAGCTGTTGCTGGCAAGCAGGATTGTCGCTCAGGAACTTCACTCCCCAACAAAGGGTTGTACTTGTGGTATCATGACCTGCTACGACAAAACCAAGCAACTGCATCAAACGTTGTCAGTCAGTTCTGCAAACATCATCGGCTTTGAGGAAAGTCACAAAAGATACTCACCTCGTCATTCATTGCATCAGACCAATATATCGGCTTGCGGTTCTCTTTGCCCGCAAAGACAGTTTCTCTATGGATCATCAGATCAATCGCAGACTTGACGTCGCTGTCGCCATTGTCCTGAGCCTGGCCTTCATATCTCTCGACAGCTTTTTGAACTTGCTCTTTGAAGAATGCTTTTCTAAAAGTTCTCATGCTTCTGACGCTGGGCTTGAGGCCAATCAACCACCATGCGATGTCAGGAAATCCTGTAGCAGCAACTCCGGTGACGTTGTCAGCCGTCTTGATAGCAGTCTCCAGAGTTGGATGGATGGGTGCCACAGGAAAGCTAGCGGCCTTTGCGTTCGACGCATCGATACCAGCCTTCTTCTCGCTGCCACTCTGAAGCATCCCAATCTGTGGGATCAATGCTCGATGTTCAACGCTGGAGCCGAATCCAAAGTCGAAGACTGCATCCAGAGCTGTGTAGAAGATGTCTTGCTCGGCGCTAAAAGGCTTATCAGTGGCAGCAGTCTTCATCTTCCACAACTCCAGAAGATTTCTAGCGCTCTTGTAGATGTTCGGGGCCGCGACGTTGTTGAGGAAGTTGGGGGTCATAAGGTCCTGGAGCAAGCGTCGGTGGGCTTTCCATTCCGGCCCTGTCTTCAAGTTGATGTGGAAGCTAGGGGCCTCTCCGCCCAACAGGCTGATGGTGAAGTCGGAACGATCGAATTCTTTGCGACGCATTAGGATATCCTGTCCCTCGCGGAAGTCGGCGATGAAAACCGTCGGCTTGTGGAAGGGCTGGAGGAAGAACTGAGACAAGGGGCTGTCATGTCGACGCGCTTGTTCAATCATCCATCTGAAGGGGTTTTCGGGAGATTCTTTCTGGAGCCTGGGAATGTCTCCGAGAAGGGACTTGACAACCTCTGTATTGTACGGGATTCCTGGGATCGGCTTGGGAAGTAGGTAGTTATATAGAGCATAAAGCAAGCCTAAGAGCAATGTGGAGCCAGCCGTAGCCAATATGCTGAAGGACGGAATTTGGTCCACAGACGAAGTTGTTGCGGTAAAATTTGACATTTTCAAAGATGGGATGAGTATCAGGCTAGGACTAGACCATGAGAGTCAAAAGTATGTCCATTCGAAGTTTCTGCAGTCTGGCGACTTTATATCAACAAGGGCGATCGGCACTTGAGACCGCGTCCGCGGAGTGCCGACACAGGGTACCATGGACGACGTTGCGGAGCTATGGGCCGCGGAGACCGCACTCTCTTGAGCCAAGAATATGACGTTGTTTGCGGGCCCTACGACAACTACCCAACGATGGTACTTCAGATGCATGGGAAGAAATAACAGAGATTATACGTTCGATTTACCTGGGACTGGATAGGTCAAGACCCTCGAGTGACGCCCCGAGTCCCCGCTGCCGTCTCCACGCTTCGGCAGGTGGGTTGTGGGTTTACTCCGCGCTTAGACTGCCGGATCAGGAAATATCGTCTCTGGAAAAGAAGCGGACGCGGACTGACGAGCGCGTCCGAAGACGGCCCGTAGCCGGCAGCAGTACGGGCCAAATTACCTAGGAATCTCTACCGCCACTCTGTTGAGGAAAGCATTGTTGCCAGGATGCAATTGCTCACAAATCTCAATCGAGCTCCCTTATAATGGCATCGTGCAAGGATGATGGACCAAGCTTGCTGCCACCACACCTTCAGAGACTACGTAGACGAGTATGCGTTGCTTGCCCCATTGATGAAGAGCTGATGTTGCCGGCAGTTCCTAATGGCCATAGCTAGATCATTAATCTTCGTATAAATGAAAAGTATTGCTCATCGAAAAAGGAAATTCTCTTCATCTGACGAGAACCTGGGCAGTGTTCGTCTAATTTCAGATTACCTTGCTCTTCTTAAATCGCCTGTACCGAATCAATATTTTCTATCGACATGTCATTCAATGATAAGACTATTGCAATGACCGGCGCGGCTAGTGTAATAGGCCGAACTACGGCTGTTCACCTCGCCAGCAGAGGAACATCATTGGCGACATTTGACGTCCAGTCAGAAGCTCTGAAAGCCGTTGCCGACGAGCTGAAGACGTCCGTTCCTATTGTACACGCTTAAGCAACAGTATTTGACATCATCAAGCCCAAGAAGGTCCGAGACTGGTTCCAAGACACATAGAAATGGTTTGGGCGCCTAGATGGTACTGCTGGCCAACATTGCCGGAAGTGGAATCTTAAGCCAGGTTCCACTTGAGGCCCAGTCTGACCAACAATGGGAGTTCTTGCTGGGAATCAATCTTTCGGGAATAATGTTTTGCTTGCGAGAAGAGCTGAAGCGCATCAGTGATGGCGGTTCCATCATCAATGTCATGAGTATACCGGGTTTGACACGTTTTCCTGGCCACGGCCGTTCGACTTACGCCACCAGCAAAAACGTCATGTTGGGGTTCACAAGGAACGCTGCAAGAGAGTATGTTCATCTTGGACAGTCTGTCAACCCAATCAACAAACACGGAAGGATTGTGGAAAAAAAGTACACTACAATAAGTATCTAGCTGAAGTGCTAAACGATTGAACAAAGATTGTTGATGAAAGCTTGGCTTTCTCCCTTTCTTCATCCTTGCCTAGGATGCATTATCCTGGATCATGGGCTGTAAAGGATCCAACCGGCCGCCTCGACACTCCGCCTCTCTCATTTTGCCTTCCGCTCGAGCCATGTCCTGAGATCCTAGCAGCTTCACCCACGATGAGAAGTACGACCCCAATCCTGTCACACGGCCATGACCTGGCGGACTAGCCAATCCCAATCTCGCAAGTCTGTTTCTGTCCCAAATTGCGAAGCCCATCCTCCTATACGGCTCGAACCCAGCAAACTTCATCGGCGAATGCGCGTTCCTCCCCATGCTATCCACGATCCATAGACTGTCGGCAGGCAATACCAACGCGGACCTACGAGTATCCGGAGTGGCAGGCATTCCTCGGGACGAAGGTGAGATGTCCTCGATAGGGCTTTCGGGTAATGGCATCCGGTCCACGAGTGCGGTAGCACTGTCTGCCTTGGAGGTAGAAAGACTCTTGAGATAGTCAACTGCGGTCATCACCTCGTGATAAGCGGCCTTAAAGTTGGTACTGGTGCTGTCGTAAAAAGACTGAATATCAAGGACCTCTGTTTTCAGGTCCTTTAGCTCCTTTCCATCCACTTTTGTCCCGAGGAGCAGAGACCTGCGCGCCGCCAAGTTCATTTCGAGCACAACTTGAACTCTCCAGAAAGCTCGAATCATCCGCTGTTCTTCGCACCATGACAGCTTATCGTGAGCTGAAAGTTCCGGAGCGTCCAGTCGGCCTTCCCTTTTCGCAGCCACCAGACTGTCCTGGTAGTGCCTGATGCAAAGTCGGCTCAGGGAGTGTAAGCGACTGGCCGTAGCAAGTACCGACCGCATGACTGGAAGATCGGGCTTCTTCGTTGTATCCATGGTCGGCAGAATGTAGTCTGAATCCGAGCTCTGGCCAAGCACGATCCCAGCCTCGCGATCACTGATTCTAGCGGCAAGCTTGAGATGAGGTGTGTTCTTGTACGCGCCTGAGCGTATTGAGATGATACATCGTATGACTTTCTGTGTCTGAGACGGAATATTGTTATCTGTAACTGCGGGCCAAAAGATGTCGTCACTGTATTGGTTGAAAACCCGGCTTGCGATGGGCGAGGAGATAAGGAGGTTCCAAAGACAGTGAACATCGTCGATTTGCGTTAGTATTTGAAGGAGCACTTCGGTGGGGAAGCCCTCAAAATCGATGACTTTTTTCGACTCCATGGTTTCGCGGTGAAGAGTAGTGTATGTGATAATGCTTTGTTTGTGATGCTTCCGTGTTGTTAGGTAGATATGCCCCGGATCGGAGCTAACGCTTCGGACGGTTGACCCCGCATTCACGCAGTCGGCGGCGACACCCTTCGGATTCCGACCATGCCCCTGCGTGAGGGAAGGTTCCCCGTGCTACAGTCGATCCACGCCGGATCTTGACGTCAATCATTTGAACCCCCCTCGAAACTCAATCGATGGTAGACAAGTCATCCCTGCCAACACCCAATCCCGGAGACGGATGACTAGCAACGATGTTGGCAACGGGAATCGCAGGCAACCACCCTCAACCTACAAATTATTGCTAGAACCTTCCGATATGATGCTTCTAATGGGGAAATCAAAGTGTATACCGAATTATATGCTTTTGATTGATGAGTATGCAATGTAACTTTCTAAGGCGACCACCTTTTCACGAGTTCGCTCGAGTTCATGTTGACAAGGCAGCAAAAGAAGCTTGGTACAGTCTACTGTATGCAACAGTTTGCGATGTTTTGAATCGATCTTCCAGCAAGTAATAATCACTCAACTGCATCTGGAGAAAATGTGAGGAGCCTACTTACGGCTTTGAGATTAATCCAACGAAGCTTTTGCTGGAGACCTTATCATAGCGAAGGATTCAAAGAGCTAGTCATCGAGTTCAAGCACTCATATCTGATCATGGGGCAGATTTTTTGACTATGTTCCACTTCAGGAGACCAACATCGGCATATGCATACCTTGATGTTCTGTCTTAAAACCTGACGTAACAACGCAGGCGCATTACCATAACCTCATGCGCGACTTGTTGATGGTTGAACGACACAGACTAGGCTACTTTATCGAATACCTACCATAATCGCTCGCTTTTCGGTCATCATCTTCCACTGACTGATAATATTCAGTCAACCTCTCTCCTTACCAATTTCTCAAATGACTCTATCATATCAACTATAACACCCTAAAATCAATAATGTCTTGAACTATGGTACCTCATGATCCAGCCGTTCTGTCAAGTTTGGCTTACATGAATACAATAGGTTGACCGAATCGAGTACTCTCTCACTCCATACTATCTTTCCATGCTGGGAGGCAACGAACGATAGTCTGACTTCGTTGTCATCAATTCCTAGGACCGTGGGTTTGCGAAACAGAGGCAGTACTTTCCACACGCGATAACAACGTTTAATATGCTTGATCCAAGATCAACCCCCGAACAGAACTAAACGTACAGATGATGTGTTCAAAACTGATTAAAAAACATTGGGTGGTTGAAAAAATGCCGAACAAGGCTTGGCATTGATTTCAGAGGATTAAACAAGTTACCATCAATAAGGTATGAGGATAAGTTAGCACTTAGTCACTGACCCGAAGTAACATTACCGCTAACGTCCAACTGTATGCTATAGGAGGTGATCCGTTGAAATCATGAGTTAAAAGTTTTTCGTTTTAAGATTATCTATCTGCGGTTCCCTCGCGCTTTTGAACTCTCGGTCGACTGAAAAGATGCGAGTTAACTCGGGATCTTCGGACTTTTCGGGTTTCTGTGATGTGGCGCAGGAATTCTTTCGTAAATCATTTATGATAATGTGTATCTAAGCCTCATGCATCCCTCGACTTCACGTGACCAAAGTAGTACAATCAGCCCGAGGACGTCGGACTCGGGTGATGTACGAGGTGTGCGAGGAGTCCGAAGGTCCCAAGCTTAGTACTCTGTCTCCCACCGGCACACTCCTTTATGGAAGAAGTACTAAAAGTCCTGAAAGACTGCCTGAATTCGAATCAGAAACACGGTTCCAATTTCATTCTCTTGTTCTAGATCACTCTCATTCAACTCTAAGAGGCTTGTTGTTCTGCTTCTCGGTGTGGGAGCTTGGCTAGCACACGATCATCAACTCAAAGCAATCGGCTACAACCTACACTTTCATTGGCCTCCCCGAAACAGTAAAGCTTTGCAGGTGGGGCTGGCATGGACGGACTCAACTCGACGACGGGCGCTGGGGGTGCAGAGGTAGCTGCCGGGGCAGCATTTGACTTCCGACTTTACCGCTACACGCCATCTCTTCCGGCTGCCATAGTCAGTGCTGCCGTGTTTGCAGTTCTGACCATCCTTCATTTCTGGCGGCTGTATCGAGCCCGAGCCTTTTACTTTACTGCCTTTGCTCTTGGTGGTGTTTGTGAGTGTGGCCCCGCTTAGAATTCGCCCCTTACTCGGACTCCCGAGGCTTCGTGTTCCATTGGAGGCT